ACTTCGCCTTTGTTGTTGGTGTGGACAAACCCTCTTGGGGACTAGGCTGTACAGTTGTCGCCATCTTGTTGCACTATTTTACTTTGGCAGCGGTGGCCTGGATGGGTGTGGAGGCTTTTAGCATGTATCTTATGTTCGTCCGAGTCGTGAATTCTTACATGCCCAAGATGCTTCTGAAATCTTGTCTCGTTGGATGGGGTAAGAATCGCCCCCTATTATAGGCCTAACCCTGCCAGTAACTCCAGGGCGCATCCAGAATCCTCTAAAGGAGGAGAAGGAGGACGAGGAAGGGGGGGGGGACAATTCTGTGAAAGTTTTAACAATACAAATGAAGATTATAATTGGCTTATGTGACATATGGGACTACAATTTTAGTGGGACATATTTTCCCTTTGCATGTTTAAGGAATCCCATATTATGCTATTTAAGGGGCGAGGGCTGTAGGTCTACCCCTAAATCCGTCAGTGTAGTATCAAACTAGGCGAAGTTCCATGTAAGAAATGAATAAAGAGTGACGTCTTTCGGATGGTGACGTAAATAATAATATATGATTGATACACGTCTGTAAAACCACAAATTACACACGCACAGACACATAAGGCTGTAGCGTTGGGGGATATATATGACAGGGGATAGAGTCACCTAGTTTGTACGTTTTCTTTACTATCTCTCTTTCTCATTCTCTCCTTTATCATCATTTTGCTCCCTTTTTTTTATAGGGGGTCCACTGCTAGTCGTTGGTATTACGGTCGCCATAGACTGGAAAGCATACCAAAACACAGAATAGTAAGTAAAGCCGAAACACGTTTTAAAATTATGAACCCTGCAATATCCTTTCGTTAAAATCATAACTGGCTGAATTGATTAGATGGGCAGCAGAAGAAGGAAGGAGACAGAAAGGAAGACACGTAGAGAGGTTTGTTAATTGTATTAATGAAGACGGTAGATGAATTGACTTGAAATGGCTACATACAGGACAAGGTGGGGAGCGTTAACGAAGAGACCCGACCCTCCATGGAGAGGATCAATGTGATGATGATGATGGTGGTGGTGATGATGATGATGATGATGATGGTGGTGGTGGCGATGAAGATGATTATGATAATGGTGGTGGTGATGATGATTCAGAGATTAATCTTATCCTGTACATAGGCTTCGTTGCTGGTTATTGTTACATGATTTGCCTTTGGTTAAAGGAAGCAAGTGGAGGTGTCGCGGTATAGTGGTTCATTCACTCGACTTTAAATCCTAGGGTTGAGGGCTCGAATCCCAGTCCGGCCGGCCCTAATATCCTTTGGCAAGACATTAATTCACATTTTGAAAGTATCCACTCAGGTGTAAATGGGTTCCTGACAATCGCTGGGGGTAATATATGATAATTGTAGGACCCTCAGGAAGAACAGTATGGATGTATTATTATTAATATAGACTTTCAGAAGTTTTTTGGAATTTTAGTGTCTATACTAATGAGACAGACAGATATCGAATATATATCGTTCTAATGGTTAACAATTCAGTTAGGTAGTGGAACTTGGGGAAAATCAGTGATAATTATCAAAAAAAAAGTGCAACTCCACTACTGTCCATGGAAGCCATTTCCAAGTAGAAAACACTGGTCGCTTACGTTTCTTAGAACAGGAAGCTCAAAATCATGAAAGTACAGTTAAACTGTATTCAGGGAGTTTTGACGCGAGTAACGAATATACATTATTACGGGGAGCTATATGTTTTATCGTGTTGAAATCTGTAGTAGATGTCGGCGTGCTCTAAGAAAGAGGGTTGTGTGTTTTAATCTATGTACAGTAACTTGTTTTCTCTAAATGCACACAAACTGGTTATATTTCGTTTATACCATTTCAGCTGCTTCATGAATCTTGGTCCGTCGTTCTACTTCGCACAGTTGTTCCCCATCGCCCTTATCCTCACCATCAACACAGGCGTCTTCATCATGGTCATCTACAATTTGACCTGCGGAAGGAAAATGGCGTCGATGAAAGAATCAACCGCTGCAACACAGCGAGCCGAGTTACTTCGCCGCCTTCAGAATGCTATAGCTATCGGCACATTACTCGGGCTAAGCTGGGTGTCCGGATTCATGGCGATCGGCAGCGCGCGATTCTTCTTCAACGTCGTTTTCGTGATCTGCACCTCCCTGCAGGGGGTCTTCATTTTCCTTCTGTTCTGCGTTCGCCTGCCCGAGGTTCGGCAGCAGATGATGCTTCTAGCCTCCCGTCTCATCCGGGTATTGACGTGCAGAAAGTCGGTAGTGTCATCACGTGGCATGAGCACCAGCTCCACGTCATCGCGCATGACGTCATCACTTCCGTCTACGGTCACTGTGTCATATTCGGCGGGAAAATCAGATGTTATGCTTTGAATCCAAGAGCAACAGAGCTGTGTCTCCAAGTTCTGATAAATGTCGGCGAATTTAATAAAGTGTGTTATGGGAAAACATGAGAGTGTTGAAATCTATAGTAGATGTTGATATACTCTAACAAAGTGGGTTTTCACTAGTGTTGTGAGTCCATTTTTTTTATTTATCCTATTTTCTTATATTATTCCACTATGTAAAAACGATTTATATCCGTGTTTCCATATGAATTTGTCATTGTACATTTGCTGCTTTGTATTATCTATATGTGTATATTTATATAATATTGACTGGCCTTGAGGGGTATATCAGAAATATTGACCAAGCTCAGATCATATTGCCCCGAGTCGAAAGACGAGGGCAATATGGTCTTAGCGCGGTCAATATTTCTGATATCCCCCGAAAGTAAAGCCAGTCAATATTTTTATTGTTATCCAAATCAGACATCTAGAGCAAATACAGACATCCACCATAACAATCTCAAGAACTGAACAAACTTTGTCAAACCAACACTGTGCATCCAGTGCTTGACAAAATTTTCGATACACTACAAAGTACAAACAGTGTGTATTTGGTGTGATTATTACGTCACAATAGAGTGCGCGCAAAGTGCGCAGGTTCTCGTACGCGTAATATTAATAGATGCGCAATTAAAATGCGAGACCGTGGAAAATACCAAGGTATATTTTCACTCGTCTCTACACGCAAAGTCAATACGCGCAGGGAGACCAAGGAAAATACAAAGAATATACCCCTCCGTTCCCACTGCTAGTGAAAACTAGGGCAATACGGTTTTGTAAATGACCAGCTCAGATGTCTGATACGGGTAATAATATTTTCTATTGTATATTGTTCATGTGCTTTATGTAATACCAACAACTGAATTTCCAAATGGACCAATACAATTTATCTGAATCTGAATCTGAAGTTATTTAATGGGTTACGTTAGAGGGTCTCCTAAGATACACGTACGTCTCTGTAGCATATCTGTTTAGGAATTCGTCTGACCTTAGAGGTGAATGACAACCGATATTTTTGTATCCTAAATCTGAAGAAAAAAAACTATATCAAATTGCAATTGCTAACCCTTAGTGCACTTATAGGCTGATTGTTTGCTGCATACTATTGGCGATTTCGATAATTTTCGGGACCAGAATTATAAAGGGAAAAATAATTTGAAAACTATTAATGGACCTATTTTTCTGCAAACAGTGCTTTTAAGACTTTTTATCGTTGTGGAATTGTGGAATTTAAATAATTATATCAAGTAACATGATTGTAAGAACTACTGTAGAATGCTATGATGAGCAGAATTTATAAAAAAAAAATAATTAGCAAAAATATGTCATGTTTGCCTTGTTAATTGTTTATATCATTATGTTGTAGCTTAAACGTTGAGATTCTGCAAGCTGATTTAGTTAATGGAATGCGATGTAAATCCATAAGGTGACTATTGACGTGTATCACTTTAAATATGAGCTTTCTCGCTTCAGTATGTTCTCATTGTATATAATGCATTTTACCACATTTATCATATTGTGTCATTGTCTGGTGTCAGTGTCTGTGGCAAACTGAAAATGAACATCTTATTTAAATTACAGAAAAAAGTACTGCGTATTTGTACCAGTAGCCATTATCTTGCTCATTCAGCTCCTCTTTTTATCAAGCTCAAAACCTTGAATATATTTGATTTATACCAGTATCATACAGCAGTGCTAGGGTTCCTTTATTTTCATAATCTTCTAATATACAGTTTCGATCATGTTCCCTACGAATCTTAGTATTCATAATTATAACACACGAAATCGAACCAATTTTCATCGTTGGAAAAGTATGTTTAAGTATGAGGAAAATCTCTTTGGTGTAATCTCCCGGTGATTTGGAATTCATTACCTATGCAATAACCAAAGATTATTCAAAAAATATCTTTAAAATTATTATTTGTCAAAACACTGACATAAAACATAACCATATTTTACACCATGCTGTTTCTCTAGCTTATTTTTTTAATATTTTTTTTTATCCACTTTTGGTTTTTAATTTGTTTACATGTCTTTCAGTGACATAATAAGTTGAACAAATGAAAATCGAGATACAGGCCTCCATAAATTATTACCTTCAGCAAATTTCAGATGGTGCAAGTCTCATTAAAAGAGTGTACGATAAGCTAGCTCTTATCATCTTTACTTTCTGCTATGTACTGTTTTTCTTTGTGTTTCTACCTAAATTTTATTTATCTTGAATGTACTACTCACCAATGATATTAAGGCGTGATGTGTGGTATAGCTCTCTACCAATACCCTCTACCCTTCTCAATCCTCTCTCTCTCTCCCTCTCCCTCCCTCCCCCTCCCTCCCTCCCTCCCCCTCTCTCGCTCTCTCTCTCTCTCTCTCCCCCCTGTCTCTTCATCATCCTGTGAAATGAAGAAGGGCATTACCTGTACATTCGACTCATATTGTTGGACCATGTTATTAAAGAGATAACTCATTTGACAGTTAGCAAACAATATGTCTCCCCCCTCCCACTATATCGCCCCTTCCTCACACCTCTCTGCCTCTCCACCTGTCTCTTTTGCTCTCTTTACTGTTTCCACTTTATTACTTAATAAGGATCCATTGAATAAAGTTCATTACATTTCCTATAAAATTATCTTTATTAACAATGCAGAACAAAGTGATTTATGCAGATATTAAACACCCCTGTGAATAGTTAATGTGTTGCATTAGAGATGCCAGATTGACAAACATATGGATGAAATAACGACCTTTCAATCTATCGAAAAAGGTTAACAAAAATTAATCCAGACAGACAAATTAAATGTGAATAAAGTCACATTTCTGATCTAAACATGAACCGATTCCAAGTGTTTAAATTATTTGAATAAATTGTGTGTCAAAGTAGTGTACGATCATTTAACAAAAATGCAAGTTGTTATTTGAAAGCATTTATATTCAACTACAAACTGCAAAACAGGATTTAAATATTCTTTGTCACATTCTGAGTAGAAAAAAATTAATTCAGATTATTTTGTATATATATATATATATATATATATTGTAGGTTGATAATGTACAACCATTTGTATATAATCCACTTTCAACAGGCTATTACCAAATTTGACAGGCATGATTCATGACAGAAATCTATTTATGTCTTGACATTAAATCATGGATCATCGCTAGACCATAATGAAAGAGAAGTTGTAAGACCTTATTTGCTGGCAGTAAGAAGAGCCAAAGATTTGTCACATAATTGCCTTAAATAAAAGGCCTTTACATACAAAACTTCAAAAGTTCTACAAGCACGATTCATGAAAGAAAGATTTCCTTGTCTTGATATCAAAAAAGCGTAGGTGATGCATGGGTGATCGCTACACCTTATTGAAAGGTAAGTCAAAGATTATGCAGACTTGCTGACACTGAATCTTGAATGGGGGGGGGGGTGGTGACATCTCCATACCCCTCTTTGAAGGCCCATGGTGACACAGAGTTTCCTGGGCACTGCATCAAAGTTTGCGATTAAATCTGGTATGCAGCTTCTTAACTGACATCCTACATAGTCAAACAGTGTCGGGTGCCCAGAAAGTATCAATTATCTGTAGTCAGACTTTGTACAGCTTTCATGTCAGAGTACAAAACACAGCAAAGTCTGTAGGGAGCTTAAATCTCCTTCACAGAAACATGTTACATTTTCTCCTCCGCTTGTACCTGGGTTCCAAACGTAGTTGGTGTTTGAGGTGGAAGATAAACCTTCAAGTCATCCTCCAGGTTTGTGCCAAGCTTGAGGGTTGGGTATTCCGAAAGAGAGACCCCAAAGGTGTCAATGTTGGACAACTTTTCTTTAGAGGAGGAAACATCATCACCCCCAAAGATGAAGTCATGGTTCTTTGTGCCTTGTTCCTCATAGGCGTTGTAGGTAAAGGTTCCTTTGGTTCCGGCTGTTGCTGGGTTTAGCAGCTGGATATCTTGAGTGGCAACCGATCCAGTCTTGTTTCTGCAGAAGGGAATGGACACAAGGATGAGAAGACAAAATGAGTTGTCCAGTCCATTCATACTTGGATTGAAGAAATACGTTTGTAACCAGATGATAGGTAATAATTTAAAGAATTTGAAACTGAAATTAACAAAAAATTGCATATTAAATCAAAGAAAATTAAAGGCCAAATAAAAGAAACGTTGGCTAAGGAGGACAAGATTGCACTTAATGTTTGGAATATATGAATAGCTCAAGATTTTGTACCTGTTTTGTTCTCTGGGCTTTTGACATGTATAATGAATGAAAGAATTCACATTGGGGGTCAAACAAAATTATGCTAAAGTAGTCAAATTTGTTAGTTGCTTGCAATAAGACTGTTATTGACCCTAGACAGCTCTTACAGCCTTCTTGAGGAGAGCTAATGAATTATGCTAGTCAATGCATAAATAAAGCTCCACAAGGTGCTCCGGGACGGCTGTAACAGGGAAAAGGTGACTAAAACAGAATAAAAATGCTTTGCCGTGACCTATATATCTGGCTAGCTATACATACCGGTGTCGGTGTTTGCACCAAGCAGCAATGACAAGGATAATGACTAAGAGAATGACAACTCCTATTGCCGTAGCGATGATGAGAGGAAGCGGGAAATGGTCTGGCTGATGAGTAGGAGGCAATGTAGTAAACACAGGAACAGGAGGAGGAACTACAGAAAAGAAGACAGACACATCATACTCATATTACTTTTACAGAGAGCAATTGCAACTTTAAGTAGCGAATATGAACTTGAAATTAAACTTAAAGTACAGGTGAAAGTAACTAATTATTGATGAACATGCATATAATTTGGTATGCATGAAAGTTTAATCAAAAGTTAACTTTGGTGCAGGCCGAAATATCCTACTTTTTGTGATCTGGCCTTTCAACCTAAACCATTTTGATATCGTGAAAAGTTTTGTTTTTTTTGTTGTTTTTTTGTTTGGGAGGGGGGGGGGGGTATAATTTTAAGTCACCTAACAATATAAAGGTGAAATATAGTATTTCTTGGTGATATAGCCCTCATTGAAATAAGACAATAAACAATAAGCCTGAAGACAATTATTTTCCCTGTCGGTGACTTAATTTGTTTTGCTTTAAACTTTAATAGAGAAATTTATAAAATCTGATTCCCACCTTTACACTGGGTGACGTTAGAAGCATGGAGGTCATCTGTGAACGTCTCTGGAGGACAGAGGATGCATTCATCTTGGGCTTCTTCATCCTGGTAAGTATCCTGAGGACATGGGTAGCAGTCGTAATCTGTGGTGTTGCCTTCCGTAAGTGCCCAGTAAGTGCCAATCCCACACGGCACTGCATGACAAAGATATATTGGGGGAATTGTATTTAACTCATATCCTGCCATAAGGCCGCATGCATGCTACCATTATAGTGCTTTCTACACGCAAGTGAGCCACCGCTTCTCTGCTTCATGCATGCATGCTCATCATACTCTCTTTTCTTTCCTTTTTTTCCTTACACATAGTTCTTTCACACAGTCTTGTAAGAGGATTTCCACTGTGTTATATATTTTGAAGTAGATAAAAAAAACATTTCCATATTTAAAAAGAAAATCCAAAAGATTATTTTTATTACCACAAAATCCATTGACGGTGCTATCAATGTAACCAGATGGACAGTTCTCCCAAATATCTCCTGTGATGGAGGACGGGTCACCGTGTAAGACCTGGTCAGCAACCTCAAGGGTCAAGGAATCATTCCTGAGAAGCGAGCTCATGTTATAGTAGAAAATGTCCAGAAGTTCCATGGTCTCGAATTCTGTGGTATTATCTGAAAGACAATAATGGGCTCCAGTTAGGATTTAAGATGTAAAGGCAGGGTAAATTCCCAGAATTCTATTTTGTAAGGTGAAGAACACAATTGGCAGAAATAATACAGAAAAGCTCTTATTGATATACAATGCCTTAAACATGCAAGAAGCATATCATTTGATTTAGTTCATATGATATCAACTGTATCATCCAAATGATTATGGTTATGGTTAGGGACATACTTTGAATTTTAGATCAAGTTTACTGTTATGGTTATATAACTATATTATTTTGGTAAACAGTCTAAATCAGGAACTCAATTAGTTTAGGGAATTGATAACAGAGTAATCATTACCAGAGCTTATAGATAGCATGTCATCATTCTGCGATGTGAGTGGAAAGGTAGGAGTGTTCTGGTCGAGTGGTTTAAGGCGTTTGATTGGAGATGCGAAGGTCGAGAGTTCAAATTCCGACACAGCACCAATATCCTTTGGCAAGATCATATTAACCTGCATTTGCTACTCTCCACGCAGATGTTAAATGGGTAACAGGTAGGATGCGACCGTCATTGTTGGTCAAACAGTTTTTGAGCGTCAAGTAATGCCTGGCTGTATGCTCCCCAGGAAGTGGAGATTGTGCACACAATGTGTGAGGGCAAGTATTGAATCCAATGACCGAGGTAATAGTATATCTATAAAGCGCTTGGAGACATCATAGATGTATCAATTAAGCGCTATATAAAAGCGGAATTATTATTATTAGTAATGACACTCACCTGCTCCTACAGAGTGATGTTCAATGCTGTCATTGTGAGAGACAGTGATGCTTATTTCAATCTCTCCTGCTGACCCTACTGACCGGCGCTTGTTGGTCAAGAGTTGGCAGTTCTGCACCTGTTCACAATGGAGGTACATGTATTAGACTGAGGCAATATAGAAACATGAAATGTTCATGAGACTAATAATAAAATCAGAACATCAATGACATATAGTGGCATCTGGCTAAAGCATTTGCCACCATTTTCATCACCAATTGGTTGGGAAAGAGGAAGAAGAAGCATTTTTTTAAAATTCATTTCATTTCATGGTATTTAATTAAAATCTGTCTCACAGCAAAAAGAATGAATCGTACAAATTTTGAATAAATATGCGTAATTTAACATTTATCATAATCAATGCTAAAGGGAAAGGAAAAAAAATAAAATCCAAATTCTGTGAAGAAGTTCTGTGTATCTCACTTAGCTTTACAAAATAAAACAAACAGAATGAAAATAAATCAATAAATGAAGCTTCAGCTAAGCGTGAACACCCATGAATTCTTTACCTGGATTTGAAGAATTTTGCATGAATTCTCTCTCAGGCAGTCGATGTCTTCAGAGTGTGTATTCAATGAGCTGTAGGCAGCTTTTCTTAGACTCTCCTTATCACCAGCTGTGACACACACAGCACCAGGATAACCAATGTCCAACACTCCTGTCATCCCATGGCTCTTGGTGACTTCTGAAATTTGAAGATACTTGATCGAATGATATACAATTTCTCTCCCTTTTCAAACTTCTTTCAAGGCATCGGTGAGAGTAATCATATATGTATACAATGATTTACATTCTTAAGCAATGTAGATTGTACATGTGTTAACATCATCTGATAAGATAGATAGACAACAAAGCAATTGAATTGTACTACATATACTTATCTTAATTTGATAAATCAAACTGTTTCTACTTTACCCAGAGTCTATATCCTTGGATGATGAAATTGTAGTGAAGGGCTAATTCTTATTATCACAATCTTGTTCTCAAACAGACACTCTCGCTAAAAAGAGGGGTTTATTGATCTACTATAAAAATGGCAGGTATTTCTATAAAAAATGATTGGCTACTGGGAAGAGGAAAAACAAGAGTTAGGTATCCATTCTTAAAATATATATTATATCTTTTCTTAAATTATCCTACCATCTCATACCACACTGTTTGATGCTTTTATATGTTTTTTGTATATAATTTTGTTCATGTTTATGTACTCATGTTCTCATGTTCTATGTTTTTATGTATTGTTCGACCAATATCTAATTTTTATAATAATAATGTAAAACAAACAAATACACAAACTAGGTGAACACACCCAAACAAGTCAAAAACCTGGCCTTATTGTGTTCACCATTTTCCAATTATCCACTTATGTTTTTAATGTAGCCTGTACCTTGTTTCTCTTTTATTGCTATACTTGTTTTGATTTGTTTTCTTCTTAATTGTTTGATTCAAATGTCATTGTTTTACAATGACTGTTTTTTACACATTTTTTTTAATTGATGTTGGATTTGGAAATAAATGATTTGATTTGATTTGATTTGATTTAATAATTAATAATCCTTTCAAATTTTGGTTTATATGAAAGAACTTCTAATTTGAATGGCCTCAGATCAAGACCAGAATTAATCCGATTTTTACCTGTACAAGAAGGAAATATGGCCCTTCTATTTTTTGCTGTTTGGTGATTCCATCGGTAGTTGGTATCCTTCCCACAGAAGTAGAATTCCATAGCCCTCTCAGCAAAACCATAACCATGACGGCAGCTGATGGTGCAGTTAGTAATCTCTGGATGCTCCTCGCAGTGGAGGTAGCCCCTGAGTGGTCTTCTAAGTCTGAGACAGCCTACAAAATGAAATATATATATTCGTTTATTTATTTGTAGTAACCAAAGGGTTGAATTGATATAATACATAAATTTTCAACATGATTATGAACATTAGTCAATTGAGTACAATGAAATTGGTAAATTGTGAATATAAATACATGTACACTGTATATCAATAATCTTATTGCATGCAGTTTGGCATATGTTGCGCTTTATAAATATTGTTATTATTATTATTATTATTATTATTATTATAGTTTAATTCACAATTCAATGAATTACAAGGTAATATGGCCTATAGTAGCAAGAAGAGGAAATTCAGCAAAAAAAATTGAATCCATTTTTTTTGCAGAATAATCATGTACAAAATCAAAAAATTTAAAAAGAAAACAATTTGTAATTTTTATTCAACAGGTTCATTTAATAAGCCTGTACAATTTTCTTTTTTTCTAAGGAATCTAAGAGTGAACAATTTGGGGCCAAGCTGAGGAGGCAAAACTGATTCATTCAAATTAAATTTTGGAATTTCTGAACTCCAATGGGAGGGGAAGGGGAAGTCCATGTAGTTTTAAAAAGGTCACTTGTACAAAATTATAAAATTCGCTGAGACTAATACTGGATACATGCTCACGAAAGTTATGTAATCATTATTCATGTAGGTATGCACCTGTGATACATTCTATTGAACACAGGTGGAAGTAATCCTTTCAAGAGGGCAAACAAGGAATCACCTCCATGACTTTAGCTGTGATTATTTCAAAGGCATAAAGTGGGATTTATCAATGTTTAAAAGATCTGTGGATATTTGGGGTCATCTGAAATAGATGCTAACTACAAAATGGTCTTTTGTTTAGGTTCCAGTCCAATTTTTGTTTTACCTGGGCATTCAAACGCATTGCATATTCCATCCTGTTCAGCCTTCCCTGTACAGTTCAGACCTCCTCCCTGTGGAGCTGGGTTGGTACAGTCCCTAGTCCTGGACCGGGTACCACCTCCACAGGTGGAACTGCACTCTGTCCACAAGGACCAGTAGGACCAGGCTCCATCAACTACAATGACGAGGGCAAGGATAATGACAATGACAATGTGAATGACCATAATAATGAAAATACATAACATATCATATTAGATAGCTAATAGACAGATACCGAGATGTGATTGGTCCAGAGCTCGTCATGTGATATCGATTGCGAGGATTGTAATTGTTATATTTTCCAGGCCGGTCACTTTTGATGGTTATATTCACCAGCTTGTGAAATGAATATAATATAAGCACTTGGGAAAATATAACTCCCTTCATCGATCCAAAGAATGTTACACCCCCTGACAGTTAATATATGTATAATAACACAACTACAACTGTGACACTGATAATGCAGGTGTTTAATCACTATGAACTTGAGAGGTACACAGACACTGGTGATGATACTATCACAATGACAATGACAATGAAAGCGATAAACAAGTTGAAAGAAAATAAATCATTGAAATTTTAACAGTACAGAATTATATGTCTTAAACTACTGTTACAAGGAATGATTCATCTGCAATAGCATCTGTTTATCATTTACCTTTTCTAGTTTCGCAGAACTGCCCAGAGAATCCTTCCCTGCACAGACACTCTGGGGCTCCCTCTACCGTTTGACATGAGGCTGCGTTCTTACATAGTCCATCGCTGCACAAGTCTTGTGTGTCTGTACACAGTTCTCCCTTATAGCCACTTTCACACTCACAATGAAAACCATCCAGTTTGTTTTCACAAGATCCATGTGCACATGGGTTCGACATGCACTCGTCAACAGCTAAAACATGGGTAATTTGGATAAAAAGAAATTAAAAACAGTGCTTACACTTATATGTTGTAGATGCTAGCCGCGTTTAAAAGCGATAGTTTGAGGCGTTCATTTTTAAAGCTATACTATATGGAGTATAGTTTCAGCCCCATTGTATACCTCATAAAAGTAAACGTACCAGTGATGCTAGGGCTACTTATTTTGCTGCGCAGGTATGGCAGGGGTAATACAGCTGGAGTACCAGGATTACTAGGGCCCCTTTTCATATAACTTTTTTTTTAAAACCACCGCCAAATATGTGCACAGCCAATCAAAAGCAAGGATTTTAGTAGCTATAAATATTAACATAACTTGATTGAAAACAAGTTTTATGAAACAGGGCCCAGGAGTGTCACTTAAAAAATCCATTATCAATATTATTCTTAATCTGCAAACTGCATCCTAACAGTCACTTAGTTTACTTACTCTTGCTTCAAAAAAGGTATCGGTATTAACTCACCGTCACACATGGATGGGGATTCTATCTGAGTGGATGTAATGTTTTCTGATGACACCACGTCTGTCCATGATACAATGTCACCAAAGAGGGCAGGCTTGCAAGTAGATGATATTTCCTCTAACTTTTCCTCCTCCAGACGAGAAGCCCAAACATTGATACCACTCATGATGACATAATCTAGAATGTGACACAAACAGTACATAATTGCATAATATAGCATAAATCTGTATATTAATAGAATAAAGAAATATCATCATCAATAGTGATCTGTCAGTTTATGACAGATTCAGTGACCCAAAATTCTATATCAAGTGTCTCTTCAAGTTCCTTGGTCTTGAGCCATCCGTTTCAGCGTTTCATACCCTGTTGCTCCACATTATGTGATTACATCGTCTAGAAAGACTTTACAAGGTCTTCCCACCTTTTTCTTTACATGAATACGATCTCCTATGACTCTGAACATCAAGCCCTTATCATGCCGCATTATGTGTCCAAGCCATTTCTTCTGTCTTTCTCTAATTGTTTGAATCAGCACCCGATTTTCTTGAGCTCGATGCAACACCTCTTCATTCGAAACTAAATATATCAAATATATCAAATATAAAAATGCAATATATTTAGATCTTTCTTCAATAGTGCTTACCTTTCTGTTCCATGTTATCTGAGCCCACCACAATATATCCTGGTCCTACAACCCGAGAGGATGGCATGGTTCTATTCCTGTATACAGTGTTTCCTTGATCAACAGACAGGATCCAGATGATTTCAGGTTCAAATGTCCATTGAAGACTAACATGATGCCAGGCATTGTCACACAGGGAGGATCCTACATTGTATGACGTACTAAATGAAAAATAAAGAATTATTTGTATTTAAGCATTGATTTCATGCATGAAAATACTCAAAAAGACACAAATAATGAGGCCAGCCAAGATTTGCAAGTGCTATTACCTCTGTTATCAACCAGCCCTGTAAAGGGATTCTTGCATTTGATACCATGACAAATGTGAGCATACCTGTTACTCAAAGAGTATGAAGAGTTTGAGGATCCAAGTACGTACCCCTCATCTTCAACAAGGTTTGTACAAAATGCAAAGTCTTTTTAATTTTCAAATACAACTCTAAACGGAATCCTTCTCAAATGTCAATATACACTGAGATTTCTTTTCAAGCATTTCTCAACTTTCCATGGTAGGAAAAAGGTAAGGAGCACTTTAAATGGAACCAACAAATGATTGAGTTTACCTTTTACTTAAGAGTTTGAGGCTGCAGGGATTAGAGAGTGAGTACTCCTCATCTCCAACGATGTATGCAAAGATGTGAAAATCTTGCGGTGCGTGCAAGATGCGTATCCAGGCAGAGATAGTCATGTGACTGACATCACCTGACTGAACATCAGCAAAATGTACTACTTCAGATTCAGGGTTGAAGATGAGGTCAAAATCAGAAGGAAGAGCTGTGAAATAACAATATATTGGATTCAAACAAATAATTGCTATAATATAAAGGTTTGTAGAAAATGGCTTTATCATATATCATTAAATAAATATCCACATTAATTTCCAAAGCGAAGTTATTAAACTTTACATAGATGTACATGTAAAATTAATAATCACCTAGCCTATTGGTCACACAAAATAAAGGTATCATTAGTACAAAAAGATACTTCATACTTTATATACTACATACTAGCAGCAGATCGAATCAAAATCTAAAATGTATACCAAACTCTGATCAGTTAATCCATTCAACAGAATAACCAGATAAAACCCCTACCTAATGAATACAATTTAGTTGTCAGCATGTACAATGAAACAAAAATCTATCTTGAAGTATTAAAAAGAGCTCATTTCAGTACATAAAAGGCACTTAAGTTACGACAGCTAAATCATTGAGATAAAACATGAGGAGCCAAAACAATGCAATAACTGATATTGAAATTGATATTGATATTAGTATAGTGTATATCATATTTTCATCTTATTTGACCAAATTATAGTGATAATCTGGATTGTTCTATTTAACTTTGTATAACATTGCACTGATTGTGAATAAACCATTTAACAATGTAAAATGTACACTGAACAAATAATCGTAATGGAATACAAATGGTATGAAATATCTACCTGTTTCACAGAGTAATCCTGTGTAACCAGGAGCGCAGTCACAGACAAACTGAGTGAACCCTTCCACACAAGTCGCTCCATTGAGGCAAGGATCGCTCCCGCACTCCATACTGGCCTCATCACAATACAATCCTCTGAAATAGTCAATTAAACATTTGAAATAGAAATGTGAACATTTCTATAGCAAGGAATATATCCACATATAGCATCACAATACAGTCCTCTGCAATAGTCAATCAAACATTTAAAAGAGAAATGCTCCTTTCGCAAAGTTTCTGCTGAACTTTGGAACAGATTACCTTTAAATGTAAAAATCTGTCAAACCGTTAACATATTCAAAACTAGTCTCACGACACATTTATTCAAAATTGCGTTCGATGTTCCCTTTGACCAATATTCCATATGTATTATAACTTGTATGTTTATTTGCATTTTTAGTTTTGTATAAGATGTAATTGTACATCAGTCTATTTTGTGTGTATAGCGCTTAGAGACTTCGGTGGTAAGCGCTTTTAATATAAGTAACGTTTTTATTATTATTATTATTTATAGCAAGGAATATACCCACATATATACAGCATCAAAAGGGGTGCTTTCAAACTCCATACTGCTCACAATGCAGTGCAGTCAACTGTATTTCAATTAAATGCAATTAAAATGATGATGTGGACATCTCTAAGGAAACGTCTCTTCATATATATAGTATCACATAATGGTAAAACTTGTTCTTTTCTTACTGGATTTATACTGCAGCATCCCAGTTGGCAATACAGAAAAGGAAACAAACATGATTGTGTGTATTTAAAGATTTTATAGTTCGTTGAAATTCTACTTTTTTATAGACATGTAAGACATGTTTAGTGTTATACCAATCATTGTATAAAGTGCACTTAGATATACAAGACAATCTTGAATGCTTACAAACACCATTATAACTTTATTTTGATATTATCTGGTTAATTCAGTCATAAAAGGCATGAGATTTAACCTGTTTTTACCTGAAGCCAGCAGCACACTGGCAGATGTAGCCACCTATGGTATCCTCACATGAACCACGATTAAAACAAGGATTAGAGCCACATTCATCTATGTCAGTATCACATAATTCCCCAGTGTATCCTGCAGGGAAAATGGGAAGTCAAGATAGTGAATAAAGTATTGAAAAAACACAGTAATTGAAGATAAGTAACATTAATGCACACAGATCATGGGGGTGCATGTTATATTTGAAAGTGCTAAAGTTGACATCCTTGCTCTTGAATTCATTTGATATCTCAAGGACTGTATTCAAAAGAGGAAATAGGATTAATTTTTAATATAAATGAGGGAAATTGTCTCCCGGTTAACTTCTAATCTACATGAACATTCTTGCTACAATTTATGTCTGTTTACATTAAAAGCATTGCCTAGTACTAACTTTAAACAAATGGCTAGTAATGCATTATTCTCTCACCATTAGAGCACAGACATGCGAAGCCAGACACCTGATCAATGCAGGAACCATTGTTCAAACATGGCATTGATGTACAATCATCAATATTCATCTCACAATATGTTCCGTTGTATCCTGGTGGACATTGGCAGATATAGCCACTGACCTGCCGCACAGAAAGAACAAAACATGCAATATATCTGTCGAACAAACACACAAAGAATATGTTGGCCTGTAGGAGTATGATAATCATTGTCTGTAAACTGTTTATTTACCACTAGTGCTAACCGGCACATTTACCTGTGCGCCATGAGTGCTGATTGGCACAAACAATAGGAAACACTTAGCAAAAGTTTTGTAGTATAGCATCACATTTTCCCTACCCTAATTGTCTACATGAGAAGCCTTATATCACCTGTAAACAACGGTTTTGTTTTGTTTTATCTGAATGCTAAGAAAGCAGGTGTATGCATGTATTAGTAAGCAACCATGGGACCGACAGCTTTAAGTCTTTTCCAAAACTTGGTAATGAGGATTAATGCCTTACCAAAGGGCACTAGTGCATCGACTTGGTTTTTAACCCGGGACCTCCCAGTTACGAGACCACTACTCTACCACTGAGCCATAGCATCTCCTTATATAATAGACTTAACATGAAATGTTAAGATACTCTAGATGCCTTTGGTGAAAAAATACCCCTTGATAACTACAGCATGGGAAAGGGATTGAACATGAGTGGCACATAAAGAGTTAAAATCTTCTGGATCTAACCTCTGCTTTACATTTGAATCATACCTGGTCTAAACAAGTAGCATCATTCTCACAGCTATTGTTCACACAGTCATCCACATCCCTCTCACAGGCTTCCCCTGTGAAACCTTCCAGACAGGCGCATCGGAATCCCCTATCACCATCCTCCAAGCATGAGCCTCCATTAGTACAGGGATGGGAGGAGCAGGCAGGGATCACCCGGAGCTGGCATTGGATTCCTGTGTAGCCAGGAAGACATCGGCAGTGGTAGCCTGCAACTTCATCAATACAGGTAGCATTGTTTTCACACTCGCTGTTGAAACAGTCGTCTACATCGACCTGTTGAAAAGGAATGAAATATGGGCATCAAGACCAATTCCAAGCAAAATAGAACATGAACCCTAACATTTGATATAAGTCTGATTATATCAAATTCGGTGGCAAATCAAAATGTAAATATCCAAATTTTCCAAAATCTGGACAAAATATTCTTCCACTCCTGTACCGTGTGTCTCAAAAAAAACGTAACACTTTTGAAATGGTTGCCAAATTGAGCATATATAATTTTATGAAAAAATGTTGATATGTATGGAAAGCTAAAGGACCAACCTTTCATATGATATGAAAAAATTATAAAAAAAATCATGCTTCGATGGACAGTGTTCACTTAAGTTAGAGGTATGAAAATGGGCCTGCGCAGGATTTTTCCTTCCAATTTTGGACAGGTAAATTACTTGTAACTTACAAAATAAGGTCGATATGAGATATTCATGATCGATGGATCAAAAGGATATTTTGAACCAAAAGGATATTTTGAATACCTCGAATACCATTCCTTTTTCAGTGTTATTTATCAATCCCGAAACACCACCGCCCACCCCCCCCCCCACACACACACACACACACACTTCCACCCACTCCCATCTCATTGTATCATTGATCTGGTAGATGTGAACGGGATTAAGGAAGAATGGGAAAATGTTAAATTGAAATACCGTATTCAAAATCATAATTGACATTATGCAACCCACTCTCCTCCCCCCCACAACCTTTTCCCATCCCATCACCTACCCCTTGCCTTTTCTTTATCAGTTTTCTTCCGTAAGTTTGGTGGATCATCAATCACATTTTATTCAGGTTTTATGAATGACCCAAACATGTAATAGCTAAGTACATCATTCATTATGCATTGAAAATACCAGACCCCTTCTCTTTCCCCACATTTGAACTTGTTATCACCTGTCCATGGAATACCGTATGACATTGCATTGTTATTCTTCATTGGCCTGAACACTGAGTAGCCAGAAACTGTTACATAATCCTCTTTATCCAAAATCACTGTTTAATACTAAAACAAAGAGGCAAAAACATGGTATTACACATTACAGGTTTAAGAGTAAAAATAACTGCATTAAGTTGTTACATAGCCTTCAAACAGTCCATCTTATGCCATGTTGTCAGTATGGAACGACCCCAATTCACAAATCAGCAGCGTGCTTTCATGGTAACTGAGTATCATCGAACTAACAATGTTACAGCAGTCTGTCAGAGGTTCAGACAAGTCTACCCGGATGTACGCTGCCCTTCGCGTCTTACCGTGTACCGCAATGTCGCCAAGTACGAGGGAACGGGGACGAGCCATAATCTGAACCGAGGAAGATCAGGACGCCTCAGGACTGGACGATCGGCAGAGAATATTGAAGTGGTTCGTCAAGCCATTCAGGATCATCAGGATGGAGACATCAGCTGTCGGCGAAACCCTACAGATCTACCCCACGCCACCTTCAACAGGATCACGCTACTTGATCTTCACTACCACCCTTACCAGATGATCAAGAGACACGAGCTTCTCCCAGGAGATCGTCAGCGTCGCACAAGATTTTGTGAGTGGCTACTCCGAAGGCCGGCGCGATTCTTAGATGACTTGTTGATAGGGGACGAGTCCGGTTTCGCTCTCAATGCCCAGGTCAACACGCACAATCTTGTGGCATACCGGGATAAAGGGCATCCTCCAGAAGAGTTCGACTACCAAAGGAAGTACAACCGGTCCAAGGTGACGGTGTGGGCCGGTCTCACTGGCAGAGGGGACATCATTGGGCCCATCTTCTTTGACAACAATGTCAACGGTGAAGCCTATCTCCAGATGATAGATGGACATGTTGTCCCTGCCCTCGATAGAGTTGCAAGGTATCGCCGTGGCAGGAATGGACGGTTTCAACGCGTATGGTGGGCGCAAGATGGGGCACCTTGCCATCGCTCCAGGGATGTCACAGAGCGCCTCACCCAGCTCTTCGGTGATCGAGTGATATCCCTCAACCGCGAAGTTGAATGGCCTCCACGTTCACCTGACATGACGCCTCTCGACTTCTTCTTGTGGGGATGGCTCAAGGCCAAGGTCTACACCACACCTCCCGACACGCTGGATGATATCAAGGAGAGAATCACCCATGAGATTGATGTCCTTCGTCAAGACAGAGCCACAGTCAGGAGAGCTGTTCTGGACATGCTGAAACGGGCAAGATCGTGTATCGAGAGAGAAGGTGGACACGTCGATCATTAATGTGAAAGACTTTTATCTTTACCGGTACCCTTACTCAGTCGGTACTTTGAAAGCCTTGATATTCAATCAAGAAGAAAAGATAGCCATGTGGACTACTGAACTGATTACTTTTGTCAGATCTTTCATTTTAAGATGAACAAAGCAGTTTTAAATAAGAAAGAAATAAAAGAAACATGAAAATCTTTTAAAAAAAGATTTAACTTGTTTTTTGTCATGTCTGCCCTAATGTGTGTGTGTGTGTGTGTGCACGTGTGTGTATGTGTGTGCGCGTATATGTGTGTGTGTGTACGTGCGTGTGTGTGTGGTTTGTGTGCGTGTGATAATTGGTTTGAGCAATTGCTTGATGGAATTAATGTTTCAGTGATTTATCGATTGATTTCAATGATCAAAATGAGTGACTGGTTAATTTGATTATTAATGGAAAAAATGATCCACCAAACTTTCGGAAGAAAACTGATAAAAAAGCAAGGAGTAGGTGAGAGGATGGGAAGAAGGTTGTGTGTGTGTGTGTGTGTGTGTGTGTGTGTGTGTGTGTGTGGGAGGGGGAGGACAGTGGGTTGCGTAATGTCAATTATGATTTGGAATATTTCAATTTAGCCAATTCCCATTCTTCCTTAATCCCGTTCACATCTACCAGATCAATGATACAATGAGATGGGAGTGGGTGGAAGTGTGTGTGTGTGTGTGTGTGTGTGTGTGGGGGGGGGGTGGGCGGTGGTGTTTCGGGATTGATAAATAACACTGAAAAAGGAATGGTATTCGAGGTATTCAAAATATCCTTTTGATTCAAAATATCCTTTTGATCCATCGATCATGAATATCTCATATCGACCTTATTTTGTAAGTTACAAGTAATTTACCTGTCCAAAATTGGAAGGAAAAATCCTGCGCAGGCCCATTTTCATACCTCTAACTTAAGTGAACACTGTCCATCGAAGCATGATTTTTTTTTTAATTTTTTCATATCATATGAAAGGTTGGTCCTTTAGCTTTCCATACATATAGACATTTTTTCATAAAATTATATATGCTCAATTTGGCAACCATTTCAAAAGTGTTACGTTTTTTTTGAGACACACGGTATATTGGAATCTGCATAAATTTTAGGTCAAACGTAATGTGCCTAGACAGACCCTCCTCACCATGTCATTCCCTACATAATAAATTAATTGAAATACCATTACAAATCCGCTGCACCTACCTCACAGTTTGTTCCATTGAAGCCTACAGGACACTGACATGCATAACCCCTTGGTCTATCGGCGCAGGTCCCGTTGTTCAGACACGGAGCACTGATACACTCATCTTGGTTGGTCTCACAGTGGATCCCACTGAAGCCCTCATCACAGAGGCACATGTATCCATCAATATGATCAAGGCAGGATCCTTGAATACAGGGGAAGCTAGAACACTCATCAATGTTGACTTCACATGTGGTACCGGTGAAACCCGAAAGGCAAGTGCAACTTTTGGAGACAGAGAGGACATTAAAACATAATTACACATTTGTAAAGATGGAGAAGAGAGTCGGGACACCTAATGCTACATCCCTTAGAGCGCCAAAATGGCAGCTGTGCTAAAGCTGGGTATTAATTTGTGAAGCGCCAGGAGTGTGAAATCTGACAGACATGAGTGCTGTAAAGAAACCGCTCTTATTATTATTGTTATTATCACCTTTTTCAAGAAAAATATAACTGAATTCTTGTGCACACATATAAACAAACAGGTCAGTGATTTGATTGCAAAATAGTTACATTCCACAGATTTGATGGCAAAAGATTCTTGTTTCTTGGATAACTAGAAAAGAATCTTCTGACCCACATTGGTATCAATGCATGAACATACTCACGTGAAACCAGTTTGAAGACTGGTGCATACACCATCGTTTAAACAGGGTTCGCTCAGGCAGAAATCAACTGGGATGTTGCAAACATCACCTTGGTATCCTTGAAAACAGTCACATGACCAGGAGTTAATCCCATCATCACATGTCCCGTTGATGCAGGGACTGGAAAATGAAATAAAGTAAACTATTCAGATTGCATAGATATTGGGCACAAAGAGGAGTACATCCATAGAATTAAATCTATGTATGCATGTAGCTCTATAAGTAATATTATTTTATGTAGTCAATGCCATTGTGTGGTAGGGGATTCCTAACTAAGCCAAATGGGATTCTGTGAGGTAATATCAATTATAAAAACTCTGAAACATATGTCAGCTCAACATAATACTTCTTTTCAGAAAATGTAATGTAATTACAACTAAAACTTGAAGAAATAACATCATGACTCAAACTGAATAAGCCCAGAAAACTTGCTTTCCTTTTTTGGTCAAGACTTCCCGAACAAATTTGTAATAATATCCTAGAAATATAAACCTTACCTTGACAAACAATCATCTATGTTTTCTTCACAAGTGGGTCCAGAGAATCCAAGTGCGCATACACATGAGAAGTTTCCTATCAAATCCAGGCAGGTTGATCCGTGAAAACAGGGCTCACTTACACACTCATCAATGTCTATTTCACATTGCGACCCTGGTTACACAAATGAAAGTGAGGATCACAGGTATTACAAATGGATGACATACATTGAAAGAAATTCATGAAATATTACTCTTCATCTCTACAATATACGTTAAAATGGCAATGGCCTTACATGTTACATACATATACATTAGCTGTACGAAAGAAACGAGCACTTTGCATCTACCATTTATCTTTTTCAAAGTTCAAAGTCTGTGAATGACTAAGAATCTTAGAAATTATAGGTTCATTTTCTAAGCAATAGTTGCATTCTAGATCCCTTTTGCAGTGGAGGCAAAATTGCTGCTCTTACAATCAGATTACTGACTACTATTTCTAAACTCCGTAAATAATAACTTCTGAGCAAATATCTACCAAGGTAGATGTTCATGAATCTGTGGCACTTTTATCTTGAATACCTTGGAATCCAGGGACACATTGGCAGGAGAAAGTTTCTCCCCTGCTGATGCAGGTTCCTCCATTCAAACACCGCCCACCTCCATCACAGAGGTCCACCGCATCCAGACACTCCTCCCCAGTCCTGCCGGGTGGGCAAAGACATTGGTAACCACCGACCTTCTCCAAACAGGTGGAATTAGGCCCACATGGGTTACGGGAGCACTGGTCGGTATTATCATCGCAAGTTGGGCCTGTGATCAAAACAACGACATTCATATTTAACCTATTTGAAATAAATTATAGTTTGATGTTTACCATTCTTTAAAGCATTTTTAAAACCCATAAATCAACTGAATTGAAAGGATACATTCTAACAAAGGTGTTTGTTAGTACAGAAATTATATTAATTTTATTATAACGATTGTCTAAAGATTGCCTGAATAAAAAATCATCCTTCATGTTATTTTGCAGAGTTACTGAAATAGAAAAAGCTTTAATAACAATAGGCATATGCATGTAACTACCTTAATATTTCAATACTGATATAGTAAACCCTGTATTCTTGTAACACTTGATTAATAAACAGGTCATTGGGTTTGTGTATATAAATAATTGAAACCAGCATTGCTTCACAAACCTGTAAACTCTTCAGTACAATTACAGGTAAACCCATCCACATCGTCCAGACAGGTGGCTCCATTAGAGCAAGGACTTGATGCACAGTCATCCCGATTGACCTCACAGTCCCGACCTATGAACCCTGGTTGACATTCACATGTATAGATATGAGAAACGCCCTCTCCTGTCCCAGCCTGACACGATCCTCCATTGAGACAGGGATCATCATCACATGCGTTTCTCTGTCGCTCACAGAGCTGTCCTGCATAACCAGCTTTGCAGAGGCATTCAAACGTGTCGACGAGGTCAAAGCAGGATCCGTTGTTAAGGCAGGGGTCACTGGAGCAAAGGTCAATATCCACTTCACACTGTGGACCCTCATACCCTGAGGAAGTGCAAATAAAAAAAATGAATCAAAAATATTGCATGTGATCTGATTTGATTTGCATTTGGTCAGACAATATAAACTATGTCTGAGGGACAACAAATAATTTTCCAGATAAGAAAAGGAATAGTACAAGTTACAACAGAAAACAACATCATAAACATATTACACAAAGTAATATATACACAAGTTTATAAAATATGTACAAATTATGATTGCACTTAATGTGATGGTGTTGTGAAAACAAGAATGAAGTGATTTAATGTTAAGAAGTTTGTCAAGCATGAAACCTTCGAGGTGTCAATGAAATTATTCATTCCATGCCCAAAGAGGCTCATCTTCTTTCTTCTTTGTATGAATTTGATACAGATTTTGATGGGAAATGAACATAGTCATAATAGAGTAGTGTTCTTCATATAAAGGTGATGGTATGCTGAGGCAGATTTGACTGTACAAGAAAAAAAAACACTCTACCATCATAATGGCAACCACTTCTCTACCTCTATGATAAACACAACCACACTCTAAATATTTCAATATTCATCATTGCTCCAACATCTGGCCTTTAAAGGCCGTCTGTACTAGTTTCACCAGGGGGATTAGACCACCCTGGAAGGTCACTGGACAGGTGGTTATCTCATAAAATCAGCTCTCAATTAACATAAGAAAAAGAGGATCATGACCAATGGTCACCGATTAGGCATTGTTTGCTTTATAGAGGGCGCAAGTACCTATAAGTAGTGCAGTGGGGCTTTAAGTACTGTGAATGAATTTCAGAGAGGTTTACTAACCAGTGCTACAAGAACAAAGGAATCCATTGACTACATCCTGACAAGTCCCTCCATGCAGACAGGGATGGCTGTGGCACTCGTTGATATCTCTGGAGCAGTTCAACCCAGAGAATCCAGGAGCGCAATCACACTCGTAACCACCACCATCCTCCCCATCCAACACACTGCAGGTAGCAGCATTGAGGCAAGGATTTGGGGAGCACGGGTTAAGCACCATGTCGCAGTCGTTACCATGGTATCCTGGTAAACACTGACATTCGTAGTGTGTCGCAGAGCTGATGCAGGTTGCATTGTTCTGACATGGCAAGGTCTGGCAGAGGTCAAAAGCTACTTCGCATTCCACTCCTAAACAAAACAAGAACATGTATAATGATAAAGTGGCCTAGCTATTCAATAAGTGTACATACTGTTACACAGTGGTGTAACTACATTAACAGAAGATAACACGACCTCCTCCCCCTCCTTAGACGGACTTGCTCTCTTATCTAATTCATTTATCAAGGACTAATTCCTACCATAACACATAACACTCAGTAGCATACTCACACAATTCTTAATGCATAGCATACAGGAGTCTTTACTCTTTTGTCAGCTTACTAAGCAAATAAGATAAAGATACAGAAAACAGTTCACTATTTTTTTGATTAGCTTATCAAATAAGACAAATAGGAATGTGCCAATGACTTCTACCGTCTCGGTTCCAGAAGAGCTCTACTCACCTGTAAATCCAGGAAGACATACACAAGAATAACTATTGACAAGATCTACACAGGTCCCATTATGTAGACACGGCTGGTAGAGTGCACAGTCATCAATATCAATCTCGCAGTCTCTGCCACTGAAGCCTGAAGCGCATATGCATTGAAAGCTGCCTGTGAGGTCAACACAGGTCGCACCATTCTGACAGGGGTCGGATGCACATTCGTTGATATCTAAGAAAGAAGTGAAGTTAGAATATAAAAACATTATAATCTCTACTACTCACCATGTCTTACACATTATAGGAGCCAGACAGTCACTTAAAGAAAAAAATTACATATCATTATGTGTTCACGTAGTGTATACCAAAGCATACGATATAACAATTATAGAACAATTAGTTCACTCACTATTTTAGACATACATTCTTTAATAATTGCTTACAAATCTACCCATAGGTAAAAACAGAAGAACACTGACATTATTTTTTGTGTATTAGTACAATGGTAACCATGAAAATCATGGGTTGTGTATAAAGGAATACTCCATATTTACAAAGAAATGGTCGACACTTCTTGAGCCTATTAATCAGCTGTTACAACACATGTACATGTCAAAGGCATCAATTACAAGAGGAATTCGTTATTACATTTTTGTATGCAATAAATAACAAATCATATATGAGTTCAATTATATTGGGATTGTTACCTGTGCACTCCTGCACTGATTGTGCTCCGCTGCTATTGGTGGAGAGTTGTCCAGGGCAAAGGTCACATGACGTCTGTTGCGCACGACTTTGATAGGAGCCCAATGGACATGGATTGCAAGGATCAACACCAGAGAGGGAGAAGGCACCGGGTGTGCATGGCTCTATTGGGAGGGGAATAACAAATGATGTAGTACCACATATCAGTGTTAATATACCATGTTGTAATGTAATTAAATGTTAAGCACAGATCTTTGTTAAGCGCCTCGTTACAAATTGTTTTATTCACCTGTTACGAATGATAATAAACAAAATTGAATAGCGAATTGCATACATTATGTGTTGTTAGGTAAGACAAGTCCAGTGGCGGATCCAGGGGGGGGCCGAAACGGCCGCGGCCCCCCCCCCCCCTATTGGCGGCGCAAAAAAAAAAAAAAAAAAAAAAAAAAAAAAGAGGAAGAAAAGAAGAGAAAAAAAAAAGGAGAAGAGGAGAAGAAAAAAAGGAGAAGAGAAAAGAAAGGAGAAGGGAAAAGAAAAGGGAAGAGAAGAGAAAAGTGAAAATGAAAGATAAAGAAGAAAGCCCAACTCCCCCCCCCCCCCCTCCCTCCCACTCCGGGGTCGGAGGGACCGAATTTGTGTTCCCAAAAATTCCGATAAAGAGTTACTTTTTTCACGCAACAAAGTCCGGCCCGTAATACACAAAAATCCGGCCCGTACTGACTTACACCGGAGATAGAGGGGTGCTTTCAAAGAGAGGGAACATACATGTGCGTACCCTATACTGAGTGGGTGGGGGGGGAAGAGAAAAGTCGGTGAGAAAGGGGGAAAGACAAGGAAATGGCGCTAAGTGACAGTAGTGACGGATAAGGGAAAACTTTAATCGGGAGATTTGGGGTCATTCCAGAAGGCTTGGCAAACGTTATTGAATAGAGGGGGCCGGGCCTGCCGCATAAAATCTCGAGCCGCGGATTCAAAGTTAAACGTAAAAAACAGCCCCTGCGCTACAAAGGTCATCACTCTTTAGTGAGAAATTTGAAAAGGGCACAATATTTTTGATGTCTTTTAAAAAGAAGCTATATACTCAACAGTCAAATTTTAAATTAACGGTAGGGCCGCTTCATAACTCTTATTTTGTCCTTCATTTGGATTCAGCTCATACCAACTCGCTTGTGCTTGTATTTGAACTCATGTTGGTAGTAATCATGGACAGGGGCGGCAATCCTGGGCCCGATAGGGAGACATGTCCCCCAGGAAATTTAGAAATATAGCTAGAAAAAAAAATACAGCGGAATTTTCTAGAATGCATAATTTCAACATTGCAAAATCTCGCTTGGTCGCTACGCCCCGGCCCTCGCCCGATTACACAAAATTTATGATATGACGCTCCCAGCCGTGATTTTTTGTGTGCTATCACAATCATGATTGTTTCATTTTCCCTTTAAAGCAGGCGCGTAGCCAGGAGCGGTAGGGGCAGTTAGAGGACATAGGACGAAAAAGGAGCAGACAAAGAAAAAATATTGAAAATAGAGAACGGTACAACGAATCGTCTTCTTTCTCTAATAGTTTAATGAAATGTAAAAGCTTCCGCGTTTCGCTCGGTCGGGGGGGGGGGGGGCAACTGAAATCAGACAAGGAATGGTAAAACGAATCGTCTTCTTTGTCTAATAATTTAATGAAACGTCAGAAGTTTACGCGCTATGCGCGGGCGGGGGAAAACTGAATTCAAACAAGGATTAAGAGACGAGAATGGAACAACGAATCATCTTCTTTCTCTAATAATTTAATGAAACGTCAAAGCTTCCGCGCTTCCCGCGGGAGGGGGTAAACTGAATTCAAGCAAGGATTAAGAGACGAGAATAGTACAACGATTAGTCTTCCTCCTCTAATATTGTAATAAAACGTGAAAGCTTACGCGCTACGCGCGGGCGGGGAAAAACTGAATTCAGACAAGGATTAAGAGTCGAGAATGGTACAAAGAATTGTCTCCTTTCCCTTATAATTTAATGAAACGACAAAGCTTCCGCGCTTCGCGCGGGAGGGGGGGGGGGGCACTCAATTCAGACAAGGATAAGGAGTCGAGGACGGTACAAAGATTCGTCTTCTTTCTCTAATAATTTCATTAAACTATGAAAGGCCAAAGCTTCCGTGCTTCGCGTGGGAGGGAGGGGGGGGGGTGATTTTAGTCAAGTAATAAGAGTCGAGAATGGTACAACAAATCTTCTTATTTTTCTAATAATTAATGAAACGTCAAAGCTTCCACGCTTTGCGCGGGAGGGGGAAAACTGAATTTAAACAAGGATTAAGAGACGAGAATTAGTACAAAGAATCGTCTCCTTTCCCTTATAATTTAATGAAACGTCAAAGCATCGCGCTTCACGCGGGAGGGGGGGGGGCTCTCAATTCAGACAAGATAAGGAGTCGAGGACGGTACAAAGAATCGTCTTCTTTCTCTAATAATTTCATTAAACTATGAAAGGCCAAAGCTTCCGTGCTTCGAGCGGGAGGGAGGGGGCTGAATTTAGTCAAGTAATAAGAGTCGAGGATGGTACAACAAATCTTCTTCTTTCTTTAATAATTAATGAACTTCAAAGCTTCCGCGCTTCGCGCTGGAGAGGGAAAAACTGAATTCAAACAAGGATTAAGAGTCGAGAATAGTACAAAGAATCGTCTCCTTTCCCTTATAATTAAAGAAAACGTCAAAGCTTCCGCGCTTCGCGCGGGAGGGGGGGGGGAACTCAATTCAGAGAAGGATTAAGAGTGAAAAATGGAACAACGAATCATCTTTCTCTAATAATTTCATTAAACTACGAAAGGCCAAAGTTTCCGTGCTTCGCGCGGGAGGGGGAAAACTGAATTCAAACAAGGATTAAGAGTCGAGAATGGTACAACAAATCTTCTTTTTTTCTCTAATAATATTAATGAAAGGCCAAAGCTTCCGCGCTTCGCGCGGGCGGGAGGAAACGGAATTCAGACAAGGATTAAGAGTCAAGAATGGTACAACAAATCGTCTTCTTTCTCCTACAATTAAAGAAAGGTCAAAGCTTCCGCGCTTCGCGCGTAATGGGGGGGGGGGGGAGGAGGGGATAGCAAGCTGCCCGAATATGAGTTTTTGATATCTTTTCTAGTTTATTTTGGTGATAAATAACACTTTAACAAAATACATATCATGCTCAAATTGTTGCTCGGTCGATTCGCTCACTATTTCGAATTGTGAAACCAGAAAATTACTTTTCGGGCAAGAGGCTATGGCCCCCCCCCCCTCCCCCCCCCCCCCCCCCCCCCCCCCCCCCCCCCCCCCCCCCCCCCGATGAAAATGTCAAAAATTGTACCGGTATGGTGCTTCTAATATGACCTTGTCAGTATTGGTATGTTGAGTTGAAAAAACGGTCTGCGCAACTTTCAAATTTCCGGCCCCCCCTATTGGAAAATCCTGGATCCGCGCCTGAAGTCATAATGTTCGTTCTACCTAGCAACAATTAATGTATGCAATTCATATTCAGACTATTGAAACTAATATTATTGGTATCAGGTGAATACAATATAATTTGTAACAATGCAATTAAAGAAAGATTGGTGCTTTCAATTATATTACGAAACTGGCCTATCAAAAAAAGGACATTATGATACATCATGTTTTACATCCGTCATATATTTTATATTTGTAATAGCATTACACCCAAAGTACAAACTTGACAATACTGATCAGATTTCCCCATTTTGTGTTTGTTTTCTCTCAACTTAGCATTAAATAATAAGATCAAATGTTATCTCAATCTTCATCATACATTTTTACCTTATACACTGAGAAAGTTATGAAGAAAATTATTGCCTAACTGTAATTTTCCAAGCAAGTATGCATACCGAAATATATCATTATACTTTTAACAAAACTAAAGGCAAAAGAATCATATGAATATTTATAAGTATTCACATTTGTTACTTACAAATATCAAGATTCAAGATTTTAAGACATTTTATTTAGCAATCACCATGAAAATATATAAAAATGATACAAAATATAGTATGGAATATAGAAGGGACCCAAAGAAAAGCAAATGTTTGCCTGGAATTGCCCTGAAAGAGAGAGAAGAAACAACAAGAGCAAAACAGAAACCAAGTAGATACAGAGTAAAATGAATCAATAGTAGATAGTTTAGGGTAACAATAACTTATTATAAAAGACACTAAAATTTACTAAAGTTTCCTTCCTTTTGACTTACCCATACATTGTTGCATTTCAATGCATCCAGAAGCCAATGTGGTGGTTCCGTTAGGGCACTGAAGGCACGTAGTGCTCAGAGGGAGAGACTGGTAAGATCCAATAGGACACCGCTGACATGGGGCTACGCCAGTGGATGAGAAATGGCCCACCTCACAGACACCTGAAAAATAATCAACAGGTTATGATAATTAGTGAGGAATTAAACCAATTAAAACATATAAGCAAAAAAGTTATTCGCAATTCAAGACAAGTCGCATAAGGGGAAGAAACAAGGTAGTCAAAGAAGTCACTGAAGATAGAGGTGGCAAGTGGTGGGCTTAATGGGTAATTGGGTGCCATCTCCCCAGCAAAACCCATTCTGGCATATAATCTGTTTTGAGGCAGAATGGTGCTAGCATTGTTCTAGAGCATGCTTGAATCCATCCCTTTCTGACTCCAAACTGCTGACATCTAAAGTACCCAGTGAGCCTAAAAATGTGGTAACCTTTTAAATATTTTTTTTTTTTTTTTTTTGTGGTCTCGATCCCCCCTCTCCCCTTTTCTACTCTTCCGGCCAAATAATCTTGGATCGGCTCCTGATGACCATTGTAAAAGCTTTGACTGAATATGTCTTGAAATGCTTCAACAGCTGACTGCTTACCTAAACACTGTGTAGCATTGGTTGACCCTTCTTCTTCTGTCCACTTGCCCTCTTCACATGGGGTACACGCTGTCTGTGCTTCAGAGTCTTGGTAGGTTCCCCTGGGACAGGCCTGGCAAACCTGGGTCACGTTGTCATAGAAGGTCCCCACGATACAAGGAACTGGAATATAATAACAATACTAATAATAGGTCTTATTTACCCAGGGTGGCATCATCAGTATTAATAATGTTCTCCCTGAGGGCCCTGCAATCATATTATTACCCCAGCTTTAGACGAGCTGCTTTGATAAGGCGTGCAAGCATTCAAGTAATTTCTTCCTACGCCGAGATGGATTAGGCCAATTCAGTTAATGACCAGTAGTCACTCTTGCAACTTATTGGGGGTTTTGATCATCGTGTCATGAATATTGATTTAGAAATAATGAAAAATAGAGATCAAACTTTAAAAAGCTGTAAAAAATGTTCTCACAGATATTCTCAAAAAATATATAAAAATTATAACAAATTAAAAGAAATAAATAATAGTTGTATAGGCCTAAATGTCTTCATGTGACTATTCTCTGTCAGTACATTGCTAATATTTCATTACTCTGTTGATATTTTGCTTATTTCACACAGTTTAAACTAGTTAAACATAATAAAAAGGAATGGATGTTTTAAACTATTTCTGCATCATACCACACTGTAGATCTTGATTGTCCGCTGTGAATCCATCATCGCATATGACCTCTGCATAGTCGTATGTCAGTGACTCCTCGTCCAGGGTGATGTTGGCTCCAGAAACATCTGTGAAATCAGGAAAGGTTCCTTCTATGATCTGATCGTAAAGGATATCATTCATGGACACCATGATGTCCTCGGCAGCTCTGGCAGCGTCAAAGTTAGCCAGGCTTGGGTCTTGATCGATGTTTACCACAAAGTCCCATTCAATGGACACCAGGAAAGGACTGTCAGCCTGTCGCTTCAGGCGGTGTTCTGCCTGCTCCTCCGTCTGCAATGCAGAATCCACTTTCCCCTTGCTTCTAAAGAGTCTCCTTTGAGGAATCTCTCTACGGCCTCTTCGTCTGACCTCAAGGTTTGGTCCACATGTGACCTTGACATTATTAGCAGTGCACTGGTCAGACTGGGTGCAGACACTGCTGAAGTCAGTTCCCCGAAGGACTCCCAAGAAGGCATTTGCAATTTGGTTCAGGTTGTCCTGCGTGCCACACGCTCCAGAGAAGTATAGAAGCTCATTTGGAAGGTTACACTGGCCTGGCCTCTTGATAGCTTTTAAGAATGCAAGCACAAATATTTAATCATTATGAAAAAATGTAATGAAATGAATAAAAACATTCAACTATGTCTGTAGCCAAATCATTTATTTCATCCTATGGCGAAAAAATCTACCCTACTTTATTCTTGGTACATTGTATTTGGTATACAAGAGTCTCCAAGGTAGAACTCCCACTTTTCTCGGGTTTCTTATTCAACAGTGAAGATTGTAAAACAAAACATAAAGAATGTCAAAAATCAAATGTTCAAGGAGAGTAGTTTCAACATTAAAGAACTGCTTTTAAAAGGATAAATTTTAGAAACACGGTTAAAAGGGCTGAAGCAACTCTAAACCATTATGTCCATTCAGCTGCATTTATCCATTCCAAGAACTACAAGATGCATGCATGCATCAACTAAAAAGAATTTTTCTTACGAATACCATCTTTTGTTTTACCTGAGCAATCTGGTACATAGGCATGAGGGCTCCAGAGGCCGCTCCCTCCACAAACATAATGTTCAGGGGGCTGCCGGGATGACCGAAGCCTTGGGATGTCATAGTCGTCACTGCAGAAAATGCTGCAGAATCGTCCATACGCCCACTGGTCACAGGACAATGCTCCGTTCCCAGGCGCTCTCAGCTCATTGCAAGTAACAGCTGAAAAATAATGAAGAAGTTATAACTTTGTTTTCATACAGCGCAATGTTCAAATGAATCATGGCAACATTTAATATTTGTTAATGTTTAATAGCCTTCTTGTTCATTTCGACTGTGCTGACAGGCTAGTATATAGATGGCAGGTTTAAATCCCTCTGGTTCCAAAATTTTACCTGACTTGTTTTTAATTACGAGATCGAGCATGCGATCTCTATTTTACTGGGTGCACGCCAACAATTTCTTTAAAACAAAATTCATTATGTTCAGGGGAAACAGCTGCAGAGCAAACTTATGCAGGAGACTTAAGATCACATCTTCAAGAAATAATATTTACAAACATATCATCTTGATACTTCCTATCAATATATAAACATGAAAGAAAAAGTGCTAATTTCTACAACTTACGTGCAACTGATACAGAAAAGTCACATCCAACCGTTTTTCCGTTGTCTGTATTTGAGGCTAGATAGCTGACAACATGTTCTCCCCATGGGAATGTTGCCATATGGTTGTCATGGTTACTGGTGATGAGGAGGTCATCACCAGTAACTTCCTCAAAGACTGGTATTTCCCAGGTGACTTCGGTCAAGACCTCACTGGTGTTGACATGGATGTCAGCAGGGCAGAAGACTACTACAGGAGGTATTTCATCTAGAGTACAAGAGTCAGTGCAATAATACATTATCTGTTCCATCCACAGCAGAGAACCTGGATGACAACTTACATGTACATACATACCTTAAAATTAACTGAAATGAGCTAAACTGACCAAATAAAAAATTGAAATAGACTGAACTAAACAGAACTAAATAGAAATTAATTTCCATTAAATATTTTAATCTTAACTGAACTATTTGAAACAACACAAAACAGGAAAACACTATGGTAAGCTCCACGTCAAAAACAGAACAGAAAGAAATATGACACATCAAAGAAACATAGAACCGAATTAAAGCAAATCTAAACATATTTGAATGGAGCTACATCAAAATCAAATGTGACTTAAATTTGAGAATTGAAACAATGAATAACCTATTTCAAAACCTAAATGTGAGTTTAGGAGTTGCCTTTGATCCCAATTCTAGAGTTTCCTTGGATTTGATTCTGTGTATAATAATTTGATCTAAATCGAACTAGTTAATGCTGAACAAACAAATAATATACATAAGTCAGAAAACAAAGAAAACTGGCTAGAATTGATGTATTCTAAGAAGAACTATCTTTATAAGCTATCAAGATAAATTTGACACATCAATATACCATACACATCTTCAATCATAATAGTCACATTAATACAGCCCTTAAAACTACATTTCTAAGTGGTTTACATCAATAATAATAATAATAATATTTAGTTTTTATATACCGCTTAATACAATGTCTCTAAGCGCTTTACAAATATACTATTGTAATTATTATCTCTAATGTTGTCCGCATTAACATATGCCTTCATTACCTTGCACATAGACAGAGAAAGAGCATGTCACAGAGTTGCCAGCTGAATCTGAAAACGTATAGCTAGCCACAGCATCCTCTGTGAAGTTAAAGGGGGAGATCAGATTTTCAGGCAAGGTGGTCACAGAGAGGACTCCATCGGCATTATCCTGAGCTCTGGGTAGGTCAAAGGGCACTTCTACACCCCAGACTTCAGTACGGATGATTGATATGGGGCCAGGGCAGAATGTCAACGTTGGAGCTACTTCATCTACAAGAGAACATAGAGCAAAATAGATTTGTTCAACGGATATTCAGATACAGCATATCTGTGTCGAGATCTGTAGAGATATTTTCACAGCCATGTCGAGAGGCTTTGTCAGGGAGGTAAACATTTTGAATAAAAGAATTTCAATACTGAGATTTATCATTATCAATCTACGCGTGTATATCAAGAGTAAGCAAATCTTGATATACAGTTGGAATGATTTTACAAAAATGTTTGACAGCTTTGTTGTCATACACATACATGACAGGTTACTTAAAATTTTTGCTCTCTACTAATGCATGTCACATCAATCGCAAATTTAACTTTAGATTTGATTATGATTTAATTTTGATTTGACTTTTGTTAAAGCAACTGATTCTGTTTCAAACAGTGTGGATCACTGCATCATTTCATCGTCCATACCAACGCATGTCACATCGATTGCACCAGCATCTAAGTCCCACTCTCCATCTGCGGCACAGGAGACTGAGTGTACAGCGCCCTCTAAAGTAAGTCCATTGTGGCAGAAGAAGGTGCATTCTGTCCCGTAGTAGAGCTTCTCCATACTGGTGCATGTGGCAGGGTACACATTGATGTTCAGTGGAAGGTCCAGGGGGTCACATCCAACAACTGGTATGCAAAAAGGAAGATTTAAACAAAAAATAGGGGTAGACAAATTTAATACAAAAAAAAACATAAAAAAGAGACAAAGAGAGAGAGAGAGAAAAAAAATCAATAGATATGAGCTTTAGGAAAGTGTATTTTATTCTGGCAACTTCTGCTTAATCCATTAAATAGAGTAAGGTCACAAAATCTAATAGGTGATGCACACTGCTCTACAAAGTCCAAACTTCTACATCACAACTAAAGCATGCACATTTTACAGAAAAGAAAACAGATGAGACAGCGATTTAACAAACATGCAAGATCATAGGTTGCTGTATTTCCCTTCCTCCCTCCTCTAATGAAAATTAACACTTACTATCACAAAAGGGTGTTGTTTCTCTCTGCCAGTGCATGCGTTGCCCTGTGTAGTTACAATGAGTTAGGCTCGGACCAACGAGGGAGTATCCAGTAGCACATTCCACTTCACACTCGCTTCCCCATACGTTGTCACATGATCCAACGACATTACCAAACACGGGCGGGTAGAGAGGCTGACATCTTCTCACTAAAAATGAAATCAATATAAGAGGAAAATAATTGTGAAGATGGATTTAGGATTCAAGTTTCAAAAAATGGTAATGGTTATTTTACCTGACTGCTAACAAAGCATAAATGCTTGTAAGTAAGCAACCAGACGGCCGACGGCTTTAGGTCCTCTCCGAGGGACCTGGTAATGAGGATCAATGCCTCACCAAAGGGCACTAGCGCATCGCTTTGGTTTGAACCCGGGTCATCGGATTACGAGACCACTCCTCTACCGACTGAGCTATCGCGCCTCCTTCTAAGTAAAAGGGTAGCCTCATGAATTTAAATACTACTCTCCCTGATGGATCTCCGATCAAAGTTTACATGCTACTGCATTCAGTATTAAATCTATGTTGTATAATTAAAATAGAAACAAGAACATTGTTATCTCCTCTATAGGATACCATGAAACAAAGAAATGAAACAAAGAAGTTGGCGAATAGACATGAAAATCACCAGCTGCCACTAGATAATGCACTACTGAGCCAACCATAATTATAACTGGGGGTGTTTCACGAAGATCCTAAGTTGGACTTAACAATTATGGAAAGCCGTTAGCAGCTATGAATTTTGAAGTCCAACTTAGAGTTAAGTCCGACTTAGGATCTTTATAAAAACACCCCCAGCTCTCAAAAAATTCTTACATCTACTAACCTCTCACATTGATCTCAAAGAAGCAGGTCTGTGTATTGCCTTTGGGATCCGATGCAGTACATTCTACAGCATAGTCCCCTTCAGGCATCAATCCTTGCTCCAGGTCACACACAATACTGGTGGCAGCGGTGGGATCGTTATCAGTGGCCTGTACATCCCAGGTGATATCCGCAAGCAGTTCTCCTTCAGGGGTATAGACAATGAAGTCATTCGGGCAGGCTGTGAACACAGGCTCTTCAATATCTGGAAAGAAGAAATGTAGTCCAAGTCCAAGAATAAATTCTTACCCTTTGAGCCTTTACAGTAGAATAATTACCTTAACAATATATCATGAGATTATTCACATTATGTTTCCGATTTCTAGGATCTAAAATACTGACAATGGTTCTTCTACAGATCTATCAGATCCAATGCCCTATTCGTAAACATTCCTATAACCACAGAGCCTTTCAAGTGACCCACAATTTTGTGTCAAATACAATCCATTTGCAGTCTCCTCATTATTTCATTCACTTTTCTTTTTAATTCAGTTTTTAATTAAATGCATACTACTACTCACTTTCTGTTTTTGTCTGTTAATAGAATCCCTGTTTCTTTGTACCATTTACTTTGTGAAATCATTGCAACTAAATGTTAAAGGTATGTGAAATATTTTAAATATATGTGCATTATGAAACAATGAACTGAAACTAACTTGTTTAGGTAGAGATTCTCGGGTAAACTCTATTCGGATTTCAACAAAATTGATAATTTAGAAATGAAATTGATCTGTTTTCCCCCTTTATTAAAGTCCTCGTAGTCAAAAAGGCCTAGAAAAAACAAAGAATGACAGCACTGTAAACCATCCAAAATTGCTGTTGCCCAGAAATCGAATATGATAACAGGGACTACTAACCAACACATGATGCTTGGGTGATGTTCCTGGACCAGAACCCAGTTCCTAGGCAAACCGTATCGCTCAGAATCCTTGGCTGGATCTGGAACCCAGGTGTGTTACATCGAAGCAGACATGTCTCTCCAAACGTGGGGTCTGTCTGGCAGTCAGCAGGTGTGATGGTGGCTCCATTCACCACTCCCAGTGGAGCACAGGCAACGGCTGTACAGAAACAAATTGTCAATTTTTAAATAGGTACATTATCTTTAAAAAAAAATCTATTCATGTATCTATGTATGTATCCCATTTCAGTCTGGAGGCTGATAGCAACATTCTTATACCCTTTCCATTTATGTACACGACTCCATTTGGTTACCACGCTGAGTATTTTTTTTCTTCAAATGGGTACTTGGCAATCTCTTTGGTCTTGATCTATAGTCATTATCTGACTGTAGATGGTGGTTTTGTGAATTGTTCTTAATAGCAAGAGCAAACACGCGATCAGTATTTACTGGGTGCAAGACAAGATTTCTTTACTAATTGATATTGCACCCAGGAAGCCTCCCATTGAAAGCCTAACATTTGTCCTTCCTCTTAAACAATAATAGTACCCAGATGTTATATTGTGCATTGCAAATGATCATCATAGTACCCCTTGATGATTATCTTATCTTCAACTTTGAGATTATTTATGTATAATGTGGTATGTGAAATATGCAAATATTACCTGTAATAAAACTGAAGAAGACAAACAAAATTACCTTGACAAGTGAAGTCAGAGCCACTCCAGGTCCCGTCAGCTTGGCAACGCTTCTGATGATCACCAACCCCTCTGAAGCCATAGGGACAGTAGAAGGTACAGAGGGTTCCGAAGGTCTCTTCTGCAGGTGGCTCCTGGTGGCACCCTGACCTGACTGCTAAAGGTGGGGTCGCAAGGGATGGGCAGGTACGGGCTGAAGGAGCAAAATACATGGAATTCTAAGGTTGAATAGTTATACTGGTAACACGAATCAATGAAGAAGTTTGTAACTCATGGTTTGAACACCTGATATTCCCTTAAAGCCCATCTGCACTAGTTTGGCTAGGTGGGATTAGACATTCCTGCAAGGTCACCGACAGATGGTTATCTCATCAAATCAGCTCTCAATTAACATAAGGAAAAGGGGATCATGGGGGACCAACGTGCACCGATTAGGCATCGTTTGCTATATAGAGGGTGCAAGTAGCTACAAGTAGTGCAGTGAGGCTTTAAGATTTTTCTTCTTATTTCATCGTTTCTACATGTATATATTTAGAAATTAGAGTATGTAAGGGTTACTATTCTTTCTGATTGGGTCTACCAATAGATTGGGATAGCCATTTCAAATAATAGAAAACATCACTATTCATTGATATTACATAATAATATATCTTTCAAGTATACCATGTTATAGGTTTTCCTTAAAAGACATTGTAGCTGAGATGTTAATATCAATGTCATTATCGTTGTCATTGTCATCCTCATTTTCATATTCATTCATAGATTCCACTGTTTCTTACGTCTGCATGAGGGTTGTTCTCCATCCCATGATGCAGGAGCTTGGCCTTGAGTCAATTCACAGGTGCGTATGGATGGACCAACAAGCTCATAGCCCTGGTTACATGTGTAAGAACACTCTGAGCCATATATAGGGTCTGTGCAGTTGACAAGGGAGCCCCTGGATGGTGCTTGAGGTCTTCGACACCGGAAAACTGGATAAGCATCAGAAAGATAAATTGCAATTAAAGTGTGTGTTAACTTATACAACAGATAACTATGTGCTTCCTACTAGGGTCTCTCCTCCTAAGAATTGCAAAATATATACAGTCAAACCTGTCTATAGCAACCACCCAAGGGAAACACAAAAAGTCGTCTTTGTAGACAGGTTCCTTTAGAACATATTTCAATGAAAAACCATTTTCAAGGGGAAAAAAATATGGTGATTGTAGACAGGTGGTTACTAAAGCAGGTCTGACTTAAGTAGAAACATTAAAGTATGTGGGCCTTTCTGCACCACCTTGATTTCTGCAACACCTTAAGGTTTCATTTGACAAATTTTCTTCTCCTTTTTTTGTTTTTATGTCAATCATATAGGTATGTATTTTCTTTATGATGTGTCTTTTACATGTATGTTTGTATTGCAAATAAGAGCTTGCTTAAAGAATATGTGTGTTCAAATAGATAAACAAGCAAACTGACTTATTGAATAATAAATCACACATAATGGTGAACTGCCGGAAGATCTGTTTTCTCACCATTAACATGAATATCTATCTGACAGCGGCCTGCATTGCCACTAGGGTCAGAAGCAATGTAGGAAGTCGTTGTAGTGCCTTCCAAAAAGGTTGCATTGGGTTCAGGCAGACCAGCGATTCTGTATACAAAATAAAATAAATTTAGATTAAACTCTACAAATCATTCAAAGGCTTGAGGGTTAACACATCAGACTGTTGTCTAGAAACCACTAAGAGTCACTCACAAGTGGATAAAATGGAGAAAGGCTGATTTTATTTCATCAAATACATTAACCAAACCCGTGACCTGTAGAAAATTATAGGTGGCTTTGAGATAAACGAGTCACATATCTTGTTGATATAATTACGACTTACCTTTTTACCGTGACATTCCCTGAGTTATCTGAAGCGCTAGGAATCACAAAATCCACGGTGGTATTGAGTGCTCCTCTGTCAGCGTTGACATTGATATACCTCGGGCAGGGTTCATCAAACGTGGGCTCCTGATGATCTGAGTAAGATATGAACATACAATTGAAATGAAACGCTGTGGGAATGAAGCTCGGTACATAAAATATTTATCTCATTGACCTATTTATATGTCATATTGAATGCATTTAAAGGCCCATTGCACTCCGTATAGCTACTTGCGCCCTCTATATAGCAAACAATGCCTAATCGGTGACCATTGGTCCCCCATGATCCTCTTTTTCTTATGTTAAGTGATAGCTGATTTGATGAGATAACCACCTGTCAGTTACCTTGCAGGGTGGTCTTATCCCTCCTGTAAACTAGTACAGATGGGCTTTAAACACCTGTGTGATTGAGCCCCCTGTCAACATTCACAGTGATATACTTTGATCATGGTTTGTCAAAGTGGCTTGATCTATACCTGATGTGAACACACTTCTTGAGATAAAATTGAATTGAGATTTATTGTCCCTTTCAGGAATTTTTTTTAACACTGGTTTCACAGTCATTGTACATGGACATAATACAAGAAGAAATACATAATACAATAATAGCAAATGTACATCATCACAAACATCATAACATTCTGAAAATTATTGTTACATTGTAAACGGAACAATATATACACTGCTCAATTGCTAAATATTTCAATTTATTGTTCAATGGTCCTTTCTGAACCCTTTTATCAAAATTCCCATTGAATGTGTTCCCACAGAGGTACATTAAGCACTGCTAATCGACATTGGTCTCCTGAGGATCTACAGAAGATTTGTGAACCTATTGTTCTAACCACCCTTTAACGTGCTTCTCATTTTTGAGATGTTTCACATCATTGAACATATTTTATCCAAGCACTTTCAAATTATTTGCAAGTTCAGATCTTTTCTTTCTATTGCACAATTATGTTGAACCATGTGTCCATTTATTTTCCTGATTCTAACAGCATTTGCTTTCTAGTTGCCCAACAGAAAAGTCTTTTCAAGTAAATAATTAAAGGGAGTGTCTCACTAAAAAAAGCCTTAATTACTCTTAATTTTATTAGAAGAATTCCTGGTGACCTTGTTCAAGTTCCCCTTTTCCCTGTATCATTTTGTAAAAGATATAAGCCTAAGATGAGGGTTTATGATAAGTTATAAGATTAGAGAAAGGGTTGGATTAAAGTTCTGCATATAGTTAGTGTAGGGAATTGACTGCAAAGTAATTTTTGCTCAAGCAATTTTTTTAGAACCGACAGGATCACTGATATCAAAATCATATTAATCACCAGGAAGAAATAATATCAGTATTCTGATTCTTTAATGAAACTTGGTATATTTTGTTTCCGTTAAAATATACTTACCTTCACAGTAGACAATCCTGTTGTCACTCCAGGTGCCATCTGCTGTACAGGTTTTGGCAAAAGAACCATGCTGCAGGAAACCATTGTTGCATAGAAAATTGCAGGGGGTGTCATAAGGAATCCTGGAGTCCGAATTGGTACACTCTGCTGGTGATACAGTACCATGGTCCAGTCTGAAACCGGACAGACAGCTCACAGAAGCTGAAGTATGAAGAGATAGAGGAAAAGACTTTTAGATTCATAACTGTTGTTGTAAACAAAGAGAAATTGACAGTAGACAATGAAGTCGCAGGATATGCCACAAAGTGCCCTGGCTGGCACCATTATTGGTATGCTCTGCTAGTCATACGGTACCATGGCTATATGAGGATGAAACCAGACTGACTGCTCACAGAAGCCGACATAGGAAGATAAAGAAAACAAATCTAGATTCATAAACTATTAAGCAGAAGAGAAAACCATTCTTGCAGGAAAAGATGGAAGAGTTACCATACCATACCAAACCATGGGTATACTATGCTGGTGATGTGTTGCTTTGGTTCAGCCTAAAACCTACATGGACAGTTTACAGAAGCTGACAAGGGAAGATTCAGAGGGGAAGAGGAAGCCAATGTTCCAGAGGAAATTGCAGGATGAGCCGTACTGTACTCTTCGAGGTGACAGGGTACACCGTACTGGAGATACAGCACCATGGCTCAGACTTACACCAGTTGGACAGGACACAGATGCTGACATTGGAAGCTTAAGAGGGAAACATTTATACTCGCATCTATTGTTGTCAGTAGAAGAGGGTTTGTCGACATACAGAAGAACTTAAAGGTAACGTTATACAAGATTTTATAGATAGATTTATCATCTTCATTGTCCTTGTTGCCCTAAGGAATCTAATGAGAACTTTTAACAACAAGGTAATATTAAATGTTACAAACAAGGTAATTATCCATTACAAACAAGGTAACTAACCATTACAAACAAGGTAATTAACCATTATAAACAAGGTAAATAACCATTAAAAACAAGGTAACTAACAATTATAAACAAGGTAATTAACCATTATAAACAAGGTAATTAACCATTACAAACAAGGTAATTAACCATTACACACAAGGTAACTTACCATTATAAACAAGGTAAATAACCACTATAAGCAAGGTAAATAACCATTATAAACAAGGTAATTAACCATTACAAACAAGGTAATTAACCATTATAAACAAGGTAAATAACCATTACAAACAAGGTAATTAACCATTATAAACAAGGTAATTAACCATTATAAGCAAGGTGATTAACCACTATAAGCAAGGTAACTAACCATTACAAACAAGGTAAATAACCATAACAAACAAGGTACTTAACTATTATAAACAAGGTAGTTAACTATTATAAGCAAGGTAACTAACCATTACAAACAAGATCCTCTCCTGAGAATATTCCATCTGCAGTGCAGGTACGAGTCGCTCTCTTATGCCCCTGTTCTGTCAAGTATCCATCATCGCAAGCAAACTCACACTGATCTCCGTATGATGCATCTTCAAAAGGGCAGCCTCGTACAGAGCTGTTGGCAGAGGGTTGGATTTCACATCTTGCCACTTCAAAAAGAGATTTGTTAAACAGTGAGGTCATGTATTTTCTGTTTAAGCGCTAGGCAAGGAAAATATGATTATCATTTTGACACAAATAATATAAAACATTATTTCTGCATCTTTAGTGTTCTCGTGAGCAGCACACTTTGATTTGAAACCCATAACAATTGTGGAAATTAGTCAATTTTAAATTTTGGGGCATTAACATTCCAGACTTCATGAATACTTTGTTTCCCATTTTGAGAATACTTTAACCTATCAAGCAATGCAGTATTCATTCATTAAACAAATAGTAATTACCCAATTTCATAAAAAATAATGAATGCAAAACTTCTGTGAGAGCATATCCAGTATTTGTTCAATGATATTTTGCAATTTTGCCTGCTCATGTGCATAATGTATCTTTATCTCCAAACTGGCTTTTTTTTTAGCTAATCAGGCAAAGAAACACATACCTTGACAAATCGGCACATTCTCATTCCATGCTCCAATAGTATTACTTCCTCCTCCACTCTGCCCACATATCAGCTCCACATGCTCCATTTTGTCTGGGAGGTCATAACCAAGGTTACAGGTCACTTGGCATGTTGACCCCAACACAGCTCCACCCTCACATGACCCCTGACCCAGGAGTAGAGTAACATGACCTTTCGATGGAGCATAAATAGGCGGGCATCTTACCACTGGAAAATACAAATAAACAATTAAGAGTTACAAAGTCGTTTCGTGAACTAAAATATTTTCAAGTGAACCACTAATTATGGAGTCTGAGAATACTTCTTAATAATCTTGTCATTGAATTCCTTCAAATAAGATATCACTTGGGTGACCTTGATAAGCAAGTTCTAATAAATTTCCTGCTTTTATTCGGGTCAAATTAATTCAAAGGTTGACTTTTGATTTAACTGATATATGTCATTTTTGACAGACATGGCACATTATATATGTTCACTATATTATTATTATTTTAACTACACATTCCCATTAGCTTTCTCAACACATCATTAGAAATGGAGGGAGTGGTAACTATATATTTCTAACTTTTCCAATACACTCTATAGAATGAGTTTATATTATATCTACTGTTACAAAATATTGATTACTGAACTTTCACCTTTGACCTGGAGGTCAAAAGAGCATGTATCAGTGTTGCCTGCAGCATCTGTTGCTCTATAGACCAGAGAGTGATCTCCTTCTGTGAGGGTGGTTGGTTTGGATCCAATAGGGTTCGAATCGATGCTCTCCAACTGAGCAGCTATCATCAAGCCTGCGTCTGATGCCTGTGTGTACATCATCATGAAAACAGGGTAAATGGCAAAACATGATTGTACTTATCATGATCTTCCTCATTATTGTCATTATTTTCTAGCGCTCATCTTAATGTTTCTGCTTCATATTCCTCTTTTTCCTAATACAAAAAAATATTATCGCATTCAATATATTGAAATCATTTTCGATATAAACTTGTCACATACTGTGCTCAATGAGGTTTACAATAAAGCCGGGGTATACGATATGATTGCAGGGCCCTTCGGGAGAACAGTATGAATACTGATGAGGCTACCCTGGGTGAACAAGACGTAATATTATTATTATTATTATTACAATACCAAGTGTGACCGAGGATTCAGTTTTGATATGGGTTTACCTGTATTGGTTCAAGCTGATCCCAGTTGACTGTACCCACTGATCGGCCAGGGTCTGCATAGAGCACAGTATCAGGAGGACAAAGTACATTCGGAGCTGTCAAATCTGAAAATATGAAGAAAAATATGAAGCATAAAGGTTTCAGCATAGATTTAAATAAAAGAAAAGAACATCATTAAACAAAACATGTTTCTGAGTTTTAATATTTGCACAGAGCACTCTGTACAGTATTGAAAATAATTTAGAATGCATGCTTTGAATTTACACATCCATTTTTTTATTTATTTATTTCTGATATTTATACAGGGTGGCACATATCACCAATTTGGTGGTCTTCCATGAGGCCCTGTTTGGTAATAATACAAACAAATAACAGCATCAAAAACAAAATAGATAAATACACAAGCATATAAACAGGTAAAATACAAAATAATTGGTATCCCCTTGAAATAACTGATCATTCAAGAATCCTTGATCATTTACAAGAAATAAGTGAATGGAATTTTCAAATTAAATATAATTTTTTAAAAACGTTCATTTAATAATCTGATAAAGCTTAACGCACGGGATACCAAAATTGTTATATACATATTTACATTCAATTGCTCTTTAACTTATACACTTAGGTTGTTTACAAGATAGCTGAAAATGGATACATTACATGTATGAATACATGATATAACGATAACCATGTCAACCTATTTTCATAATTTTGCAAATAGGAAAAAAATGGTTACCTTTGCACGAAACCACCAAAAGTTCACTTACACGTCATCTACAGATAACAGGGCATATCACCATCGAACTTGAATATCTTCCAGAACTATATCATAGGCAATATCTAACCATTCTGATTTTATTTGTATTAATCTGTAACATTTTGACTGGAACATAATTAGACAACATCCAATTTCGGACTGGCTACTAACTTTCTACACTCTCATCATCTTGGAAGAAAACCCCATTTTCCTCTATCAAAGATTTCTTATGGGCTTCATCCATTGCTAGCATCTTAGTATATTGGTGAAGGCTCTTTACTATCACAGGTGAAGTACCAGGATTGATCTTAGCTGGGGGTGGGGCTACATCCTAGGACAAGGTGTTTTACTCACATTTGTCACCCACATTTGTCCCTCTCTATTCAAGTGTATTACATGGTAGTAATGCCGGGGGTAATAATTACTACAGGGCACACAGGAAGAGTAATATTTGTGCAGGTTTATGCTGTTTGTATACGACCAACAAATTATATTTATCATAATCCTGAGTCATCTTGTGCATAGTATTCAACAGGTTAAATGATCTGCCTACCAACACAAGTCTGTGCCAGACCATCCCATCGGCCGTCAGCCAGGCAGCGCCTTGTAGTAGTACCGATGGGAGTGTAGCCCTGACTACAGAGGGTGATACAAGTAGTCCCATAGGCTTGTCTCATGGTGGGGTCCCTAGCTTGGTCAGCTAGCTGGCAGCCATCCACGTAGCCATGAGATGGGATGTCCAAAGGCAGGCACTGGACAACTAGAAAGAACAGAAAATCACTCATGTTTATGAAGCACTCATGTGACAGATGTGTACATCAGCATTCTGATTTTCTTGAGATGAAAATAATTTATTTGTAACAAATATATGACAGTGAAAGAGTTATTGGCCCGAATTCACAAAGGAGGTTTAGCTTAACCCATGGTTAAAACCCTCATTTACATAACTCATGGTTTAAAAATTAGCGCAAAATAAGCGTACCTTGCCTTGGACATCTGACTGTTTCACGCTTAGTTTGCGCTTATTTTAAACCATGGGTTATGTAAATGAAGGTTTAAACCATGAGTTAAATTTAAACCTCCTTTGTGAATTTGGGCCACTGAGTTTACATTTCCATTATTTTCATATTTACAATTCATGTAAGCTGACTGCAGCTTTACACACAGTAGAAACATGGACTTCAGATTCTGATACTAAAAAGCATTTGGAAAGCCAGGGTAACGTCCATTCACCTGACTGATGGATAAAACCAGCAAGTGCTTACCTGAGCAGGATATAGGGCCTCCACTCCAAACTCCACCTCCCTGCCCGTCATCCTGACACACCCTTCTCACAGGCGTGGCCTCACTCGCCTCATGCCCAACGTCACAGAAGAGGGAGCATACGCTGCCGAAGAGCTCTCTGTCATGGGGGCAACCACTTTTACCCCCATGGAGTGGAGCTGGCAGATTACTGGCTAGGCAGGTAACAACTACCAAAGAAAAAGAAAAAGAAAACTACATCAAATGATTAAATGGCTATACAAGTCAAGAATTCAATGTGAAAGCTAGTAGGCAAGCCCAAGGTATTAGTTCATTTATAGTCCTGTTACTTTGTAAGTATTGAGGAAATATCAACGTAAATTCACATCAATTATGTTTAATATATTGTTTCTTACTTTGGTCTGACCTAGGCTCTTGTAAGGCTTGACAAAATCTTGTAGGGCTATAAAAATACTAAAATATTATATGTAGTCTATGGGACAATAGCTTTTACTATGGAATTGTTTAAATTATATCTATTTATTTATTCAATGCAAGCAAAAGGTTGGATTTCAAAGTTAAAGCCATAGGTTCCCCCATCGTCTGTTTGGAGCCAGAAGGGCGTTAACTCATATACCTTAACCCAGTGTAAACGCCCTTCTGGCTCTGAACAGATGATATTTGCTTTCTTCATATTCAAATAAAATAACAATCAATCAAATCAAATCAAACCATATAATCCTTGTCATATGAACGTATAAAACAAGTGTGATGAAATGGTGGCAGCGGTGGGATATGTTCCAAACCATCAAAATGACTGAATCTAGCTTGCCTTAATATATCCCTAAAGATGAATAATGTTATACAGTGTAATGTCCCCTTAACACCCTAAATGTACAGCTCCGAAACACAAATGATGACTAATTATTACTTAATTAAGACTTTAAGCAAATGTGATTGCTTTGACGAGAGCATATTGAAGAGTTACTTGTGCTGAGTTCACAAGTACTGGACTACCGTATTTAAAGAGCATCAAACATAACTTGCCTTTGCAGGTTGGGAGAGGGTGTTCCCATGACCCGGTAAGGCCGCAGGTTGCCAGAGATGCTCCTTGTATGAAGTACCCCTGGCTACACTCAAATTCACATTCAATTCCAGCAGGGATTTGAACCTCTGTCCCACATACTGAGAAATCATCAGGCACTTCCAGCGGTCCGTCAAGGTCTGGTCTCTCACAAGTTTCCACTGAATGGACATTTAGATATTTGAATATAGCAGTCTGTCACTATTCTCATTATACATACATTTTACACAACTATATGTTTAAATTCATGCACATTTGTTAAAAATAGTTTGATAGTTTAGTTTAAAAGGATTAGTGAAGATGAATCGTGTACTCAACTACTATTGTACATGCTTTTTTCATACAAATTCAATATAGGCCTCAAGTATTACATACCGTAGATACAAATTAAATTGTATACAGTATCATGGTGTAAGGATTTTATCTAACATGACTGCAAAGTACTTATACTTGCAAAAAAATTAAATTGTATACAGTATCATGATGTAAGGATTTTATATTATGACCTGTCATGGGCTCAGGTTTGGACTTTAGACATAATACAAAAGTTAACTAGATCTTTAATATGAAATACAGACTCGATAAAAAAGAGAAATTAACATACCTTCACACCTTGGAGAGTTCCCTTCCCAGAATGCCTCATCACTTCCTGTCTGTGCGGAACACCGGAGCACATTGTTAGTAATACTAAAACCAGGCAGGCAATCGAAGTAGCATGACGAGCCATATGATGTCTGGCAATGTCGACCGTTCAGGAACACACCGTTCTCTGGGGGCTCTAGTGCAGAGCATTGAAGTTCTAGAAGAATAAAAATTGCAGATTAATAAAAATATCATAAGGGAAGGTGGTGATATTTAGAATTTTTTAATCCCCTGAAAATAGTGATTATTACAATGAGTTTAATGTGTTGAAGAAATAAACCTCTATGTAACACAAAAATCATGAATATTTTAAGATTGTGTTGATTTTTTAAGAGTTCCCATTTAAAATAATCTTTGTCAAGTAAAGAAGTTCTGGGGTGAATTAGAGAAAAGCTTTGCGTCTGTATACGTCTACGAGGAAACTTATTTATGTCACAGAGATGCGCAAAAATAATGAGAATCATTTGGTTTGTGGAGTGGACAATATCACTTTTTCAAAACAGTAATAATGACAATTAATGCTTCACATTCTTTTTAATTTCTCAGAACTGTGTTTTTGTTTAATCTAAAAATTCCAGAGACGTCAATGATGTTAAGAGCTGTAATGTTTTTTCCATTTACGAAAGACAGAAATAACATTAGTAATTTCAGTTGGTTAATGCAGTAGGCCTATCCTGTTAGCATTCCACAGAGCACAAAACACACAAACCTTCACAAGCTGGTGGTTGGGACGTCCATACTCCTGCGAAACCATCTTTTTGACATGTTGATGATCTAGGTCCCTGGAGACTGTAACCGTGACTACAGGTGAATTCACAGGTCGAACCTCTAAGGTTGCCATGCTCGCAATTGACAATGAGTCCAGGGGTGATTGGCATGGTGGAGCAACGTATGACTGATGAAATAAAAGAAAATCCACAAAACAGTAAACATGAACATATTTATCATCACATTTTAACAGGAATGTAAATTGTCAATTAGATAAATTGAAGTCGAGTTAACGTAAAAGTAATGCATCATTCAGATGTTGTTTTGTGTTATAGCCGTTCTTATTTAAAGATGTGTAGATATGCAAAAATTTGCAAACCCAATGGTTGTCAAAATATGTCTTCTATGTTTCATATCAATATCATATTTTAAAAAAAGAAAACAAACAAGTCTAGCCTTTGTAAACCAAACTTTACCTAGAGGGTGCAAAGAATAACATAATGTCAAAAAGGTACACCACACCTTTCTTTATATGCTTTTCATTCGAAAAACCTGCATGAAGTATAGTTACTTCCTCTATAACACAAAGCTCATAATAGCCCATCTTTAATGACGAATATGATGGTCATACATTAAAGTCTATCAGCTTTTAAAAAATGCATTTAATGTTCAAGTATCGCTTATATTATCCTAAATACAATTATAAGATTGATAATTACAAAATTTTCCAAACCTTGGACAGTGACTGTAAACACACAGGTGCCCTCGTTCCCTTGTCCATCTCGCGCTACGTAGGTGATTACATAATGCCCCTGAGGAAGCTGTGCCCCAGGGGCAGGACCATCATGAGTGACATCCGTGATGGTGGCACCAGAGTTGTCGATGGGTGTTGGTGGAGTCCATGATCCTATCCCGCTCTCCTGTCTATCCGCTGCGTAAAGGATCTGAGATAGAGGGCAGTCTTCAAAGCTAGGCCCTGCCGTATCTGAGAAATAAAAAGAATGGGTTCTAAAAATCAATGTAGAATCCTCAGGACTACTTCAACTGACAATGGATATATTCACCCTTTCAAATAAATATTCATGATTGCAGGCCAAATTTATCAGAAGTTCTATGAAAATATCTCATGAATGGATCTCCTCTATACTGCAAAATCTTGCGTTTTGATGATTTATATTCCAAGTAGGAATTTTCATGTGCTATATGTAATAATATTCTCCTTGAGTCACTCTTAACTTATCTTACTTGAAATTGCAATATTCATAGCCATAAAACAAAAGAGGCTATGAATTTTCATTTCCAACATATACATACACATTTTTTCAAAAATATAATATGTACCGAGGACCTATCATTCGGAATTTGCTTCCCTCATCAATTAAAGAATCTCGATCAATGAATGGTTTTAAAAGTAGGTTTAAAATATTAATCTAATCTGGCTGCTGCCTACCAAGCAACTTTGATATTATCGTACCCATGTATATACATGTATTCTATTCTGTTATGTAACAATGTATAGTTCTTTGCATGTATGTTTTTTACGGCTTGGTGAAATCAAATTGAATTTAATTGAATTGAATTGGTTGGTCTATTTACTGGTCACAACTTGAATAAAGTATAATTTTAGACAATAAACATATTTTACACTTAAATCTTCCCATCACTTAATTGAAACAAAAATACAGTTCATTCATTGTTTGTTAACCAATAGGTAAACATGTCTTGTGCATTTCCTGCCCCCTTCTCCATCAAATCCAGGCCATCCTAGCATTTCGGACGTTAAATGTTTTGATGATCATTATTTGTATTATTATTTTATTTCTTTTTACTTGTCACACATTTTGTTTATACTTATGCCGGCAGCAAGATAATCCTGCATCTGCCAATTTAAAGACATGGTTAATCCCGTAACAATAATGGGGAAAGGAGAGCGGAGGGAGGGGGGGGGGGGGGGAGGGGGTAAAGTTCTGCACCCTTATGATACCTTGGCACTCTGGTTTGGACCCAGTCCATCCTGATGAGGTGCAGACCCTGCTCCTAGACTGACCAGGGGGTATATCATAACCCTTATCACAGGAGTAGGAACAGACACTCTGGAAAAGATTACTTTGGGTACAGGAGACGGCCCCTTTCTCAGGAGGAGAGGATACGAGGTCAGGGAAGCATGTCAGTTCTGCATGGTTGGAAATAAAACAAAATAGAATTAGCAATGTAATTAGGAAGACAAAATATGAGAGGTGCATGATGTGTAAGTGTATCTCTCTGTGGCGATCATGCTGTTCCACAACCCTCAGCTCCTAGCCTTCTGTATTAGTACCACTCCCAGTTCTTTCACTCCTCTCTCTTCCAACAATTTCTGCAGACTGTCCATCCAAAGTATCCTCCTTCTTCCCCTACTCCTTCTTCCCACAATTTTCCCTGTCGAAGCAAGATTCTGTACTCTCTAGGCCTTCTTTAAGTGTAATGTGACCCATGAACTTCAATTGCCTAATCAACATCTCACGTATCATTTTCCATTGCACTCCAGCTCGTGTAAGAACTTCCTCATTACTAACTTTGTCAGTCCAGGGGATTTTCATCATTCTTCTTAAAAACCACATTTCACAACTTTCCAAATGCTTTTTAGTATCAGAGGCTAAAGTCCATGTTTCACTACCATACACAAGTACTGGGTAGATGTAACAATTCAATACTCTTATTCTGGTCCTCATACACATTGTTCGATTTGTTGCATAAATCTATTGAGAGCATGAAGGGGGTTAACTCTGTGTTAAAATTGATGAATTAACGCCTTTATGGATCTTGACAGATAGGGGTATTAAAAGTCCTTAATTCTTGATCCAAAGTTGATGATGAATAATGCAGGAGAATGGGCCTCAACACTAGGGAAATTCAGTTTTGCCTTCTGGACCCTGTTTCATAAAACTGTTATCAATAACAAGTTGCAATAAATGTTATAAGCTGATGAATTTGTAACGTTGCATTTGATTGGGTGAGAGTAACAGTTATTGATAACAAGATTTATGAAACGGGGCCCTGGTTTGAAATAAAACAAATAGAATGAAGTTTTAAAAAAGCAAGGTAACTTTCAATTACTGGACAATCGATCATCCAAAATATCATCCAAACGATCGGCCACTCATTAATGCACCTTCCAATTCCAAAGCCATGCATGCTACCGCGTAATCTTACTCTGCAGCCTTATTAATTCTAGAGCCTGTGAAGTTATAATTCATTGTCTGTAATTGGTATCGGATACCGTCCTCGTTTTCTCAAAATGTTAATCACTTTGTATTATGTCTGTCAAAACATAAGTAGTTACACCACAAAAAAAAAAGATTTACTTCAACCAAGTTTACTCACCGACACATCTCGGCTGCGACCCGCTCCAGTCAGCTGTGAGCAGGGTTGGGGATTGTCTGTTTTCAGTACACACTCTATCGGCTGTTCCACCGCTGAGCGTGTATCCCTGAAAACACGAATAGTGACAGGAGGATCCAACAAGGTTTCCTTTTGTACACGAAACATACCCGCGGTCCAAATGGCTGATGGAGCTACATTTGATCACTTTAAGCAGGAAGATGATAAAGAAGGAGGGGAAAATCTTGTAAATTATTCAAACGCATGCGTGAGTTCTAAAACTATTACCATGGGATGTGTCACTATGAACATCACTGACAAAGAAAGCGGACAAAATATACAGTTCCTCATGCAGGTAGACAAAGGAAAATCCCTTCACTGCTATTATGTAAACATGTGTGGAACAGGTGTCACATGCATATTCACCTGTTCTACACATTTTTAAATAATAGCAGTGAAGGGATGTTCCTTTGTCTACCTGAGGAACTGTATATTTTGTCCGCTTTCTTTGTCTGTCATATTCATAGTGTGTACATTCCACTTGGCTTTGAAGTTCCATGCTCCGGGGAATTTCGGAGGCCAGGCACCATGCATGCAGTCTCGCATTTATTACAAAATATTAAATTATACCGGCAAAATTTCAGTGTAAATTATCAACTTTATATGGGGATTGCGTTGGGAATAGTGCATCAAATAATTTTTTTCAAATTAAGTACACTGCCCTTCCTATATTTCGTGTGACAGAGTTGGTAAAAGAAAAATATATCCTGAAGAAAAAAAAAACCCATGATTAACAATCTTCGATAACGTTAAATTTGCTGATGCGTGTTTTCGCGTGTTTTTAAAATATTTTTGCAGTTGGAAAAAGGATGAAATTACACAAATTCGTGGTCGCTTGTTCATTACCCATTCAACAATGGATGAGAAATCATTGACAGGGACAGCAAACATTTGCTGGGATACCATTTTCTGATGTAGGAATTCTAAATCCTGAAATTTCATGCGCTCTTTTATCTCATCACCACCTGGTCAAAAGTCAGGGGCGGATCTACGGGGGTGGGGGGGGGGGGGTAACCCCCGCCCCCTTGGGTTTCCAAGCAAAACAAAATATTTTTTTAAAAATCGCCTCGCCTTCATTGGGTCAACCCCCCCCCCCCCCCTTAGCAAAAACTAGATCCGCCCCTGACAGTTGCTGATTAGCGCATAACTTTTCGGCGGCTTGGAGCATGGGGTCAAAGGAGAGCGACTTGATTCCACTCCTTCTCTATCACCTCCCCGCTTTAAGTGATAGAATAATGACATAGTAATTTTTATTTAAAAAATTGATTAAGGAATAGATAGATCGATGATTACAGACGCAATCACGGTTGTATAATATGTGCGATATATACATTGTGATGTATAACAATATCATCTTTTCTGCAAGAGTAAAACAAAAAAAGGCAGAGATAAGATAACTTTTAGAAGGTTCGTGTTAAATAAAAGAAATAGCAGAAAAGCTAACTTCTTTTTTTTAATAATCTCCCTAAGAAGTAAGATGTATCATGAGATAATCGTGAAGACTTTCAAGATAAATAGGAATTAGAACAGGTTTGAACTTACAAATAATTTGGAACATGACGTAACACTGGCTGTAGTTTGGCACATTATCCCGGGCCTGGTATGTAATCGTATGGTCACCTTCTGAAAACAAAGCACCAGGTGGATTCCCATGCCGTCTGTAAACAGGATAGGGACAATCGAAAGGAAGAGAGAGAGAGTGTGTGTGTGTGTGTGTGTGCGTGTGTGTGTATGTGTGTGCGTGCGTGTGTGCGTGTGCGTGTGTGTGTGTGTGTGTGTGTGAGAGAGAGAGAGAGATGGAGAGGGAGAGAGAAAGAGAGAGAGAGAGAGATGGAGAGGGAGGGGTGACAGAGAGGGGGAGATAGTGAGAGAGAGTGAGGGAGAGATAGAGAGAGATGGAGAGGGGTGGGTGGGTGGTAGAGAGGGGAAGATTGTGAGAGAGAGAGAGAGAGAGAGAGAAGAGAGAGGGAAGAGAGAGAGAGAGAGATAGACGATGAGAGAGAGAGAGAGAGAGATGGAGGGGAGACGGTGAGAGGGTGAGCGTGTGTGCGTTTGAGGCGTGTGTGTTTGTATGTGCGTATAGCGAGAAAGAGAGAGAGAGAGAGGGGGTGGGAGAAAGTAAATGTATTTTTACCATACAACATCGCGATATGCATGGTATTGATAAAACGATATTCTCTCTGTCACCCTCTCTCTCTCTCTCTCTCTCTCTCTGTCTCTCTGTCTCTCTGTCTCTCTGTCTCTCTGTCTCTCCGTCTCTCTCCCTTCCCTCCAACCCTTTCATGTAATGTCTTTCATCCACCCCTCCTATTCACTTCACCTCTTTACCCAAGTCTGACTTTCAACAATCAAGATTTGATTTGGATTTTCATACTTGACCGAGGCGGGTTTATCAACATCTGTAGCGGTAGGCTCGGACCACGTGACCTCAAAGGGAATGGTAGCCGTATGAATGATTCCAAGGGATATGTTGCACTTCACGTCAAACACCGGCGGAGTTGTATCTGTATTGAAATAAAGAGGAGAATGTTATTTAAGAAAATGCAATGATTACTAAAAAATTACGTAGATTTTCTACGGCAAAGTGTATAAAGACAAGCTTATTCATCTCCTATATAATTATCTACGGCCAAAGTACAGCACTTAACAATATAAATCCTAAAGGTTGCAGTTATAAGGGGAAGGTGAGATCCTGAACACATTTCCTGATTGTAATCAAGTATGATTGTAATCAAATAACCTATTAACATTTTGTTGCACACTTGCCATGTTTATCATCTTCAGAAAAAAAAAGTTATTGATCTTAAAACAACATTTCCTTTTAAGTTCTCCCACACATCCGCCATATGCGTTCAATTAGGGTTAACCAGACTGAAGGTTACTTTATGTTTATCTATGAAATAGAGCTTATGAAGGCGGTCCACAAAAGGAAGCTGGTATAACCCGGAAATTTGATAAAAGGGTGAGGTCTACAGAGGTATTACTTGAAGGAATGGTAGAAGGAAACAAGAGAGAGAGAGACAACGAATCACTTGGTTCGACAACATCAAGATGTGGCCAGGACTTTAAATGAAGAGGTCAGGCAGCTCTTAGGAAACTCTCTCCCAAGCTCCCTACGTTGTAGTAGTGGTGGTTATTTTACCTGACTGCTAAGAAAGCATAAATGCTTGTAAGTAAGCAACCAGAAGACCGACTGCTTTAGGTCCTCTCCGAGGGACCTGGTAATGAGGATTAATGCCTTACCAAAGGGCACTAGCGCATCGACTTGATTTCGAACCCGGGTCGCCGGATTACGAGACCACTGCTCTACCGACTGAGCTATCGCGCCTCCTAAATAAATGTATATCTAATACTGAAACATTCATATCTAAACATAAAACTCATCTTTTCAAATTAGCATATCAATAGTAGGTCTACTAAAGCATAAGTAATGTTGTAATCTTTCTCTTTGTAATTATTACTATGATCAAAGCGATGGGTGTGCATCGAGGCCAACCCTGGACTGGGACGGTACCAGATGAATGAATGAATGAATGAATATAATTCCACTGACGCAATAGCTGTTGCAATTGCTGCGTCATTTCGACTGCGTTATCATTACCGGCGCTAATCCAACCTGTGCGGACAATTTGCCCATAGGCCACTAATTACACGTATCATTTGCACTGTTAATTTCCGATTTTTTTTTTTATAATTTTTTATATATATATATATATATTTTTTTTTTTTTTTTTTTTGGGGGGGGGGGTATGTTTTCACTCCAATGTGGCCCGTCATGGACTGCACCGGTCAATGACGCAGTCTTACGTTAGCAAATTGAATCCTCGTGAAGTGCAACGAGAATTACTGGTCTTGACGCAAACATCAGATCTAGATGTGTATAGTGACAACTGAAAACTCCGAATACGCCAAGAACTAAAGTATATTCTCTGATGGACAGATGGGGGAGGGGGCGGAAGAAAAAAGATGGTGAGAAAGAAAGAAAACGGGAGCGAGAGAAAGAGCAATATACATAATACAAATATACACATATACAAGTGTGAAAGGGAGAAGGAACCTGTGAAAAGATATTTACCTATAGGTTTCGGAGGTGGTGAGCTCCTTCTTCTTCGCCTTCTCCTCCAAAAGGCATCTAATATTCGAAAACGAAAAATACAAAAGTGCCGTGTTATCATAATCACTATCTTTACAAAAGCATAATAAGAGTAATTATCTATTTTTAATAGTTTCATACCTTTACTAAATAAAAGTAATATAATATATATATATAGAGAGAGAGAGAGAGAGAGAGAGAGAGATAAAGATGGAGGGAGAGAGAGAGAGAAAAAGAAAAAGATGGTGAGAGAGAGAGAGAGAGACAGACAGAGAGAGACAGACAAAGGAAGAGGAAGAGGACATGAGCTGAGCCAGGAATGGGAATTTCATATACCTCGGTAGTACGTGATATCCGTGTAATTATACGGAAAAGAGTTACTTCACGATCGACAACAAAATTAATGAAACATAAAATATTGATATAAAGATATGTAGCAGCAGCAGGTTTTTGCTTAGACGATGTATTAACATTCCGATACTGATTTAAGTAAAGTTTGATTACGAAAATTTATCATGTTCACTTTCTTGTGGGCATGGACGATAATATGTAATTTTACATGTGTTTCCCAATCTGGAAAATATCGCAATCAACATCAATGTAGTTAGATAATATCAAAAAGTTTCCTGAGTAAATAAAATCGATTGTGTAGAATTTCTATATTAAAAGGCTTCCAGATATTTCTACGACCTGGATCTATTACTGATTGACGGGCTGTGCTTTGGGGTTTCACAACTTTGTAGACATTTTGATAATAACAATAATAATAACTACACATGGTATTACATAAAGCGCTATTATTTTCAATGCATTGCTAAAAAAAAGAAAACTCCAGTAGAACCGTTTGCAGACACCGATTATATAGCTGAAAAGGTTAACATCAAATTACAGATAAACTTGAGTTCTGGTAAATATAGAAATAAAATTCTCACATAATCCAACGAAACTTGCACCGAATGTTCAAGATTACAAATAAATGACATGTGCTAAACATTTGGTAGAAAATCTATAGTGGCTGAATAATGAGCAAAGAAGGAAAAGGAAATCTGGATAAGTAGGCCCTACACCATGTGCTTAAAAAGGGCAAGTCCACTTCAATAATTACGTACTTTCAAAGGAAGCAGAAAAATCAGACAAACCAATCAAAAAAAAGTGTGAGTAAAATCGGCTAACTAATAAGAACGTTATGAATTGTTAATGACATGAAAAACTTTGAAAATCACTACACACTAATTGTTTTCTTTATATTGATAATATAAATTTCCGACTTCCCCCTATAAATCTTCTTTCTTCACACCAGCATCCAAGTTAAATTGATCGTAATATGTTTTCGTGTGGAACTGTGGATGCACTAATATAGATTAATTGTTTTTATTCTGTTAAATCATGAAAATGTGAATTTAAATAAACTATTTAATATGAAAATTAATAATTATTTATAGACAGTATTGCGAAAATAGTATCAATGTTTCAAAGTTCATAAAAGATTGTAAAATGTCACGTATGTAATATGATACATATCACATATAACCTGCGCAATGGCATGGGAAATCTAGTTCTTGTGGATAAAAAAGGAAAATAATGGAATGAAAACATATAAGGTAATTGCTAAAAAGTGAGGCGATGACGTCACAAACTGATAACCAATTTGGCAATTTGTGTAGTGATTTTCATTGTTCCACAGTTTTTCATACTTTAAAAAAAAGTACAACTTCTTTATTAGTGATCTGATTTTCATAAAACTCTTCTTGCTCTCTTTCTCCTGTTTTTCCGCATCTATTGAAAGCAAGTTATTTTTGGAATGGACTTAACCTTTGACACAGGTCACTAGGTGCAAATGGGAGTTGTGGGTTCCTTCGAAGATGACGCCCAGCAAGTTTGTATGCGTTTGTTTTTATTTCACTGGTTCAAACAACCAATCTACTGCAGGATAAATAATCCAGAATAAATTATAACAATTTTCTCTCAGAATGCGATTCCTAAACCAGAGCTCAATATAAGCTTGAAGCTTAAAGGATAACGTAGACTATTATAATGAAAATGATCGTTGATTGCCATAATAAAAGTCATAATTCCCTTTAAAAATTCGCTGATATATATGAAAAACATCATAACAATTACCGATCCTGAGCCAAGAAGGATATTGTTTGGGAAGTTCTGTTATTTGACCTGCGAAAAATAGTAACTACGGAAACGATACTGCTACTAAATAACTGGAAACTCAATTCTTGAATAAAATTATATTGTAGAAGCATTTAGATTAGATACTCAACTTTCATCCCACTCAGAAAGTTCCATTTACATAACAGGAAATAAAGTTTGACCGTTAACCTTTGGAAAATTGCACCGAGCATGAACAAAAAATCGATGAAAAAGTAAATCTTAGACTTCAGTTGACATACACGTACATATATTAAAACAAGAACATTTCATATATATGAAACAAAATGATAAATACACAGGGTGATGCAGTGGCGGATCCCCCCTTGAGAAAAAAATCATGCAAAATCACGCGATTTTTACCTTTTTTGGGGGTTGGGCCCCCCCCCCCCCTGGCGCTCAAGGGGGGGGGGGGGGTGCAAATTTTAAAATTTTCGAGGACCAAACAAAAAAATTGTGCTCACTACCCCCCCCCCCCCCCCACTGAGCGACTTTTCGGCCGGCGCGATTTTCAAATTTTCGGGAGCAAAAAAAGAAGAAAAAAGTTGGGCCCCTTCCCCTAAGAAATCCTGGATCCGCGCCTGGGGTGATGGCAACAAATGAAACAAGTTAAGAATGTTATTGAATTGTCTTTACTAGTGGAAGAAAGCAAATATACATGGGGTCTAATCAGATGAAATATGGTTTTAATGTGAAAACCCCCAGTAATGCAATACGTTGAATTAACGTCCAAGGCGGTCTGGTCTATCGCGCATCTTGAAGAAGTTTGAAAATATATTTTTTATTTTTATATCCCTATGCATCACAGAATGTGGAGCAACAGGTATGAAACGCTGAAACAGATGGCTCAAGACCGAGGAACTTGGAGAGACACTTGACATAAAATTTTGATTGGGTCACTGAACCTGTCATAAACTGACAGATCACTATTGATGATGATGCATTAGGAGTGTTCACAACAAGAAAAGAATAGTTTTACTAGGAAAGACGTTTTCTGCCGAATTACTTTTTAAAATGTATTGCTGACGTCACGAATAGTTCACCTTGTCCCGGGAAAAGGTGAAGTATTCGTGTTGGGGTCTTATCAGGTCAAGTATGGTTTCAATGTAAAAACCCCCGTAATGCAATACGCTGAACGTCGGTCATGTCTATAGTGAATCTTGAAAAAGTTGAAAATATACATTTTTTATTATCCCTTAGCGTAAGATTGTTGCGTTTGGAGAGTTCACAACAAGGAAAGGGATAGTTTTACTAGGAAAGTTAAATAGTATGGCCATACATGTAGGAAGGACAGAAAAATAAATTAAACAAAGGGAAATAAAACAAAGAACAAAGATACAAACATAATAAAACATAAAGCACACACACGCACGCACAAAACACAGAAAAAACACAGACAAAAACAATATGGCAACGATGGTCGTAAAAATGCGCAAATATTTCAATTGCAAAAAATATATTATAAGCTTGATAGAATGCCTTCTATCAAAGATAAACTTGAGTTCTGGTAATGCGATTGCATTGTGAAAGAAAAGGTGTGGAATGGATCAGAAAAGTTGATCATATAGCATGTAAGTAATGGTGTGTAATGCAAGGTTCTGGAGTCATCAAAATCATCATAAATTTGGCAGAGTCTTGTTAAGTAACAATCACTTACACAGAAAGATGTATATGGGACAACACACATGGTGTCGGGGCTAGTACTACCCTGATTTCCTTATCTTCTATGCCCATTACTCAGCCAGTATACATTTTCTTCCAAAATTGTTTGGCACATGACAATCTTGAACATTCAGTGTAAGTTTCGTTAGATTCTGTGAGAATTCATTTTCTTTTTTTTACCAGAACTCAAGTTTATCTTTAAGAAAAGAAAATGTTTGAAGTTCTATATATTTCTTTATAATTTGTGGATACGATTATAGATAGAACTTAATTTTATTACAAATCAAGTCATAACATTTCAACGTGAAATTGACAACCATTTTAAATAATTGTTATAACGAATAGTACTACGACTGTATAATAACACGAATGCGGACTACTGCTGCGCACTAACTATACCACAAATTACTAGTATAGTCAAACCTGTCTATAGCGGCCTACCGGCCTTCCAAGGGAAACACAAAATGTGGTCTTTGTAGACAGAGGGTCTTTGCAGACAGGTTTCTTTAGTACATGTTTAAAAGAGAAACCATTTATAAGGGAAACAAAAAAAGTGGTATTTGTAGACAGGTGGTCACTAAAGCAGTTTTGACTGTACTACTAGCAGGGATATGTGAGTTCCCTGCTACTAGTACGCTACTTCTACTACTACTAGGCACTATACCTCTACTCCTATAGCTGCTGCTACTATTCTACTCCTTGTATAATACTCCATGCGAATACAAGGTATCTGAAAATATATTGGATATAGTATAGATAAGACACGATAATAATTAATATAGGCCACAATGGTCAGGAGAAGAGATGGTAATAAATAAATTGTGCACAATTAACATTACCTGTTCCTTGGAGAAGAAGCGATGCCATCGCCAGAATACACAAACCTCTTATTAGCAGAATCTTCATGTTGAGGCTCTGTGCGTTGATGAGTCAAAAGGCGAAGGCTGATAGAATATAATGGAGCTTCTTGGGAAACTCGACTTACATCGACGCGCATAGAACTATCAACTAGCTTCTTCAGTGCAAAATCTGAAATACGTCGAGAGAAAGAAATTAGGATGACCTTCCTATACCACGCTTGTAACCTTTAGTTGTGTTTACATTAAAATCATCGGACAAGTGAAATTATAGACGGTTGTTTATATCCGGGTCGCTAAATCACCCTCCAGCAAAGTAGTCATGTGGGCCAGCTGGGCATTGATTGGTTAAAAGGCAATCACCACCACTTTCTTTGACCTATCACATACGTCGTTTCGTGATAAAGGTTCCCTCCTCCGAAACAGGGGGGTCGTCCCTGATACCAGCCAAGGAAAACAACAAATTAAAAGGCTAATGGTCTTGATTCGTTGTCTGGTCGTGTCAATTTCACCAAACTTAACTATGAGCTAATTGTCAACGAGTGGGGATTTCCACGTTAAAAATTGTCACAGAGTGTGTACAAGTTTTGTAGCTTCAATTTTAAAGCGGGGTATACTGCCAGCTCTTAATTGGAACTTTAAACTTATTGTTTTAGATATTTGACTTCGATCGTCACATGTCCATGCATGCTTAGTAAAAGATTGATCAGTTGTGAACAACTTCGCCACCGTCCTGTACATTCAGTTTTAATGCACAAGCGATTACTGATGCGATCGGAAACTGTGGGCGGGAGATTCTAGCTAGCTGATACGGCTTTGTTTTTGTTTCACATAACCTGATGTAACACGGTCAAATTTCTTGTCCATCGAGAACGTCTTATTAGAAAATATTTTGAGGTTCTACAGGAAAAATTGAGTACCACTTCCAACTTGTTCTCAAAGCTTCAAACTACAGTTCACCGCTAAAGATGAAAATGTCTGCAGGTAAGAATTATGTGATTTTAAAAATTTCAATTTTTTGAAGGCACGATACTGTATTGTTTACTAAAGATGATTTTGCCTCTTTATATTGCAGTTGAAATATTTTTATTGAATGCTTCTGGTTCTGACAATTATTTTGAAAGCCTGTATGAACATAAAAGCTGTCATGAATGCAGAATTGTTGTCCTAAAAAAAAGATCATATATTAAGCTCTTGAGGTGAAGGAAAGTGTGAAATAGGTAGGGGCTACATAATTTGAACTCAATATAACAAAATAAATCATCATCATCACCCTATCATCATCGACACCGGCACCTGCACGGCCACCACCACCACCATCACCATCATCATCATCATCATCATCATCATCATCATCACCACCACTACTACCATCATGATACTATCATCATCATCACCACACCACCACAACTATCAACTTTATCGTCATTATTACTACATTATCCTTCTCCTCCTCACCCTCCTCCTATCATCACCACCACCACAACCACCATCACCACAACCACTATCACCGACACCACCACCACCACCACCATCATCATCTTCATCATCACTCCTCCTCACCATGCCTCTGAGAATTCGAAAAATACGCCCACTACTCAGTAAATGTATGTACAACGTTCAATTCGGTACATTTTATGTTAAAGATATAAGGATAATAATTACAGTGCTTATATAGCGCCTAACACTTACTTTGTCAGAAGTCTTTAAGCGCTCTACAATAATGCAGCATAATTACCCTGGCTTTAGCAGTGCAGCTGTTACGCGCGCTGCGTTTCAAGGAATAAATTCCTACCAGGTACCCATCTACTTCACCTGGGTGGAGTGTGGCAAATGTAGATCAATGTCTTGCCAAAGGACATTAGTGCAGCGGCGGGACTCGAATCGCGGACCTTGTGATCGACAGGATGAGTTCTTGTAAAAGTAAAAAATACTCTGTGAGCTTTCTTATTCTTTTTGCACACGTTACATGTCAGTTTAGAAGGCTATCAGGTAATAAAATATATCCCCTGCGTTAAAGGGCTAATTCTAATCGCCCTCATATTCGAAATGTGAAAGAGATTTGAAATAGCTGAAAGGTGGACGAAACTTTCATACCACCTGTGTCGATATCCCATATAGCCATTTCTGTCTGCAGTGCATGTGATTTTCATCAAGATTGAGTTGATTTCATATAACGTTGAAGTTTCTGAAAACGCACAGTGTACCCACCAATTCATGTATATGAATTTTCATTACCCGTTCTAAATAACTCGTATGATTCGCATGATCATTTCTAGCAGCGTTTTAGATGGATGCTATTAAAGCTAGGAACTTAAATCTGCTAGAACAGATATCCTTGTCATTACACAATTATCTTTAAATGTGTTATTTTCTTTCAGAGGCGGGAAGAACCGGAATCAGCAGCTGTTTGTTGTGTCTGTTCTTCATCCTCATGATGACAGGAAGCTCTGGTAAGATAACCAACTGAACTCGATAGCATGATCCGTTTCTTCCGAATCAAATTAGTTTTTTTGTAATCAGGTGCGGACTGTGGGATATTTAGGTGTTCTCCCTATTACATCATGGAGTAACTCCATGCTTACATAGGACCGGTCAATGGTAGTCTGCAGATACTGCAGACCCGTGAGCAGAGAAGCCTTGAGCAAAGCCTAGCTCTGTCAGTCTCTGGCCAAATTTCTTATTATTTTGTTGAATCGAGAATCTTGCAGTACACACCAATACTTATATATGCTAGATGATCACAACGTTTCTTTCACAATGCAATCGCTTGACCAGAACTGGTCCATACCTTTAGAAGCCTATAAAACAGAAATTATTAAGAGACAAAATTAATGGAACGACGAAACAAACAATATTTTGTCACCCTCCACTCTTTCAAGGCTTGCCAAACAGCAATAGTACATAACGAGCTTTGAAGAAAAAAAAACAGTCACATACCATCACAAGTTTACGCAGGAGCTAGGGAGGTCAACAAGCAAAAAAATGATGTAAATTCAAACTTGTAAAGAATTATAAAGCCATGTGAAGCAGTAAGTCCCTTTGTGAAGCTGAGTCAGGCTCCAAGGCTTGCATAAGGGTCTTTGATGCACTCTCGTGCAAGCTGAGCCATATATTTTGAAGCGTTTTCAAATAAATCTTACTATTTCATTAAAACTTAAAACTTTGGTTGAGAATGAATATTTAATTGCAGCTGAGTTTTGAAGCTATACAATACAAATTCAAACCTGTTGCTGTTATTTGTTGAAACACCCTGTGTACGTATCTGCATGCAGGAGCAACTGTCGGGTCACCTTTCAAACTCAGATCACCTTTACAGATATCGACTTTCTATCGACTTCTCCGAAAGAAAAGAAAAAATGCGCAAAACCCTGACTCTGATAATGATATAAGATTAGGTTAGATTGGGTTCTCCTGTTCATGCTTATATGAATATAGTTTTACTTACTCTTTTGGGGCGCGGGGGGGGGGGGGCTCTTTGCGTACTGTCCACAGCGTGGCAACTTTGTTGTGGTGTGTGATAGGGCGTATGTTTGGGTGTGTGTTTTCTTCTTTTATGTTTATGCTGTTGTAGGTGTGTAGTTTGTGTAGTTTAATGGAAAATAACAAATAAGGGTATTTGCGTTTGCCTCGGCGTCGCTTGTTAAAATTAAGATCAGCCGACAAGTTAATTCATTGTTTTTTGGTAATTTAAATGGAATGCAGTAATGTACCTATTGTTTGTAATTTTGTTTCGTTAAATGTAAAAGGAATACGTTAGAAATCAAAGAGGCAGAAACTCTTGGATTGGTCTAGAAATAAGCGAACAGATATAATAGTTTTACAAGAGACATATTGGGAAAAGATGGAAGCAATTAACCGTGGAGTGGAAGTGCATATTTTAGTCACGGAACATGTCATAGTAAAGGGGTCATTATATTAATTGATTCAAAATTAGATGCTCAAGTTTTAAAGGTAGTTGCACGTGTATTTTCCTGTTCGTAGAAATAAATAAATTGGAACAAATAAGTTACATGGGTACCCGGTAGGATGCGACCGTCATTGTTGGTCAAACAGTTTTTGAGTGTCAAGTAACGCCTGGTTGGAATGCTCCCCAGGGAGTGGAGATTGTGCACACATTGTGTGCGGGCAAACACTGAATCCAATGACCGGGGTAATAGTATATTTGTAAAGCGCTTAGAGACATTGTTATTGTTATTAAGCGCTATATAAAAGCTAAATATTATTATTATTTTATTATTTTTTGATTGATTGTAATATTGAGACTTTAAAAAAAAAAGTGGAAGGAATATTCCAATAATAATGGGTGGGGATTTCAATGTGATTCGAGATAAAGCCTTAGACTATAAGGGACGCTGTAAACAAAATATTCTCTCTAGATTTAGTTCTGGTTTTGATTGATTGTTAGATGATCATGTATTAATAGATATATGGAGGAAACGGAATGACACCAACAAAATTCACTTATAGACAGGTTAATCCCTATATGCAAAGTAGATAAGATCATTGGTTTATATCTGAAAAGTAAGATGATTTAAAATGCAATATAATACCCTCTGTAGCTCCGGACCATTCAGCAGTTCAGTTGCGCATTCATACTTTGCCATTATTCTGATTAAAAATGTAAAGGCTATTACTGGAAACTTAACCCTTACTACACTGGGCTATTTTGAGTTCCCGTTACTGGAGGGGGGGGGGGGGGGGGCTGGGAGGCCCCCCCCCCCCCCATGATCACTGCCGTCGAATGTCCGATGAATATGAAAATGTGCATGTTTGTAGATATTCACGTAAGGAAAAAGATGGTATAATTAGTTTTTTTTCCTATTATGCAAAAATTTGTCGTTATAGCTTATGCATTTAAAGAGAAGGTTGAGTTCTGGGAAGAGGTGAAAAATAATTTGTGAGCGTTATCATTCTTATTATGCAAGTGTTGAAGAACATCAGATAAGACATGTTCCCTGAATATCATGGCTCTTCAAATGCCTTTATATTCTAAATATGTCATGTAACATCGTAAAACTCGGGGGTGGGATTTTTTCGCCACGTGTTCGTGTAGTCCCATATACATGTTTCTGTGTACAGGGTTTGTAACTTTACCGAATTTCTTATCATTTTGATGATTCCAGAACCTTGCAATACACACAAATTCTTATATGCTTGATGATCAACCTTTTCTATTCGATTCCACATCGTTTCTTTCACAATGCAATCGCATGACCAGAACTCAACTTCATCTTTAACAGAAAACTCTTCATAGCCTATTTATTATTTTGTAGACTTGTGAAGAATATTGAAAATGTATTGAATAAATGTTTCCTTGATTTCAAATTCATGAAGTTTCATTATTTCTATGATATTTGAAAATGCATAGGACTGGTTAATTTGCATAAATTATGAATACGCAAATTACGTGATTTTTTTTTTTTTTTTTTTTTTAAGTATTAGCACTGTGAGCAAAGCCAAAAACAATAATTTCACCCGATTTCTCACTGTATGTTATGTTATGAAGAAAATGTACAATTTTGTTTAATATGAATGATTTTTACAATATGTATTTGATTTGAGAGAAAATAATAAAAGATATATTTAAAAAAAAAATTATGTGTATTCTTGATTTCTTTGCAGATGCTTGGAGAAGAAGAAGACGAAGACGGGCTCCCCCGCCACCTCCCCCCGGTAAGAAAAGTTTCAGACAAAATTCAGACAAGAGTTTTGCTCATTTTGCATTGAAATGATTATTCTCACTCCTTTTCATGTCCTGTATTTCCATGACGTATATTTATAATGAAGTATAATGCAGGTCTGAATACGAATGTTACAATACTTTGATTGCATTTAATCATATACATGTATTTTATCGTGTTTTTTCATCTCCCCCATTTTTTTTTCCTTTTACCTGTCAACGGTTATATAGCATTTACTAAGTATATCTGTAAAGCGCTTAGAGACATTGTATTAAGCGCTATTTGAAAGCGGAATATCATTCATTAAAGGTATAATTGACGGCTTATTTTTACCCGACTGCTAAAAAAGCACATGTATGCTTGTAAGTAAGTAACCAGGGGACAAACGGCTTTAATTCATCTCCAAGGGACTTTGTAATGAGGATTCATGCCTTAACAAAAATCATCGACTTGGTTTCGAACCCATGGCCTACCAGTCACAAGACCACTGCTCTACCACTGAGCCATAAACTCTGAGTTCTTTCCTTGCCATTTCTTTAAAACTTGAAATAAATTAAGTTGCATATTCCATGCGAACGTATCGAACAGAAGATATAACTATAAACATGATCGCAAAACTGTCGAGAAATCAAACTAAGGCAATTTCAGTAGCCTCGTTCGTCACATAGGAGGCGCGATAGCTCAGTTGGTAGAACAGTGGTCTCGTAATCCGGTGACCCGGTAGTGCCCTTTGGTAGGGCATTAATCTTCATTACCAGGTCCCTCGGAGAGGACTTAAAGCCGTCGGCCGTCTGGTTGCTTACTTACAAGAATCTATGCTTTCTTAGCAGCCAGGTAAATTAACCACCAATCTAATCTAATCACTTGGAAATATGCAATAACTAGGTATTTCGTAATCAGAACTTGATTTACATGGGATATACCATAAGATATGGCTCTCGCGTTAATTTTTCGACAGTATTTGCAATCACAATCGTACATGTTGTAACTATTTTGTGATCAGCTTCGTTTCATTTATATATTTATTTCCACGTCAAAATAAAAACAAGTTTATATAATCTTCAGAATACAAATATACGATAAGATAGGCCTATCTGAATTGGAAGGATAAAGAAAACATATAAATAGCTTGTTAAAAAATTAATAAACCTCACAAAGTATACGAACTTTAAACAACAACTTTGGTACATAATTCACATGAAATCAAGATTTAAAAAAAGAGGGGGGGGGGGGGTGTGAAATAAAGAAAATAGAGGAAAGAAAGAGGAAGCATCGTATAAACATTGACATTATAAGTTTATCAAAAAGAAATTGCTTATATAGTCGTTTAAATTGGTTGATTTAACAGACACAACTGCACCAACGTTCACTTATTGTCCAAATGCGATTGGTAATCAGTACACCACCACGACGTCGATGACGGTCCCGTGGAGAACCCCGACTGCAACCGACGATAGAGGCTCAGCTACTGTATCGTAAGTAGTTTCAAAGCTCAAGCGCCTTTCTTACAAGGCGCCATGGTAGTAGACATTTGACTAATAAATTATAACTTATAAATGTTTATCTCCCTAATCCAGGGTACCAGTCATTTCATTCAAATTCTATATACTTAACAATGGCAAACAATTAGTAAGCATGATGCCCGCATGTGCATTCGGTCTCACTGGTATACTACATGCAAGGTGGAAAAACAAACCCATAGCAAAACGAAACAAAACAAAACAAAGATCAAAACAAAACAAATATTGATACTTTTCATCTTTTGTATCTGAATCTCTTTAAAATGATCCTTTGAATCCTTTGATCAGATTTTCACTTTTTTGACGAATCAAGGCTACAAAATTGCAATCTTTATGTAGAAGTAACTAAATCACATGACGACGATTATGTACATGTATATTCACCGAGCAGTCACGGCGGGCGGCATCGAAAACTTGAAACGGGGGGGGGGGGGGGGAGTGGGGGCTTCAAAAATAGAAAGCTTTCATGATTTATTTAGACGATAACCTTAATCGAATGCACTTTTGAAATGCAATTATTAAACAAAGTAATGATGATTTCTTGAATAGCGCACATGTCTGTCATGTCTTGTTTTAACATATTGGGTATCCATTTACACCTGGGTGGAGAGTGACACATTTTTTTTTTGCCCCCGAAAATTTGAAAATCTCTCCCCCCCCCCCCCCCTTGAACACCAGGGGAGGGGGCTCGTCTCCTTGTTTTTAACAAATAAATGGAAAATTAATGTGTTTTTACCTGTGTTTTTTTCCGAGGGAGGGGGGGGGGGGCCGGCCCCCTCCCTGGATCCGCCACTGGTCACCCCAAGTGATTTATATTTATGATGGATTTCCCCCTATATGTAGTATAACGTCTGGTTCGGGTCCTGGTTCGACTTTCGCAGCGGGTTCTCGTTCTACAATATACACTGCCCGAGACAGCGCCGGGAATCAAGCAACTTGTACCGTATCCTTTACGGTCATTGGTAAGAATTTAATCGTGAAACATAGATACAGAGAGAGGGAGAGAGAGAGAGAGAGGAGAGACGAGAGAGAGAGAGAGAGAGAGAGAGAGAGAGAAAGAGAGAGGATGAAAAAGAGCGGCGGGGGGGGGGTAGGAAGGGCGGGATCTGGGGTTTTGCCATCCCCTCTCCAGCATTCAACAAGATAAATTTGTATTGTGTCTACATCATTAGTATGTTTATTATTATTATTATTAATATTTGTATAAATATAATTATTTTCATTATTATGATTACAACTATGATGATGATGACAATGATTGATGATTGGTATCACCATTCTGTCATCATCATCACTATTAAATTATTTGTATTAGAACTTTTTATACATTTAATCTTTGATGTTGATTAAGTCTGCGCAAATTTGAATGTCTGAGGAGAATTTAATCGGTATATCTATGATTTTCTTTTTTCAATTGCTGGATTATTTTCTCTTTCCTGACCTGAAAATATGGGTCGACATTGGCCAGGGTCCAAGGACCTTAGGAAGTATTAATTCTTGCATAAGTACAATTTGAAGAAAAAAAACTTCAAAAACATAATGATTTTATTGGTTTAAAGTTCCTTGTTTCGATATAATGATGGACTTGTCGGTTTATGTTACATCTTTATAAAAAAAATAATCACGGGGAACTTTACAGGAAGATCTCGAGGTAATTCCAAAAGGGAAGTGAAATAATGTTGGCTAATGAAAGGTGGTGGGGTGGAGGCGCTGGCCGTGGCAAAATCCAATCTGAATATAATACATTAGTTTCAGCCCCAAATGGCGCTGGAAAAATGATAACCCCTTTTTGTCAGCAGACATTCCCTTTCATCAAAATGACACTGATTTTTACCAATAATTATATTTATTTTTATAATTACAGAAGTGCAAATCTGTCACTGCTTGCTTTTAAGCTATACATCGATCAATTAGATCGAAAGTATCATGATGTGTCTATCTTCTTTTCCGTCTTTTATTTCTCTATCTCTCTCTCTCTTTCTTTCTCTTTCTCTGTCTCTCTTTCTTTCTCTCTCTCTCTCTCTCTCTCTCTCTCTCCCTCTCTCTGTCTCCCTCTCTCTCTCTCTCTCACTCTCTAGATATCTTTCTCACTTATTTAACCCCCTATATAATATGCTCCTCCCTGTCTTTGAATTGTTTCTTAGGTTGCATTTTCCTTCTTTCTCCTATTTTCTTTCTTTTATTATCCACCTCGTTCTTTATTGTTGGTCGTATGACATTAGTTTACCTTCTTTAATATTTACTTAGTATCTTTCTCCCTCCCCCTCTATCAGTTTCTTTCTCTCAATAACTGACTCTCTCTGTTTTATGATGGCAATTTCTAATTTTCAAACAAATCTGTTTCTATTTACTCTATTCCTTCTCTTTCGGATTTTGTTGTATAACATCTTTAATTCCTTCATACATGTAGTATTCTCTATTTCTAGCACATATCAATACGTGTCTATTCTTTTCTCTTCTTTTGTCTTTCTCCCATTTTTTTTCCTCAATTTCTCAAGTGACACTATCGATCTTGCTCTGTCATGAATTGCTTCATCAACAAACAAACACAAAAATATACCGTCCAACATTTTGAACACTCAGTTGAAATCCAGCACATCGTTCAGATTCCGGAAATCTTTGTTCCGGAAATACAGCTTTAGAATTCCCCCCATGGCGACAGAGCCGGAACTATAAACATAGGAACCGGAAAATAATATACCGATTGTAGTCGCAGATAAAGCACAAGTGAAAGTGATTAAACACAAAGCAAAATACTAAATAGAAAGAAAGCAGAAGGATGCGATGCTAATAGATAAACACTTGTTTGTTTTCATACAGCATTTTTACACAGTCGATAAACACATTCCTCTTCCTCTTAGCGTGCCAGAAATATAAGTTGGCGACGGTCACCTCTCTCATAGAAAATATATCAATCCCTAGTCCATTATGTCATTTAAAACACATTTAACAAGACATTTTTTGGGTTGAATTGGCGAGCAATCCGAGTTCCTCCTCATCATAAAGCTCTCCATGACAGACCTGCTCCATGACATGACTTGTGTCCACACTACATATAAGAACTCTTCATACCTTACATCCCACCAAGACATCTAATACTTATGGTGACAGAGCACTGTCATGTGGAATGCTCTCCCAGTGTATGCTCCATTTACAGATGTCGAAGTATTCGGAAAGCCCTTAAAACTTATTCCTTTGATAAGTAATAATAATAGCCTAATAGTCCACTCCAAATTTTATTAAACCGAAACGGATATTCTTTTTGCCCAATTGATCGTGAGCCCGGCAGCCACTGAGCAGCGCCAGATCGACGTTGCTCTATCCCCTTATTGTTGAACGCCAAACAAGGTAGCAACAACTCCCATCTTTTAACGTCTTTTGGTATGACGCGGCCGGGGTTCGAACCCACGACCTCCCGGTTGTGAGGCGGACGCTCTACTGACTGAGCCAACACTCCGGTGTTACCAGTGTTACCTTTGGTGTGAGGGCCTACGGTCTTGAAACACGTTATAGAAGAACTCATTATTATTCGGCGTAAATATTCATAAATGAATGGTACTAGCCATTAAAACTAAAACAACAACAACAACATTATTATCTCTAGACCCAGTGACGTAATACGAGGATGAAATGCCGTCAGATCAGAGCCCCCCCCCCCCACCCCCTTTAAAAAAGTGGAACAGAAAGATAGAAAGGGAAAAAGCGCGAAAGACAGGGACAAGGTGAACAATATAACAGGACTCTCACCCAAAGTTGTTTATGAGATGCAATGATAACTTATTGTTAAAATAGATCTACATAATAAGCATAGAGAGTGTATAGTAGGCGTAAATTAAGGATCGAAATTATGATTCATCTTTTGGCTAACAAAATGTCTAAATGATTACGCTTGTTAGCTAGGGTGGGTTTGCATTAGGCATCGTGGATATGAAAAGGAAGTGATTACATTCTTTTTGTACCATGTTGACAGAATCTGTTCCAAAAGCAAATACTTAGTTTTTTATCAAGCGTGTCCTAGCAACCCCCCCCCCCCTCCCTCACACTCTTCGCATGATGTTGGTAAAAAAAAAAAAGAATTGCGCAGGCGCAGAAAAGGGGAAATCCCCTAGTAGTCTAAATAAAAAGTGAAAGTTATATTCGTAGTACTGATGTTATTTTAAAGAGTATCATATTGATATAAATTGCCTTTCGCTGAAAATGTATATATATATTTAATATTGTCTACATTACATAATAACTGATTTGTGATTTAAAAAAATACTGTGAAAAAGCTCAAATTTCTTCGAGTTTGGGAAGTGTTATAAAATTCCTCTCAAAATGAGACTACACAAATATTGACTGGCTCTGGTGCAGTTCGTGTGCGTACCTATGGCCTGTGTGGTGATGGATGGAGGAATTTGTCATCCACTCAGTCTCACAGGTGGAAATATATCTCAGATAGCTACATTTGCAGAAAGCGACCTAAAAGTAAACTGATATACACGTTGAAGATTGAACCTAATCACAGGGATCACAATGCCCGCGTTTACGTGAACCATATGGTAAGGACAAAAACAAATTAAAGAAGATAGTAAAAAAAAAAAAAAGCGGATCATCGGTCAGCCCGTCGGCGGAGTACTCATTGCGGGCTAGGCTGGGGCTTGATCTGAGAGGGATCTGTGGAGAGTGGAGATGGTGGGGCCGGGCGCGGCGGTGGGGTTGAGAAGATAGCTATATAGTGAAGCAACGCGACAGTTAACAGTGTTCATGATCAAGTACAAGTAATGGTTTTTAAGTACTACATCATAAGACAAAATATGTCAACAACAAAACACTCCAAGGCCATGCAAGCACCCAGATTTTTCTGTCTAAAATAAACTCTATAAGATATATATATTACTACATAATATATAAATATAGCAAGATGATTTACTTTGTTAGACCCATATAAAAAGCTATGCGCTATAGAGTATAGTAGGTATGACATTAATATTTAAACTAAGTGAAGACCCTCATTGTTGTATATATAAATCCTGATGCTTCTCATTAATTTTTATGATGTAGATCTACTGGCCCAGCTTTCAACATGTTCAACGGGCCTGTAACTTCCCCAGTGTCTGATTATGTGTTCATGTTTGTATCCATTTTGATTTCTGATGGCATTCATAGGTTTAAAGTTATAATAATCTTGCTCTGTTGGTTTTTTCCATATAAATCTTGATCTTTGGGTTTCTAATTTTCCGTCATATAAGCTCTATGAAACAGTGACAATAAATTTAGGGTAAAAGACCTACTGGCTCCTGCTTTTCATGCAATAATCATAAAGTGTCTATGCATTAATGCAACAACGGTACACATCTTCCCAAGCTTTCATGGTATGTTACGATTGTTAATAATGATACTTTAGAAATGAAGTTTAATCCAGGCATAAGTAGAATATTTTTTAAATGAAATTATAATGTTGCTCTTAACTTTTGTTCATCTCTTTCTCCCCACGTAGTCATTAGATGCTCTTCATTGAGTCGCCCTGCCCACGGTTCTGTATCTTGTTCAAACTCTGCTAATGTTGGTTCCCGCTGTACTTACTCTTGCTCGACGGGATACCGGACATCAGGGGGATCTGTGACAAGAGTTTGTATAAGGTCTGGGAATTCCGGTACTTGGAGTGGATCTGTCGCTGCGTGTGTCCGTAAGTTGACTGTTACAATCACTGTCTACCCCGACTGGATAAGAGTTGCAACATATCTTTTAAACACATGATATACATGAACACATTTTTATCCAGTGTACTTGAGGGGGGGGGGGATCACTTGAAATTTATGCTGCAAGAAAACATTCACACAGGCTATCATTTGTAAGACGGAAACATCACTGACACATTGTATTTCTGCTTGTAAATCCACAGGTATATCATGTCTTGGCCCCCTCTCCAGTCCGTCCAATGGCCAAATCAGTTGCTCTGACAGCAGTAACTACAACAGTCTCTGCAGCGTATCCTGCAACGAGGGATACACTCTTCATGGCAGCTCTTCACGTTCATGTGGAGTATCAGGAATTTGGTCAGGCTCCAACCCTTCCTGTGCAGGTAGGATGACCGTAATTCTTATAATTTTGAGCTTGCTTGGGCAGTTCTGGACCCAGGATTCTTAAGTTGGTGAGGGGAAGGGGGAGGATTGTAGGTTCCATGCACCTTTTAACAATATCATTGAGTCACATGGACCTATTTTGTGTGCCACATAGGTGTGTAGGCCTAGTATGATTGAACAAAAAAAGAAGATTATTTTCTTCGTCAGTTTCAATTCTCCAAGTAGTTAAATCATTTTGGCAAGACTTACATACACTACGCAACAATGTGTGGGATGGATTGGATGATTAAAGTGATCCATTTGTAGTTTCATGGTAAAGAGGATCATTCGCTTCACTTTCAGTCAAGTTGAGGGTTCAAATTCTATCTCGGTATAATGTCCTTTAACGAGACATTAATCTACATTGATGCCCTATAATTCGTATGTTGTATTCTAGATACCACTGCACCTGTCTTCACTAGATGCCCCCCATCCCAGACTGTCTATGCCCCCTCACTGTCCTCAAGTGCAACGATCAGTTGGTCAGCACCAACTGTATCCGATAACTCGGGAGAATCCATCACCCCCCGTCTTGACCGTGGGTCAACTGCACCAGGAACTTCTCGTCCAGCAGGCACCCATGCTGTAGCTTATGTTGCTGTGGATAGCTCAGGAAATGAAGCCTCCTGTCGATTCTCTGTCACTGTTGCAGGTCAGTCAAGATAGGCATAATGCCACTGGCAGACTTTTGTGATGTTAACATTTGACATATATGTATATCATGAGCTTAGAAACCCTGGCCTGGCTTCCCTTGGTGAATGGCTAATCTTGATTTCTGTTACTGTAATTGAGTCTGGAGAACTGTAGGTAAATTGATCCCTGTAAAAGTGGGAAAACCAGAGTATAAGTCTACTTATTTGGAGCAGGGTAGTACAAACTTTTTGTTGAGCTAGAGAAAGGAAAGTCTACTGATAGCTAGAGCTATATTGGTAACATCATGAACGATGGTGATTGGCATAACATATAATATTTCGAAAAAAATTGAAAACATTGTTGAAGTAACAGGGGTGGGTGCCATTTTAACTCCAGACCCCCATATTTTCAATTGTTAACAGGGAGTAGATGCATACGAACCCCAGAAATTATCATCTATAGACTGAATGTAAATAAATTGATGTGGAACGCTTCTTTGAAATACAAATTCATTCAGACGGCATTGAATATATCCCACCGCTGCCACCATTATAGGAGTCACCAATGAAGGGGTCACCTGACACTTGCTCTGGTGATTATGCTTCATGCTTTATATAGGGTTAGGGTATATAAGGGGTAGCGTTGGGTCTTAAGTTAGGTTTAGGTATATGGTTAGGGTTTTGTGTAGTGTTTGGTCGAGGGTTGAAGTTCAGAAATATGTTAGTGTAGGAAAATTAACCCCAAAGGAAATGTGTTGTGGAAAACACCAAATAACCACAGAGAGTAGTTCATAAAAAACATTGTCTTTAATTACATTTCTTCACATCTATTTTTATATTATTAAATTTGTTTAATTGCTTGGTGTTGAATGAATCCTGGATTGAATATGTTACCGTGTATGCCTATTCCTTATTAGTTATCCGCTGCAGCAGTCTCTCTGCTTCTGCTCCACTCCAAGTGGCCTGTCCAAACGGTGCAATAAGAGGCTCTGTCTGTACGTACGGCTGTGGTGTCGGATACAGGCTCCGGGGTCAAAGGTCAACGGAATGCCAGAAGAGTGGTTCAGCCGGTTCATGGAGTCAGCCACCGCCAACCTGTCAGAGTATGTGATTAGTAGTTTTTGTGAAAACTTTAAAAATTGGAACAGTCTAAAAAAAAAATCTGTAACAGGGATACCAGCTTTTAAGCCATAGTCTGATTTCAGACCCTGACACTTCTCTATTTCATAGGGTGAAACTATCTGGCATCCCCATCTATAAATAATCTTACACATTCCTTTCAAACCTTTGAATGCATCGAATCTGCAAAATGATTCTAGTAGAAAATATATAAATTGCTGAACAATAAACAACAGAAAATTAGAGAATCAATTCCTTGACTTACGCACTTGGATAACACATAGTCTATTAATACGTACATTTATTTACAAGTACCAGGGAAGCTTTTCACTAAACTGTTTGCCCAAACCCCTTGTAATTCATATTTTTGTTGGATGTAGGCAATCTTGTACTTATTGTTTGTTAATTAAAACGTTACTCTGAACTCCAGATGACTTTTAACATATCAATGAGATGAGGAATCCACTTACAGTTCATAATACCCTCACATATGACTCTGGTCTTCCGATCTTGCTCTAAAGTCCTGCAGTGTCCAAGCATGGTTGCTCCTAGCCATGGCAGAATCATAGGAGCTTGCTCAAGGAACTACGGCTCCAGGTGTAACTTTGCATGTGACACAGGCTATGAGATAAGCAACAGTGCTCAGCAGTGCAGTGCCCAAGCAGGAAGTACTGATGCCATCTGGGTAGGGTCGACGCCCACATGCACAAGTGAGTGTGTTGTTCGGCTGTTCATTGGTGATAAAGTCAACCTTTATTGAATTGATTTGAAGTGCTTCAGTAGATTGAATTTCATCATAGCCAAAGACAGGACTGCAAAATATTTTCCAAATTAATAACATATATCCTATAATTATGAAAGGTACATGAATACCGTAATTAACGGTGTATTAACCGCACCTTTTTTATACAACGTTAATTACGGTAGACAGGTATAGCAAAACATTCAAAGATACATATTCCTTTGGGAGATGATAATAGATGTGTTGTCATAGTGTGTCCTGTTGTTGATAGTAGCATTTTATTTTGCTGCGTCAGTTTGGTAGGTGATCTATTGCTTCATGCGTGACTGAGGCTTATGAGGAAAGTCCACCTGTCATGAAAGAGGTGGCTAGTGATGTGAAGGTTGTTGGTTCAAGCCCTGGCACGACACCAGTCTCCTTTGGTAATACATTAATCTACATTTGCTACTCTCCACTAGGTGTTTAATTGGAATTCTGGGAGCACTGAACTTTGTATCCTAGTTAGAGCAACGGTACTATCGGTACACTTGAGCACCTTGTATGGTGGATATGTGCGCTACAAAGATATCATTAGCTATACCAATATTATTAAAACATTTAGAAAAATGAAATAGATTATTCTTATTACATTCCTATTTATACAGTGAAAAATATAACACATTTTTCAAATTTTGATTTTGATTCACCCAGGAATCTATTGCAGGAAGCCTAGCCTCACCACGGCTCTTCAGATCACCACCACCCAGGCCTGCCCCTATGGAAACCAGGTACCATCTGGCAATCAGTGTCACTTCTCCTGCAGCGCTGGGTACTACCTCACTGGGTATGCTGCCCTCACATGTCAGCATGATCGAACCTGGAATCGAGCCACACCGACGTGTCGCTGTAGGTGCTCCTAGATTGATATTACTTTGTGAAATAAATGTTTTTGATGATTAAAATTGTTTAGAATTAAATTTTAGGTAATCCTGTGTACTGTGGATGTCATACATGATGTTGGGAACTTTTTCTGTCCTGCTGGCTGTTCAAACTATTGATGTACTTGACTATAGTATGTGGTCATCTTGTTTTTAATGAGGTATACAATAAGTAGGCTACATTTGTTCTGATTACTGATGACAATACATTTGTAGCTGATTTTCATCTCTTTTATTATCATCATAATAAAAATAAAAATCATTGTTATCTACCTGTGTGTCTCCTCGTGATTAACCCGTACGCTGCTATTTCTGCAGTTTATCACAAACCAAAATAACAGTATGTCGTATGTGGCAAATTATGCAAACAAATCTGTGTAGTGATTCAACATCTTGTTTTTATCAGTAATAACCTGTTCAGGGAGTGACCTTCCTGCCCCAGTCAATGGAGAGAAGCGTGGATGTTCCTCTTCCCGTGAGAACTACGGCGCGGTCTGCACCTTGGCGTGCAATGTGGGGTACCTACCAGCCACGCCTATTCAGAGGACCTGCTCCGACGATGGTAACGGTGATGGGAGCGGAGTCTGGGCAGGACCTGATCTGACTTGTACAAGTAAGTTCCATCGAACCTGACAGTTCTAACAAATGCATAGGGTTTTAATAATTTTGTTTATGTAACCCCTCTCAGATGTTTCAGATGCATGGTGGAAACGTTCATTAAATGCTAATGCAATCAAACAAAGTAAAAGGAACAGTACCGGTATTACAGTTTTCTTACATTCAATTACTACATGTGTAGTGAGAGGTTCGAATATCTGTGAATCATGAGGTCAGGAACTTTTAGAGCAGTCATTGAGAACATCAGGGCTTGGTCTTACAAAGAATTATGATTTATCAAATTGATTGCAAGTCCCCAAATAAGTCAACAACCTACAAACTCTTATAACTTTAATTATGAGTTGTACTTGATATCGAGCCATGATTGATTTGAAAAGATTGCAACTGTTTAAAAACCGGGGCCCAGTTTTGTCTCTTAATCAAATTCATGGCCCAAAATTACATACACTCATTTTTCTTTTCAGTTGTGACCTGCCCCGTGCCTGCCACACCCAGCAACGGCCGAGTGACTGGATGCCTTTACGGAGGATCACCACAGGGGATAGATGGGAGGCAGAAGTACAGCACGGCCTGTAGTATGGTATGCTCTCAAGGATTCACCAAGACTGGAGGGTCAGCAAGGAGGGTGTGTCAGGCAACCGGACAGTGGGATGGTCAGCAGATTGTTTGTGAAGGTGACTTGGGGAAAAATTGTGGTTTATTATTCTGTGTATTTTCATTTTTTTAATGAATTTACCAAGGTACATATAACATTATAATTACATGTGCAATGTTATTAACTCACTCACTTGCTCAACAATTATTCAATACTTTACTGCCACTAGATTGTTATAACATAAATTTACTTTCACTAGTTACATTTTAGAGGGATAGCATGCGCAAAATGTAATTTGATTTGGTACAAATTTTCCTTCAACCAAACAAAATGTAAAGGAAGCACTTTGGTATATTTGTTAAGGCTTTTGAATCTTGTGTGATAGGTCATGGGTCTGATCCAATATTTGATGCTTTCATCCTTGAAGAAGGTATGTTACCCTCATTTGACTCTCTTAACCCAGGTGTATTGGTTACCTGGACAATGCCAGGATGATAGATATTACAGAGCCCTCTGGAAGAACAGCACATGTTAGTACTATTGAGGCTACCCTACGTAAATAGGACCATATTATGACATCACAATGAATTATATAATATTGGATGTTGTATTAGATTAGATGATAGTGATAAGTGTCAATGTTCTTGATCCAAACCTCAGATACCACTCTTCCTGTCTTTGTGTGTCCATCCAACAAGCGACTGTTTGCAGGAGAGGACAGCACTTCTGCCCCTGTGCCATGGAGTGACTGGGAACCAGTTATGGTGAGATCAATATCTTACATATAAGCCCACATATGTGTTTGAAAGAAAAATTTGGGACAGATTTGTTATTTAAAGTTTTAGATAATGATAGTTTTTCAGTAAAATCCTCATTAAAAAAAATGTCTGTTGTTTTAGGCTTGGGCATTGAATAATTCACATAGGTATAGTCATCTACCTATGTGCACCTGTTTTAGTTTCAAGACCAAAGAGTTACCTTTTCATGGCCTAAACAGGAAATTTATCATTGTAGGTTTTGGGGGATATTTGCTACCTGTACTTTCAAGGCCCTATAGGTACAATATAATATTAATGACACAGGGAAGATTTAGTTTGCAAGCACAGACTTTGACACTATGAACACAATTATATAAAGAATTGAACCTAACCTAGCTCCGTCATACTCTGGCTTGAGGCAGCTTTAGGGCCTCCATGTATATGTTTTGCGGCAGCCCTTGCAGTCTACATCCACTGTAGTTTAGGAACTCATACAATCTATTGTATGTTACAATTGACATGATCAACTTTGTTCCTGCAAACCAGTGAAGATGATCTGTTGACCTTTAACCTATGTAGGGTACTGACCGAGGCTCCCCTCTGCAAGCTACTATGTACACAGTAGACTCAGTAGAAGTGGGCGCTGCCAAACCAACCTCCCTACTGGAAGGCACTCACAGGGTTGCGTACCGGGGCACAGACCTTGCAGGACAATCGACCACATGCTCCTTTGAAATTGAAGTAAAAGGTGAGTGAGAAAATGAGGGAGGGAGATAAGTAGAGAGAGCTGCTGTAGAAGCTCATTTTAAAGAACACTTTTCATTCCAACTCTCTTAACAAGGTACAGACAAGTAAGTTTGCAATTAATGTTTGGTTGTACTTTTCTTTTTCGAGCCCTGGGAAAATAATGTTTCCATTTGACATGGTAGTTTCTTTAGGCCCAAGGACTTTGTCTTTAGGAGGTTCCACTGTAGAAGTAAAATAGTCAGGGAATTGAGGAACTTTGAAGAATGCAATTTCAGAAGAAATGTCAGAAAGTGAACTTGGACCAACTTTTATGATTTTTTCCTTCTCTGCTCCTGTAATGGTGGTATAGAAGGGCAAGAAGAGAAAATTCTTTTTGACTCTTGAATTATTAACAGTTTGGTTTGTTGTTAATTTACGTATTACCTTTTGTTTTTACTTTTCTCTTAAGTAATAATAACAATAGTAATAGTTTTGATAATGGAGTAGTTTCTAGGGCTATATGACTGCTGTAACATCTCTGGAGAAATGTTTCCTTTATTGTGAAAGATACGTCCTTTGTTACTTATTTTGATATCCAGTATCCCGTTGCGCACCCATCCACATCCCTGAGCACGGTTCAGTATCCCTCGTCTCTGGGACAGGCCGTTGTGAAGAAGGGCCTGTCTTTGGGGCAGACTGCCGCGTGGCATGTGAGGCGGGCTACCGACTGTCGTCAGATACCGATCATGCCGACAGAGTTTGCCAACGGCTCACCGACACATCGCAATCTGGCTTCTGGACAGGGCAAAACGAGATATGCAATGGTAAGGAAAGTTCTCACTTCTCTAGGTTATTCTATTGAAAGGATGTTTTTTATTCCTTCATTCTTTCAGCCTGTCTCTACTAGTTACAGAGTGTTCCAGTTACACGATGAGCTGTGAATCAAAGTGATGTCATACCTGTCACAGGACTTGCCACCGTCAATCTTTTTGTCAATTTGGCTTTCCTATGATTTCAAGCCTTAAAATGCATTTCAATTATCGTTCATATTACCATCTGGGACTTACGGCAGAAACAGTTTTACTTTTTTGAAATTCTACAAATAATACAAACAATAATGTACTGTTGTATTTTATTCTATTTGTCAAATTGTAAGGTATACAATGGCTTCAACAAAAATTTAGGCCAAATTCTGTGAGATTCTGGAAAAATAGATTTTCATTCCCTTATGTAAAAACACATTTTGTGCATGAATCTTTATTTCCACAGTGAAGAATTGCACCGTTCCAACTGTCACCAATGGTCTCGCCGAAGACTGCTCAAGGCCCAAAGTCTCTTATCGAACAATATGCCACTTTCACTGTCGACCAGGGTTTATGGCGCCCTCTACTGTTGAGACTGTGAGTCGGACATGTCGGGCAGACGAGGCTTGGAGCGGACAAGATCTTCAGTGCACAGGTGGGTTCATGAATTAATTTTTGGAAGAGAAAGTTGAGTTCTGGTAACAAGAAAAACAATTTTGTGAGCTTCCTCTGTCTTTCTATGTCAGTTTGGAAGGTCATAGTAGCTAGAAGTAACCCCTACAAAGTTGTAATGCCCTCATATTCAAAATTTGATGTGCAGGTGGACTACTGCACTAGGGACAGTGTGGTCACTTCACTTGAAACTGGTAAGACGTGGGTTCATGAAATAATTTTTGGAAGAGAAAGTTGAGTTTTGGTAGAGAGAAAATCATTTTGCGAGATTCCTCTGTCTTTCTATGTCAGTTTGGAAGGTCATAGTAGAATTAACCCCTAAAAAGTGTTAATGCCCTCATATTCAAAATTTGATGTGCAGGTGGACTACTGCACTGGGGCACTGTGGTCACTTAACTTAAAATTGGTAAGACACGGTATGTAAAAATAAAATAAAAGTTATTACTAAAATCATAAGAACTGTGGATTTATTCATATCCCTTGATAACGCAGTTACCAAGACCTGTCCTGCCTCATTTGATGTGGCCCATGGGGGTGTCGACCCACCCGAGTGTGAGTCAGCAGATGCTGTACGGTTCAGTACTAGGTGTGAGTTCTCCTGTGATGAGGGTTACCAGATACAGGGTCCCACTGCTCTTGCCTGCAGCACGGAGGGAGAGTGGAACCATGAGGTGGTTCCACATTGCAAAGGTGAGCTTATCGTTCTGTTTAGTCGCCGCCTCTATATACCACTCATCTATTTGGTATTCATTTTTATGCCTCCACTACAAAGTAGCCAATTTGTTTCCATCATTACCAGAATTTGATGATTGGTTGTTAGTGCTTTTTGTGTAATCTCTTTATATACTCTAGTCAACTAAAGTTTAGTCTTGGACACAGATGGAGTATACATATACCTCAATCTTTTTAAATGTTTTTTTTTTCTTGCATTCATTAGATATCCAGCCGCCATCCTTCAGTGGACCTTGCCCTCATCAGGTTACTGTAGCTGCAGAACCAGGAACTTTAGAGGCCCACGTACATTTTGAGGAACCTGTTCCTACTGATAATTCTGGCCATGTGAATCTCACCAGGTATTGGCTTTTCTCATTTATAGGAATGTTCCTTTAATGTTGTTTTTCACATCGACTTTTTAACCCTCATGTAGTTTCATGTTTTAAGGGGATAATAAATTTAAATATTCTATAAATTGCATCAATCACAGGGTTAAGATCATTTACACAATTGTATCTGGGATTTTTACGGCACTCACAAATTATCCATTCCTTATATCTCCCTAATCCCTCTTTCTCTCTATCTCTATCTCACTCTTGTCATCTCCCTTTCTTCTCTCCTTCTTCATGTTTCTCACCTCACCCTCTCCCTACAGCCTTGCTCCAACTCATGTCCCAGGGAGCATCTTCCAGGAAGGTGATACTAACATTGGTTATCTAGCAACAGACTCCAGTGGGTTAGCTTCCAGATGTGATGTAGTGATAACTGTACAAGGTACAATGAGAGAACATAAACACATGCTAGGCCTGGCTTCATCAGCTCCAGTCGGCCAAATAGTACGCTATTTCTGATCACGAAATAGCGGGCTATTTGCTCAGGAAATCTTCCTAAGATATCTTGGGCTAGTTTGCAAAGTAGCCCGCTATTTGTCCGGTCCGTCTTCACCCGCCCAAAGACTCACACCATGCGCAAACACTGAGAAAATTTCTCGAGCTCGAGTTTTTAGCTGATGAAGACGCAATTTGTAACTTTGGGCTAATTTTCAGAATCAGAAATAGCAGGCTATTTGGCCAACTCGAGCTGATGAAAACAGGCCTATTGACCTGGCCATTAATTGTCTAGTGATTTCTCTTATTCTCATAAGTTTAATGTAGGAACCATATGGGTGTAAGAGGGCAGTGGGTTACACTATAACAGATAAACCATTATGTGTAATACATGTATGTATTAAGTTTTAGGGCTTTGAATAGACTGCCAAAAATATTTATTACCAGTTAACCTAGGTAATAAATCAGTATCATTTAAATGCACATGTACAACTTCTGGCATATTAAGGGTTTTGAAACTGCACCTTTGTACATGCACATACATTTACAGATATTAAGTTAATTAATAACAGGATTTAGTCAAGTTAAGTTTCATTGATATTTGTTTGACATACAATGTTTTATTGTCTTTCTAGATTCTAGTAGTAAAATTTTTTATTTTGTTGTTGATTTTTTTTGCATTTTGCAGTGTACAGATGCCCTCCTGAGCAACCTCCCCTCCATGGGAAGGTAGAAGGATGCCCTGATCCCTTCCATGGGAGCCAATGTCAATACTCCTGCGACGTAGGTTATGACTTGATTGGCGAAGATACTTTGTCATGTGACTTGTCACCTGACACCACCCCTGTATGGAGTCATGACAGGCCAGTTTGTCAGAGTAAGTATGGGATCTGTGAGACTGGATGAATTAAAGTTTGATCAGCTGTAATACAGCTCATAGATGTACATGTTTGGAAAATAAAAACTATAAATAAGCCATGTTTTTATCAAAAGGTTGTGCCTAAAGTTTGTTAACAAACAACAACAAAAATTCCAGAAATTACATTTTCATAAGCACAGTGTGCTATTGCTAAACATGATGTCAGGACTATCAGCTTTCATTATATCCTTTGCTCTTTACTCAGCTCTTCAATTTATATTATATTTGTTTGTCAAATATCATTTATTTGTAGTATTGAACATAAATTGGTGTATTAGGTATGTTTGAATCTGTGACATTGTATTTTCTGTGATGGCTAAAATTCAAGATTACCTTTAACCACCAAATAATTTATGCATTTTAAAGTCATTATCATTTTTTTCTTTTTTTCTTCAAATACTGTTCATTCCATCCAGTAGAGGTGTATGAAGACATTTATTCTTTGTCTTTTTTCTCTCCTAGTTCGGACATGTCCGGCACTGGTCATTCAAGCTCCAGCCACACTGACAGGGTGTGGTCAGTCGGAGAATGTCCCTTATGGGTCAATCTGTATCTTCCACTGTCCATTTGGTTATGAGGGTGTAGGAGAGAGTGATAAGAGATGTCAGGCAGATAGGACCTGGAGTACCACAGATTTCACCTGCAGTCGTAAGTTCTCTCTTTGTCTATCTCTTTCTCTTTCTCTTTCTCTCTCTCTCTCTCTCTCTCTCTCTCTCTCTCTTTCTCGTTCTCTCTCTTTATTATCTCTCTTTCTCTCTCTCTCTTTTTCTCTCTCTATCTGTCTATCTCTCTCTCTCCCTCTCTTCTATCACTCTTTCTCTCCACCTATATCTATATCCAACTGTCTTTCTCAAATTTTCATGTCAACCCCTGGAGAATATTAAAGACTGTGACACTGGGTTCATAGCAAGAAGTTGCATGTTGGCCCTTTGGCCAAATGATATGAACTTGCCTAATCATGTAACAGGGTGAATGTTAGGACTAGTGAATGTTTTATCACTTTACCTGGTTATGCGATGTATATGCCTCCTTGCTCAAAGAGTGACCAAACCAAGAAAAGCTTGTCTTTTTTCTTCAATTCCAGAATTGTATGATGAGGAATGTTATCTTTAAATACTGTTTCTATGAAAAGAAACTCTAAGGAATAATGATAATTATCCTTGCTTATATAGCGCCTAACACTTACTTTATCAGAAGTCTCTAAGCGCTCTACAATAATGCAGCATAATTACCCTGGCTTTAGCAGTGCAGCTGTTACGCGCGCTGCGTTTCAAGGAATAAATTCCTACCAGGTACCCATTTACTTCACCTGGGTGGAGTGTGGCAAATGTAGATCAATGTCTGGCCAAAGGACATTAGTGCGGCGACGGGACTCGAACCGCAGACCTTGTGATCGACAGTCCGGCGACGTATCCACTCGACCACAACAGATAAGCCCTGATTTAAGAATATTTGTATTGAAATCTTAATCATGGTGTACGTATACTTGTTGGAAAAAAACACAATATGAGCGTATGAAGGGTTGAAAGTACTCTTTGACCTGTCTGTTGTAGGTAAATCCTGTCCAGCACTAGTGGAGACGGCCTGGATTTCCATTCGACCAGAGTCCTGTCTGTCTAACCCACGCTTTGAGGATACATGTAACCTTGCATGTAGGACTACAGGATACGAGATCAGCCCTTCCAGTCTAAGCGAGACTACGTGTTCTGGGAACCAGACTTGGACTCAAGATGTAGGCCAGGCCCAGTGTGTAGGTAAGATAAAGATTTTTATATTAAGAAAAAATAAATGATGGTGCATGTATGGTTACATATTATGTCTTTATTTCATCTCTTTACCCTTAGAATTCAAACCCCAAGATAATTGGAGGTAAAACTTGTAATTTAAAAAAAAAAAATACAAATTCAAGTTGTACTTATTAAAGTGAAATCATTATTTTCTCTGAGTCTACTATTACTATTTACTGGTGTTTTCTAATAAATAATGTAATCATGATTTCAGGTTTTCTCTTATATTCAATAATATGTGGTTTTGGTGCTGGTGTTGTTGTTTGCCTTGTACATATATCAGGATGTATAAATAGAGATATGAGGGTTTTGTTGTACATTTTAAGGTTGATGTAAATGTAAGTGTGCATTTTTTATTAGCGTGGATACATATATCGTATCATTTCACAGATAAAGTGAGATTACATTTTTTTTCTTTCTCTTCATGGGGCCTTTCTTTTTCTCTCTTGCTATTGCTCTTTTTACTATTTGTTGTTATTGTTGCTCTTCCTGTCTTTTCTTTTTGTCCTCTCCCTCTCTCTCCTCTTCCCCCTCCCTGTGCTCTTTCTCTCACTCTCCTCTTATCCTTCCCTGTTCTCTCTTCTATTTTTTCTTATCTCTCTCTCTATATATATATATATATATCTCCCACCTATCTTTCTCCTTTACCCTTCTCTGTATCTCTCTACATGTTTTGTCTTCTTTTTGTCTTCCCTCTTCCTTTTCTTACTAGCCTTCTCTTCCTCCTTTTCACCCTACATTTGTTATTTCTTCCCAACTCTTCCTTTTCCCTCCCTTCTCACTCTTTCCTCCTCTCCCTTTTTTCTCTTGCTCTTTCTCATTGTTTCACCTGGCTGTCTCCATTTCTTATTCTATTATCCCCTACTTCCCATCCTTATGTTCTTTCTTTTCCCCTCCCTTAAATTCTGGGAACAAAAACAAAAAAAGAATATGTTTGCTCTTTTATCTTTGGTTGTGCATGTATTTCAAGCTTAATAAAAATATGAAATAGAACAAAAAGTTCAAAAACATCCGCCATCCTGCATTTAGAAAAGTTGTTATAACCAAAAAACAAATTGTCTAAAAATAGTGCAACAAAATGCAAAAATGGCACAGAAGATGTGTATTTGACTATTTTCAACCTTTTAAACTCTTTTTTAATCTTTGGTTGTGCATGTATTTAAAGCTTAATACAAATATCAAAAAGAACAAAACGTTCAAAAACGTCCTCCATCCTGCATTGTTATAACCAAAAAAAACAAATTGTTTAAAAATAGTGCAAAAATAATGCAAAAATGACACAGAAGATGTGTATTTGACTATTTTCAACCTTTTAAACTCTTGTTCCAAATACTTAGTCTAGAAATATTTGTTTTGCCTAAAGAAAAATGAAAAAAAATAGGTCCGTTTTGGGAAATGCCATAAAAATATAGAGAAAATAGTCAGAAAATTTATTTTCTGCATGTGAAAAATAACAAGGGTAACCAGTCTCTCTCAGCAACTTAAAATGATATGACCATGGTCATTTTTTGGCAGACTGAAAATGAATTTAATCTTTTCCTGTGAACACCAAGGTACAGAAGAAAGCAAGCTAAATCAGGGCAATGAACATTCAATAAGATTTTTTGAATGAGAAATTCGCCCTTGTTGTTTTCCATTTCTCAACATCTGTCTTTGAATAAAATGTTTGTTTTACTCAGGAAATCTTACATTCTGTCAATAGTTGTAGATCTTTAGCCAATTCCTCGAAGGGAATTGATCATCAAAATATATTTTTACTACAAATATTCACGCGAATCTTATATTGAAAATCTCAGTTCAGAAAATGACTTATTTAGAGATATTCCAAGTTTAGATACCAAAGCAGCTCTCAATAAAGGTGAAAGTGACTTGTGAGTAGTCTAGTCAATGCTCAAACAGGAAATATGGTTCTCTGAAGTTAACTCAGAGTCAACTACTGTGTTTCTATTATACAAAATCTTTCTCCTTTTTTCTTCTTCAAATTGTTAACAACTTCATTGTCTTTTGGGTTTCCATTCTTTTTTGGTTTCCTTATTTTGACTACAAGCTCCTTTAAGATACAACTTGTACCTTTAATGGCCTGTCCAGTACCAAATAAATCTCTTTTGAGAGCAAAACATTATGCAATCTGCCTTATTTTATTTTAGGAAGTGGCCAAACTTTAAATTGGATGTGCCCCTGCCCCCCCCCCCCCTTTGTTGCAGGCAAACCCAAATTCACATATTTGGGGTGTCATATCCATACATAAAGATAACAATGATTACCGGGTAATAATCTCACAGAATACTGGTTGATTTTGATGATTGATTACAGAGGTTAAATATACTGAAAAGAATTGACAGAAATGTCAAATGTGAGAAAACATACATGGTTAACAGTCTTTGACATTTTTGAAAATGGGAACAATTTGCCCAATAATTCTAACTCTACTTAACAAAATATTTGCGATGCATTTGGTATTAAATTACTTGCACAGATAATTAATGCATACATTTGTTAAAACAGACTACGAAAACAAAGTAAATGACAAACTTCACTCAGAAACTGTACATGTATGTTAAATGGACAGACATACGCAGTATACTGGCAAAACTCTTTCATTTACGTTAAACTTGGTGTTACAGAACCTTATGACACTATGAATATGACGGACAAAGAAAGCGGACAAAATATACAGTTCCTCAGGTAGATAAAGAAACATCCCTTCACTGCTATTATGTAAAAATGTGTAGAACAGGTGTCACATGCATATTCACCTGTTCTACACATTTTTTACATAATAATAGCAGTGAAGAGATGTTCCTTTGTCTACCTGAGGAAATGTATATTTTGTCTGCTTTCTTTGTCTGTCATGTTCATAGTGTGAGTTAATGCCCTTTTGGCTCTAGACTTTATGATGATTGTTCAAAAATCAAGTAGCACCAAAGTCCAAAGGGGTTAAGGTTGCTCCATGTTTGATGATGGTCTAGTATCCAAGGGGTTAAGATGATCAAGAACCGTAGACTTCTCTTCCGTCTTTCTCTTAGCGATGCTTTCAAGCGCAACCTGTTCCTCCAAGTCCAAACAGCTGTCAAGGAGATGAGAATAGTTTCTGGTAGCGAAAAAGATTCTCATTTCTCTCAAGGCTGCTGCGACGTGATGGATGGATTTAAACTTTAGATGGCCTAGAGTCCCCCTTCCCTCTTTCCCTTCTTTCTTCTTTCCACCATCTTCCTCTTTTTGACTCTCCTCCTCCTCCTCCTCCTCTTTCTCAACATCTTCCTCTTTTACCTTACACCAATTATTGCCCTTCTTCTTTAAAAACATTGGCTCCATGATGGACACATTGGGGCTGCTCTTCTCTTCTGTTACACCTGTTTGACTAGAACTTTGAGATGAAATGTTTTTCACAAACTCGCCCACTATCATTTGTGGAAGCTCACTTGTGAGGTTTTTCCCATCATTTCCAAATGGATCACTTTTTGCTCTTTCAAAGATGTAAGATTTCCTTGGCAGCAAGCCACCAGCTGGGTTTTCTCCCCCCTCCAAGCCTAAATTCACCTTGCCAAACGAGATGCTGTGTCGCTTCCTGAAAGACTCCAACCATCCGTTAGACCCCTTGAACTCTGTGATATTAAGCTCGCGAGCAATCTCCACTGCCTTCTGTTGCAGCATCGGACCATTAACCGGTATCATACGGTCTATGGCTTCTTCAAACCACTCATAGACCTTATGATTGATCTCTTCGTTGCCCGTCTTACGCAGCTTGCGTTTGCGAGAGAGGGGTACATTTTGGGCGTACTGCTCGATCCATTCGTTTTTGCGCTTCAAGATGTTTTGAACTTGGGTCTTTCCACATTTGAAGCCATGCACATTCATGATTTCCATGATACTCCGCCCACTTAATCCCTCCTCCTCACGGAGTCGTATTGCTTCAATTTTCATATCGAGGGGTAGCTGGTTGCGGGAAAGCTTGCCTGGGTGAAAAGGCTGGGACACATTGAAGTGGGATGGAGAAAGATGTGACATCTCAGAGGTTGATGGTTGTGTTGCTGTTGTTGTAATGTGTAAATCCAGTGGTAGAGTTGTTGTCGTTGCAGCTGCTGATGTTGTAAGTGTGGGCAAGTGATGTGGTGATGAAGACGTTGCTGATATACTTGAACATGTCTGATCTAATGGAGTTGTAGGGGATGCTGCTTCACTGTCATGCGTGGTAGAGCGTGTTGTTATAGCTAATGCTGAATATGTTGCGGGTGCAGGATCTGGCTGCCCATTCAGTGGATAAATCCTTGACACGCACTTCCAATTTGGCAGTGATTTCAAGGGTGAAATTTTTGGATATGTGATTTCCTTGTAGCGAGCCATTGCAGCAGTCATAGCTGTGGTTCCAAAACTAGTTGTCGTATCATTGCCAGAGTTTGATATTGGTGTGCTGGTAATTTGTAGATCCGACCCCCCTGCATGAATTGATCTCATTTGAGTTTTGTGATCTTGTTGATTAGATGTTGTTGACATTGTTGCTGATGTTGCTCCAGATTTTGATGTTGGTGTGCTTTGTAGATTCAATACCTCTGCGTAGGACGATTTTGAATGAATGCTGTGGTCTTCATGGTCAGATGTGGTTGATGATGTTGCTGATGTTGTGGGCGTTGTAGGTGTTGTATAGAGTGCAGGAGATAAGTCAGTCCCATTTGAATCAATTTCAGCTGCTGCTTGACCAGTGGAAGGTAATTCAGATGCTGCATTTGTTGTATGAGTAGTATGCAGCTGAGGTGACAAAGTGGTAGGTGTTGTTGTTGATGTGGTAGCTATTGAAGACATTTCAGATAAGTCAGTCTCATATGAATCAATTTCCTCTTGCACTTGATAAAACATTGATGATTCTGGTGCTGTTGTTGTGGCCTGAGTGGTATGCAAGTGTGGTGCCGAACTGGTAGGTGTTGCTGGTAATGTTGCAGGCATTGTATCTGATGGTTGCACTGGTGGTTGAGATACTGCTTCCAAAGTGGCTGAGTCCTTGCTAGTTGCAGTTTCTTCCATGATTGCATGTGCATGCAGTGATGACATTCTTGCAGACAATATACCTTGATCCCTCTCTTTATCAAAGTTGGTAGACTTTTTGGCTCATCAAAATCAAATGTTTAATAACTAGACAGGCAACTTTGTACCATGCATTAAAAGCAAAACATAATGAATGTCCACAATGCAGCTAACTGTAGTGTCTCGTTGAGGAACAGAGTTGGAAGCCTATATAAAGTATACAGCACAAAGCATGTACTGACTGTATGCTGTACTACATACACTGGTATAGAGAGTGAGTGCATACAATCCCCCTCTGCATAAAGACCTTATGTATGTGTTTGTGTGTTTGAGGTTAGTGCTTGTGTGTGCTGTGTGTGTGCTGTGTGTTGCGATCAGTCTGTTCATCTGCAGCTGTATGTATACATCCTGCTTGTGTGTGATGTGGTGTGCACAGGTAATAGTTACAGAGTGTGTATCATAGTGGGTATATATGTGTGTGAGTGTGGAGCTATGAATAGATTTGCAATGATGGTCCTAGACAGACAGGTGGCCTTACTACAAAAGGTCACTGCAAGGGAGTCTCGTTTTAAAGGGAAGGATCACTGTATATAGTTGTGAATGTGTGCTATCTATAAAAAGAAAGAGGTTTTATGGATGGATTTGAGACTTGTATTTATTGTTGTTTTCATATAGGAGATGATCAAAATGTCAGCATATGTATTTTTGATATATCACACAATTGATTTATTTTGTAGAAACTACATCTGCAAAAAAAAACTGCAGAATATTTGATTTATTTGGCTAAATATATACATTTCTGTCTCTGTACATCTCTCACATTATATTTCTCATTCAATACCATATTCCTCTGGGCCCTATTTGCCTGAGTGTGTATATATCGATCGTCCCTAGTTTCACGAAGTGACGGTAGTGAATGAAAATCGCATACAATTTGCGTGCAGATTTTCCTCACTACCGTCACTTCGTGAAAACGGGAACGATATGTATACTTCTCAGTCTCTTTTTCCTGATATACATCATATCTCTCTGATGTATCTCTCTTTCTCTCTCTTTCTCTCTATATATATTATATATCAGCTATTTCTCTCTCTCTCTTTCTATCTCTCTTTTTTTCTCTCTTTCTATATCGCTCTCTTTTTTTCTCTCTCTCTATAAATATTATCATTTCTTTCTCTCTCTCTCTCTCTCTCTCTCTCTATATATATATATATTATCAGCTATTTCTCTCTTTCTTTATCTCCCTCTCTCTCTCTAAATATTATAATTTCTTTCTCTCTCTCTCTCTCTCTCTCTCTCTCTCTCTATATATATATATACATAAATATATATTTGTGTATATATGTAGTAAATAATGTGTCTCTTTCTGTAATCAAATCTCTCTCCTTCTGCGAATCTCTCTCTCTCTCTCTCTCTCTCTCTCTCTCTTATCTGTTTATCTCTCTTTATCTCTCTCTCTCTATATATATTTTCATATCTCTCTCTATATATATTTTTTCATCTTGCTCTCTCTCTCTCTCTCTCTCTCTCTCTCTCTATATATATATATATATATATATATATCATCTCTTTCACTCTCTTTCTCTCTCTCTCTCTCTCTCTATATATGTAATGGGCCCGTAATGGGTTGGTGACGACAAGTTCAGAAACTAAATGAAAATGAAAGAAGCTCGGATATACAGTTGAAGTCCACTTTATTAATCATAAAATTCAGCCGAATTAGCTCCAGTAGTTACCAACGAAGATTAATTATTTTAGAACATTTCAAAATAGCTAATTCTCTCAAAGGCTGAGCGGCCCTATAGACGAGTAAAACTAGCAGCACATCCTAAACATGATAACGGAATGAAATAAAACTCTCTTCAAAATCCCGCACATGGCATTTAAATACTCTGGCACCCAACGAGGCTTAGATATCACATGATATAACCAGCCAACCAGGAGGACCCTTACGAAGTCAACCAATTACAAGATGGGATATATAAAATGACCCTTAGGTCATCTGACCAATTAAGAGAGGAGTTGTACATTTAATCAATTATAACGAATGACAAAGCATAATAGATAAGAGTGACTAGAACTAGTCACCGACAAAAATGGGAGGAGTCTATCTCTTCGCGAGAATGTCAGGTCCCCAGAAAAACAGTCTATTGTCTAACGTGTTTATCAGAAATGAACACCTGTACATCTTAATGCAGGAATTTATTTCCAACGTGCTTATCGAATGAACACGTTAATCTGCTGGTAATGCAGGAATTCAAGACCAGGGGTTGTTTACCCATTTCCGGCATACTATTGGAAACATAATTACTGCTATTTAACTTTTAGACGTATACCAAGTCAAACTAATAACTGTACAATAAATCAACCCCACCCGACTCTTCTATGGCTCTAGCGCCCCCTTTAGGTCAATGTGTTGCCCAAATAGGTCACCTCTTTCTCTCTCTTTCTCTTCCCCCCCTCTCTCTCTCTCCCCCCCCCCCCCTCTCTCTCTCTCTCTCTCTCTCTCTCTATATATATATATACATAAATATATATTTGTGTATATATACGTTGTAAATAAGGTGTCTCTTTCTGTAATCAAATCTCTCTCCTATATGTATATATCTATTTATAGTCTTTAAAAAAATCTTTTACAAATGAAGTCCCTGTATGTTCTTTCTTTCAAAACGTACAGATATTGAAGCCCCAACCTTTGATGAATGCCCCGCAGACATCGTAGCATACACAGAGAGGGGCTTGAACCAGACTCATGTCCAGTGGTTGGTCCAATCATCAGATAACTGTGGCAGTGACCCTCGTGTGACCTGTGACCTCAATGCAGGGGTCATAACCTCTGGCACCTATACAGTGACCTGTACAGCCAGAGATGGGACAGGGAATGAGAACATCTGCAGGTTTTTAATCGATGTTATTGGTGAGTTTTACGCTTTAACCTTAAGTTAATCAACAAAAGAATTCTGCAGTAATTATTATTACTATTAAGTAAATGTACCTGGGAGGCAAAAAAAAACAACTGAATCACCATGCCCCTTTAGGTCTCTAATCTCTGTATAACTGATTGGGGGTGTGCAACTGGACTACTACACTGGGGTTTCTCCCTAGTCTTATATGAATTGGTTTAGTGAGTTTTCCCTCTACACAGGGCCTCCATTTAACGTCCTATCCAAGGGATGGAGTGTTTTCCACTGTAACACAGCCTGTCTCTATGAAACACGAGAGGGGTACTTTAACACAAAAAACTAGCTTCAGTCATCCACCTGGGTTGGATTTGAACCCACAATCTTTCGTTCGACATGCAGATGCTTTACCAATTTCAGAGCCAACTTGCCTCCTCATTCATGTGTTCATGGGGATGTTTGTTTGGAATAATAAGAGGAAAATAAGAGTAAATGGTTTTGAAAGATTGAGAAAAATTTGATAAAGCTGAAGAAAGTTATGAATATTTAATAAAGTTGAATTAAACCCAAAGAATCAGCTCTATGATTGAGCATTGATGTAGTTCTACATTTTATTGTTTCGAACTGAAAAGCATTAAAAATAAAATACCTGTCTTCTAAGGTCTTTGAAGGAATATGATTATTCATAAAGGGAAATGTGTGAAATTGTTAGGGATAAAAAAAATGTTACAAACTGTTCCACAGCAAAGTAGTTCAAAGCTTACCATAATTTTTGTAACAAAGTAGAAATACTGTTGAGAGGATATATCACAATTTCAAGATTATTAACTTAATAGATTTATTTTTCTTTTGTTTCCTTTTCAGTACGTCAATGTCCCCAAGCATTTGAGCCTCCTATGTTTGGAACAATGACTGGACCTTGTGACCTGTCACATGGTTCTGTGTGTCACCTGACCTGTTTGGTTGGTTACTCTCTGGTTGGTTCGGCAGAAGCAAGCTGTGAGTTTAACGGCACAGATATGTACTGGAACACAGAGGAGGAACCTTACTGTCAAGGTGTGAAAATTAATTTTTATTTTGTATTTTTATTTATTTTGCTTTATTTCAACAGGGTAGCTCAACCAGTAGTTAAGATATAGTTAACCACTAACTTATTCATATCCCTTGTAAAATTTGGTGTTGTTTGTCTTATTCATAACTCAAGAATGAAAGGCGGACTGGTTGAATTAGGCCTTTGTTGAATATGTCTTATCCTCAAGAAACATACATAGGGACAAATCAATTTTTCACAAACATAAAAAAGTCAAAAACTTGGTAAGGGTATGAATAATTTAGTGGTTCACTTTATATATATTGATACTGTGCTTTGTGCTTGATACGGGTCGTTGTGGCGTGCACCTGTAATCCAGCTTACAATGGAAGTTACAAACTAATTCAGCCGAGGACGCAGGTTCGAAACTGAGACTTCTTTCGAATGGTGACATTAAAGGTCGGTCCACAGACGTAAATAAGCATATCTGATCGATACACGTCTGTAAAAACCCAATTGCACACACGCTTGTTAACCTTGTTTTAAAATCACAGCAGTAATTTTAAAAAAAATTACGTTTAAAATAAATTGCAAGTGGATCGAGGTACAAAAGGTAGCCACACACATCAAAGGCCCCCTAACTTCTTTGATTTTATAAGATTTTACTATGTGAAGCACACAACGCTTTACGTCATTTTATTTTGCCAGGCGTTTTCTAGGTGGTTTGACTGAAGCCCATTATGTTACCTTCCCAGAGAAGTATAGTGACAGATGTTTGATTAATTAAGAAACATTTAAAGTAATAATATTGACGTAATACTGTTCATTTAAAAACTGGTAGGGACTGATAATTGATATGAAAACTTATTAAAAATGCATATTTATCTGTAGGAAATATGCTCTTAACTAAAATGTCAGAGTCATTGCATGATTTAATTGATTAATAAAACAGAGTTGTATCTCAATTGTTTTAATTTCAGTTATTGGGTGTGACCCTCTGGTGCTAGACTCCAGCGTTTCTATTTCTCCACCTTCCTGTGGGTCATCTGAGAAAGTGCATTCTGGGACAAATTGCATGCTTCATTGTGATCTTGACCTGACCCTAGTAGGGGGGCTTGAATCTATGACCTGCCTAGACTCTGGTCAGTGGAGCAGTGGTTTGGACGTTAGTGGTCAATCAAGATGTCTAGGTGAGCAAAGACTCTATTAACTGCCATTCTCTCTTAGTGAATATTTTCTGAAATCTTGACAAGTCTCAAGATCCATGCAGAACCTTGATATACAGTATAAAACCATTTCACACATCGCTGTTTTCATTGATCTGATATATAGTATAAAACCATTTCACACAACGCTGTTTTCACTGATCTTGATATACAGTATAAAACCATTTCACACATCGCTGTTTTCATTGATCTGATATACAGTATAAAACCATTTCACACATCGCTGTTTTCACTGATATGGAATGTTGTTGTTGTTGTTGTTGTTGTTGTTTTAGTTTTAAGGGTGTGTGTCATTCAATTATGAATATTTACGCCGAAGAACTAAGAGAGTGTATTCTTAGTTCCAGTCCCATGTATTTCTCATTCTCTCAACTCGTTTTTACCTCTAATATCTTCTCGGTGAATCCTTCATGTACCACTCTCATACATGAAACTTTGCTTGCCTGAAATCAAATATTTTATTAGTCATTTGCACGATGAAGCTATTTTTGTCTACATGTTGTCTACTAGTATATAAATGATTGATTGTGTTTTTGTTATGCATTGCAGATCTTGCAGCTCCGACACTCACTTCCTGTCCCTCCCAGCCCATCATGGCCGTGCGCACTGAATTCTGGGGAGTTGAAGTGACCTTTGACCTTCCTGCAGCAGTAGATAATATTGATAATGACCTCGGAGTGTCAACGTACCCCATTGACCTCACTACACCTTACAACTTCACTGCTGACACCACTTGTAGTTTTACCTTCAGTGATCAGTCAAACAACACAGCTTTGTGTGTGTTTCAAGTTTATGTGACTAGTGAGTATAGATAATTGGTTTGAGATCTTTATTGAAGACCACTCAAGGAAAACCTGGTCTTGTATAAAAACTCTTTATTTGGATGTTTGGAACCAGAAGAACAATACTTCTGTGTAATCAGAGTTTACACCCTTCTGTCTCTCAGCAGATGATATGATTGGCCAAAATCAACTCCTTTGTAAAGCTGAATTTCAAGTTTGTTTTGAATAGAAATATGCCCAGGGGGCCATTTAGATTTGGTTTGGACGAGGTGTGCTGCTCAAGCCTCGAAACCCCTACCCATTATTAGGGGGCATTTAGGGCATTTTTTCTGGGAAAAAGACCCATTTTCCAAAATTTTCTGGTGTTTGCCTGGAAATTTTGAAAAAATGGAACCATTTTTAATGGTATTTTTGTTAAAAGTGGGACCCATTTTTAGGGATTTTTTGTAAAAAAGTGATTAGAGCGGCATACCCCGTATGTCATAATATGTGAGTACCCCCCCCCCCCCCCCGGGGAATATGACAACAATATTTATCTTGTTTCTTCTCGAACAAGAATCCTTTTAACATGAACATCTCAAGTAGATGTGAATATTGTCAGCTGCTTGCAAGAAGGCCAGTATTACAGCTGACAGTACACTGGCCAGTATATCCTTTTAGTTGGTATCCAACAGAGGTTCTTGTTTATAGGATACATCTTCTTTGGTGTAGATGAATTGGAACCTGTCCATAAAGGTCACCTATAAAGGGAAACCTTAAAATTGACTACTGCAAACAGGTGGCCTTTCTTTATAGCTTCTTCAATGCCTATTTCCTCTATTAGGATGAAGGTAATAAAAATGACCACCGTAGACAGGTTTTGAACTTTTTAAAAATTTTGATGGAAGCTATGATAGTGACCACTATAGATAGGTTTGACTATACATTTACTTCTTCAGTGCTTTCAAAGTGAATGGAAGACATTTTATGCTTATCTTATGCCCATTTAATGAAATAAAGTGTTTTGAGTAAAAATGTATTGGTTTATGATAGTTGCAAAAAGTGTGTTGGCTTGGAATAGGAAACTACATTTGATGATGCTATGTAGATCTAAAACAAATGGAAGCTCCATGTTTGGTGTCAATTTCAGATGAAGTTCAACCAGTCGTCCAGTTTTGCCCGCCGGATCAAAACATCACAACCTTGACTAAGATGACAGAGGTCGAATGGGATGACCCTGTCTTCCTAGCTCCTCCAGGGATTGATATCATTGAGACCTGTAACTATGGAAACAACCCCGCCCTATTACCCTGGGGTCATCATGTGATCCTTTATCAAGCTAGTGATAGCAGGAATGGATTGAAGGCTGAATGTGATATCAATGTGGATATCAAACGTAAGTATTTTAGCCAATGCTCTTTCTTTTCTTTGCATACTGGTAGTCATGTTTTTTTCTTGTAACATTAATGTTATACTACCAGTATCACATTTTAAAGATAAAGACCAGTTATGGTCATGCGATTGCATTGTAAAAGAAACGTTGTGGAATCAATCAGAAAAGGTTGATCATTGGTGTGTACTGCAAGGTGCTGGAATCATCAAAATAATAAGAAATTTGGCTCAGTCTTCGTAAAGTTACAAGCACTGTACACAGAAAGATGTATATGGGACTACGCACACGTATTTAACTAATTTACCAAACATATCAATTAGTAGGCGGTTTCCCTGCAAAAATTTTATCATCATGTATTAGTCAAAACATATTCTTTCACATGATTGGTAATAAAGAGCTTCCATTTCATGTTTTGAAATTGGGGCGTTTCCAATACTGGTCTTTACCTTTAATCCTGCTACTACATTGATATCCTCTTCCAGCTGTTTCTTGTCATAATCTCCACATCCCTGCACATGGTGCACTGGCCTGTGATGATGGCTTTGCCTACGGGCGCTACTGTACCATGGTTTGCAACGAGGGCTACGATGTTCCCCGTTTGAGATCGATGGAATCACCCAAGAAGCTCTTCATCTGTGGCTCCTCTGGAGTTTGGTATCCTCACGCTAATGTTCCTGATTGCTCTCGTGAGTTGATATAATAGTGACCTGACATTTGTTATGGCGGCCTTCGCTATGGGCTTCCTTCCATCAAAGATGTATGGTTGGAATTGGGATAGGCCTTAACAAAAAAGATGTTGTATTGCCCTTTGCCACCGACCCAAAAATCTTGAAATCCACGGTAGGCCTTTTTTTTTTACTGTTTTTTAGGGAAAAAAATGTATTAAAGCATTCAAAACTGAGAAATATAAGCCCAAAGAGGGAGTAAAAAAAAAAAAAAGGAAAAAAAGCAAAGATTTCCGACCGACCAACCCATGTTTTGGCACCTAAAGGGCAATACAACATTTTTTTTTTAGGCATTATGAGAGGGTTTAGTATTGGGGTTAGGGTTGCAATTACATTTACGGTAGGCTAGGTTTCGTTAAGGATTGGGGTTACAGTCAGGTGTAGGGTGTAGTCCAGGGTTGAAGTTAAGAATTTTCTTAGTATAGGAAGTTGGTCATGGATTAGTAGAACTGCTGTGCCTCTTCTTGTGACTCACATGTACTTGTATGATAACAAGTCATTTCATGTTTGATATATTCTCAAAATCTTATTGACATGAAAATTAAATGGCCCCTCTGATTGTAAATGAAGAGAAGAAATCACTGTACCACAATGTCCCAAGTCACAGTAAAGCCCCTTTATTTCTCTTTCTGCAGAACGTCGCAAGCCCAGGCGTATGAACCTTCCACTCAGCATGATGTATTTTGAAGGAAAGTGTGGTGCGGGTGAGAACCAGACGATTCATGACATCTCAGAGAAGTTTGTGAGCATCATCAGCAACACAAACTTTGCTGCAATCTGCGCCAAGAACCAACTTTGCAAGGTCGACCATATCAGGGTGACGTGTGGACCAGGGAACGATCGTCGAAAACGAGATGTCAGCTCAGAGAGGCTGGGAGAGGAGACCAGAAGAAGTGGCATCGCTGCGGTATCCATGGTGAGAACTTGGATAATTTCAACCTAAGACCAAACACTGTACCCACCCCTAGACTGAAATCTAACTCAGTAGTTAGTTCTGATATAATACCATTTGGCTACCCAAGCCCGACCTCACTAAAGCACGGAGTGAATGTCGCACATGATTACAATCACAGTTTCATTCACTTTGGTAGCTTTTCTGTGTGTCAGATATCTTTGAAATTTTGAGTACAAAATCTATATCATTTTCAACCGTACACTATAATAAGTCATCTAATGCAGACACGTATGTCACTCAATTTTAGCTGTACCTTAATTTGTAAAATCTCTATGATTATTTCATCCTTTCTTTCATCCTTTCTTTCAAACCATCGACTATACTTTACCCTATCCATATTTCATGTCATTTTCAAGGTCCTGAGTATGGCATTAGGTGAGGATCAACATGATAGTAATGAAAGCCAGGCAGAGATCATGTACAAACTGGCAAAACACATCCATCACCACACCAAGGATAGTCTACTCGGTGGCAGCGGTGGGATATCTCAGGAACCAAGTGAAGAGAACCAAGCTGGTCCTCTAAATGGTGGCAGGAGTGGGATATCTCAGGGACCAAGTGAAGAGAACCAAGCTGGTCCTCTAGATGGTGGCAGCAGTGGGATATCTCATGAATCAAGTGAAGAGAATCAAGCTGGTCCTCTAGATGGTGGCAGCAGTGGGATATCTCAGGAACCAAGTGAAGAGAACCAAGTTGGTCCTCTATATGGTGGCAGGAGTGGGATATCTCAGGGACCAAGTGAAGAGAACCAAGCTGGTCCTCTTTATGGTGTCAGGAGTGGGATCGAAAGGACACCAATTGAAGAGCAGCAGACTGCAGGCATTGACTTTGGTCTATGGTTTGATGACCTTGTCTCTGAATGCGACGAGGGGTATATTCCAGATCACGATCGCCAGACATGCAGTAAGTTTTCAGATGAAAAATGATGTAAACTTATTCCTTTGTCATTCTTCTTTTAATTTAAAACTACAATGCTAGTTTCATATTTACTTTTACTTTTGAATTAGATTATTGTTTCTTTTCAGGATTATATAAAGACTTGTTAAATACATTGTATATCAACCAAATTCACCTCTGATTTCTTCCATAATAATAATAATAGTAGTAGTAGTAGTAGTAGTAGTAGTAGTACTAGTATACTTTATTGGATAACTTGTTTAGCACAGGGCTAATCTGCCACAAGGTCCATTGCACATAAATAGAAATAAATAAACAACAGTTTAACACATACAATAACAGTCAAAAATACTTTACCACAAACTGAAATGAAATATACATTAATATTCGGCTTTTGTATAGCGCTTAATACATCAACAAATGTGTCTAAGCACTTTACAGATATATTATTACCCCGGTCATACTTGTTTACTTTTCCCGGTCCTAGTATTTTGGTACCATTACACAGTACCAATGTTACACAGTGAGAACTTTTAATTTCTCAAAAGGGAAAGAAATTTAGGATGGTTCAATGATGTCTTTATACGAGAATGAGGTTAATGAAGAGTACTGAATAATACATAATTGTATATCATCACTGGAGAGACAGAAGCTCTTATACAGAGTTGATGCTCTTCTGGCTCTCAATAGAGTACCAAAGCTGTGACGTCATAAAAATCTATTTTTAGAATTTTTCAATTTTTTCTTCATTTTCCGAAAGAGCATCAAATATTATGTCCAAATGTCGAAAACCTATTGAATATGTTAAGTATTGGCTGACATATGACCATCTAAATAAATATATTTCCTAGAGAAAAAAAATTGAGAAATTCTAAAAATAGATTTTTGATGATGTCACACTTCACAACTCTGTAGATGAATAAACTTGTAGAGTTTGACGTGTATATAATACACTGTACACTTCCTGCCTCATCATGGAGTATCATGACCTTCATTTTGTTCTTTCTTTACCAGTTGCTTGTCCTACTGGGCACTACTTCCATCAATCTTCCGGGGAATGTGTTGAGTGTGAAAGGGGCTTTTATCAAGATGAGCAAGCTCAAAGCCAATGCAAACCATGTGTGGATGGCACTTTTACAAGGGAATGGGGAGCAAGGAGTACTGCTGACTGTGAAGGTTTGTTGATAAATACTTCTAAACTAACTGTTGACATAGTGGAGCGGTTAAGCCTCCAATATATTATGATCTCTTTACTAGGCGTTCTAAAGGTGTTCTTGTCAAACCATGAATATCTACGTGTATCTTGCGCTTTCTTGCAGAATGAAGAAATACAGATAACATAGAAGCTCAAGGCAGGCTTTGTTCTCTTCGTGCCCTGTTCTTTTGGAGCAGTCGTTTGAGCTCCAGTTTTGATCTTGAGGAATAATTATGAATAAAAGCAAAAGCACTGCATTTGAATCATTTCCTGTTCTCCATTGCCTCTCCCTTACAGTCCAATGCACACCAGGCTACTATTCTCCATCTGGTTTTGCTCCATGCATCCCGTGTGGAGAAGGTCAGTTCTTACCGATGAGAGGTCACAGCGGTTGTTTCAATTGTCCTCCTGGACTCTCGTCTCTACGTGGATCAGCATCTCCTTGGGACTGTAAAGGTAACTACTGTTTCACAAAAGCTTTTATATACAGTAGGCTTGCGGGTGCACCATGTGTGAGAGAGAGAGAGAGGATTGGAGAGTCTTGAAAAGGACTCTCGGTAATCTTTCTTGAGGATGTGTAGTCCTAAAAAGGACTGTTTGTGTAGTCTTGAAAAAGACTGTTGGTTATCTTTCTTAGCTTATAGTTCTAAGGATACTATAGTGCTTGGAGAGGATGAGTGGCGGGAGTGGCTTTTATATTCATTAAAGTGGAACCAAGTGTAAAGTTCTGAGTTAAGGAACGTTCAGGTACGAGTCGTTTTTTTTTTTTTTTAGATGACGTGAAGTGTAATACACTTTACACATGGCTCAATATAATTATAGGTGCCACAAGGTTCAATTTCGTATTTTTCAATTCATGACTGGACAGTTGTGCTTATTTATTTTGGTACAGACTCAGTGTATTGTATGGAATAATGATGGTAAATTAGGTTGAACTTGTCAGCCTTTATGGATATGATCTGAGCATTTTTGTATGTTGTTAGTTCAGGAAAATTGGCCTCATTGTATGGGTCGTGACATTCAGAATTCATTTACAATGACTAGTCTACATATTGATATGCAATGCAGTAAAAATAGAATTCTCAACAAACCATTTCTCAAATTCTCAATGATGAGTTTTCCTTACATTCCAAGACAAATGAATGACTTTCATCATGACCATGCCAGATTTAAATGATTCTTTCAGATACACATTTTCTGTTTTTGTATTTCATATTTCAGAACCCTTTCCGCCTGGTCAGTAGGGCCTACTCATGCATCGGCAGGATACAAGCCATGCCTGCCTTGTCGCCCTGGCACCTACCAACCTCACACAGAGCAGAAGACTTGCGAGGCCTGTCAAAAACAAAGCAGTGAAAGTGTTGAAGGGGCCCGGTCAATTAGTAAATGCACATTACATGGTTGAATAAAAAAGGAAATTATTTTAAATTTGCCAGAATTGCAAAAGGAGTAAATTGAGATTAAGATCATCTGATAGTGGGGAGCTGAATATTGCTTTTACTGTGTAAGCCTGAGATGACTTGGACTAGAATCTATGAAAAATGAGTTTTATACAAAAGTCAAATCAGACTGAAGAATTACAGTAGAGTTTATGTTTGTTGTACACATCGAATCGTATTGCTCACCTTTGATGTTCGATAAAATGCATTTATATCATACATACACAGGTTTCTTCAATGAATGAAAGCACATTTTATGTTCAAAGAGTAAAGGAAGAGGTTATAATTGTTTAGATCAACTTTAGTTTTCTTCTTTTGATATTTATATGTCAAATAATTCTGACAAAATATTGGTCCAGCGCCTTGTGCTATGTTTACTAACAGTATTAGGAAAGTTATTTGATAATTTACATTACAAGAAAATCTTAAAGATATGAATGTATTCAGATGATGCTTTAGTTCATCTTTTTTCTTGAAAGCATTGTTTAGCCCTTTGAGCTTTTGTTGAATAATTTTGTGTCGGCTTGCAGGAAATCATTAGTTCTACATCAGCAAACATGCTGTGATTTGTATAGAATACATAGGCAAGGAAAATAACTTTGCAGATGTTACCGCCTTACCGTGCATATTGCATTTACCTTGTACATGTAGTAACAAAAGAAAGAAAATGTTGAGAACAGGTCTGATTTATTATAAATTTAGCTTACCGTACTCAGATGCCAGTTAAATGAAAACAATACTGAATTGAGTTTACAGTAGTATTGCATGTCTTGTTTTTGTATTGCTTGTACACATATGGAAGTATCCATATCTTGTTCAAAGCAGGGTTTGGTTATTACCCCGTTTTTTCATTTACAAGCACATTCATGTATATGACTGTATTAGTGTTTTGCATTTTCTTAAATGTAATGCACAAATATTAGATGGATGAAGGTGTGTTTGCGATATAATTATTCTGTTTTGCAGGTCAAATGAAGAAGAAGAAAGAATGCATATTAATGTAAATTCATATATTTTCATGTCATCAGCAATTTATCTTTGAATAACAAATAATCTTGGTCAATAAATCAAAAGGAAAGCAATTATTAAATGTTTTATATATTTTTATTTTTTATTTGTGATAGGAAAAAAAAAATCCATATTCCACAATATACAAATATTTATAAAAATCACACTGTGTGCTTTTTATGTACAAAAGCGGGTGCCTCCCAAGCAATACACATATACTTTTATATACAAGTGAATCACACGTGACATACTTTAATCAATAATATAAAACCTGTTGAACAGTGAATGGCAGTTAAGGCAATTCAATCTCAATATTTATAATCACATTTAATTGTACAAAATTCAATTTATTCATTTCATGAAAGATTTCATCAAAAATAATTATATAGTATATTCATAATTAATTTGATTCATTTGGAACATTTTGGACGGATGCAAAGACACTTTTTGGAAGTTTGGAATTCATCAAAAAGAATATCTATCAACATTTGGTGGATTCTTAAAGTCCATCCTGATATATAGTTGGTTTTAAAAGAAGCAGAAAAATGAGAGGAATGGGTCAGTGAAAGTTTGAGCAAATTCCAATTAAACATAATGAAGTTGCGATCAATCAAACAGAAATTGGCAACTCTGACGTATCTGTACTAACTAAAAAAAAGTGAAATTTAATCTGTACATGCACTCACAAAACATTTATTGCAAACATGTTTCTCTACAACCACTGTAGGGGAAAAAAATAATCTATTACATCATCAATAACGAAAATGATAACGAGTTTATGAAAGTTAATGTACGGAGCAAATTGGTCAGTTTAGATATGGTGTTTGTTTCCGGGTTGAAGATGAGAGTTCAAAATGTGGAGGGAATTGAATGTGGAACGACTGCAGCAATATAACAGCATCTGGTGGAACTCTAGCAGCACAGACATATATTTTATACCGTAAGACATCATTTGATCAGAATTAGCGCGATAAGGGAAAGCAAAATGCATAGTGAAATTAAAGTGTCAACATTTTTCATGCAAAAATAAAAATATAAGGCACAAACCAATATAATTACTGCAAGGCAAAAAAAAAAAAAACTTTAGGCATTATGTCAATACAGTACATTATAAGAAAACAATATTGCTATTAAATACTACCCTGTTTTACATACATGTCTTTAGAAGATAATGTGAATTTCAAGAATTCTTGAATACTAATAAACATTGACTAATTTTGACAATAAAATTATCTTTGGTTTGAAGAAAACTTTTGTCACATTATTTGTAAGTATAATTGTGCATTGTATTTTGGAAAAATATAATTCAAAAATCTGATCGATTGTAGCTCCTTATCATGCTGGGTCTATATGGTAATTTGGTAATATCGAAACTACTGTAAAAAAAATACTTTCTAATTACCCAGAAAAGGCACATCTAAGTTTACATCCTACGATTATTTAGCTTTTATGTGAGTGTAGGATAACCCTAAATCTAAATCTACTATATTCTACATAGTGTATCATACAGGTTCATGTGCAGATCTACCTTCAAGTTACACGGCCGTCTATAAGGTTATCCACCGCTTGTACATATTCATTTTCTCCATTTACATTTTTCTTGAATACGATGTACTAGTGAGCTTGTACATGAATTGTTACAAATTGAAACTTTCTGAAAAAATAATTGCACAAAAGGATAACAGACGTTCATGCTGTATATGGACGGATCTAATTGGTCTCTGAAGACTCATCTTAGGAGCTGAACTGAGGCTTGATGTCTAGACTACAGCATCACATGCAGACAGACTGATCCTCATAGTACATGGAGCTACAGACCAGTTCTCCACGTTCTAAATGACTTTTAGTTGGATGCCTGAAGAAACCATCCATGAAGGTCAATTCACACACAAGGCAATAAATCATTCGAAAGAAAAACAAACAAAAAACAAGGCAGCAAACAATTAAAAAAAAATCATTATGTCCTTTACATTGCATTGCATACAAGAATATATCTATAATACACAGATCTGTGAGTGTTTGTATAGGGGCCATCGTCATACGCAGGTTTTTTCTTCTTCATACCCATCAAATGCATCCTCTGGCACTCATACACATGCTAAGTTTTCCTGCAGCAGTTTTTGTTTAAAAGCAGTTTCCTGTGTTTTGAACTGGTCTAGCATGTCATGATTGCATGGGGCAATTAAAGGAGACAAATCTCGCTTCTCATAGCAATCAATGTCAGTCAGTCCCAAGCTACTTTCGAATTCTTGGCCTTCGCCGACGCCATGTTGCCCTCTTCTATCTTGACTTTGCGTCCGTTGCCCTGGGCGACGACCTTTGGAGTACGGACCTGACGAGAGCGGACCGGAGCCGAGGTGGACCTTGGGGGAGGTTTGCCTGACGTGGAGGTAGCTGCTGTCGTAGGACGGCTGTTGAAACCCATGGTTGTATTCGGACGACTCTGTTGCCTGCTGGAACCTACACAGTAACATAGATAAATGGAAAGGATGAGAGTTGGCATATATTTTTGTTTATTATTACAAATTATGAGAAATGGAAATGGTTAAACATTGTTAATATGGTGTCCCAAAGTAGAATACAATTCACAATCATCTTTTCATATTCATAATGCTTCTGACAATATTTGTCTTTAGTTGCATCCTTTTCTGTCTCATTGGTCTTGTGAAATTAAAAAAAAAAGTAAATGCATTTGATGGTCAACGTTCACATACATGTCCATCATATCCGATCATACCTCTAGCTGCCTCTAATATTTGAGATTAAGATCAAAGTTAATTCAAAGTTAAAAGAAACCAGCTATTCAACATTTCTCTTGTGACATTTTCTACACAGACAATACACGTACATGTTTGTACATATATTTCCAACTCCTTCTTTTTATGATTATTGTATAAGCTTGCAACATGTAGACACCTTCATGTGAGTGAACTTGTGTTGAATGAATATTGCTCTATTTACAAGTATTACTGTCAAGAAAATAGAAATCAGTATTTTTGTTTTTGTAGTCAATGTTTACCTCTTGGTCTTGGTGGGGGCACAGCAGATGGACCTCCATGCTTCTCCAAACTAATCGCACAGAAAAGAAAAACATAACAGATCATTGATTATTTAAAATACAAATCAATTACAATACAATACAATTTTTTTATATTCAGACATTGAACTTTTTCAACCAACCAGTTCAATTAATTTGCACTTATCAAGTTGGCTAAAATTCATCTATATTACAGTAAATTTCCCAACAAATAAGTCTGGCTGGGATAAATCTGGAGCTCCTAAAGTGTCAAGTGTGACAGACATGAGAGCTACGTAGGCGAGAACCTGTTATGACCGTCCGGCTGTTGATCATACCTGAGAGCTGGTAGTCCTACAATCTGCTGTCTCCTGTACTCCTCCGTGAAGTCCTCTGAGATCTTGCCATCTTTATCTAGGTTGTCCATTAGCTTATGAAACAAACCCGGTGTGTTCCTGGTCGCTATCAGCAACAGCCGGGTCGCCGTCCGGTTGAAGGTCAGGTAGCCGAGGGCGACGGCCGATGAGCAACGGACTTCGATGTTGTCGGAGTGGAGGTGATTGATGAGGATATCTACAGCACCGGAGGTGATCATGGCATCAGGAATGCCAGCCCTGGTATGGGCAAGACTCGCTAGGAGGCTCCCTGGAGTAGGGTTGAATGGTAAACGGTGATTAAAGAGATTTCTTTTGAGAACAGTCAAACCTGCAATAAAGACTACTCAAGGGAGATGAGAAATATCCAAAGATAAGTGGTCTTAATGAACAGGTTCCTCCTTTCCAACAGGTTTCAACTCGAGACTCTGTTCTAGGGAAATAAGAAATGTGATCGTACACGGCACTAATATCCTTTACCAAGATATTAACCTGCACTTGCTACTCTCCACCCAGGTGTTAAATGGGTACCCGGTAGGATGCGACTGCATTGTTGGTCAAGTTGGTCAAGTAACGCCTGATTGGAATGCTCCCCAGGGAGTGGAGATTGTGCTCACAGTGTGGGCGGGCAAGTATAGAATCCAATGACCGGGGTAATAGTATAGTGTTGCCAGTGGAAATCACATAATTTCCCTCAGTAAAAAACAAAAAAATTAATTCCAAAAAAAATCTGGAACAAAAATTAGATGCAACATTGCAAGTCGCATTTCGGTATCTTATAACACACATATATAAGTACACACCTGAACCCTGAACCTTAACCTGCACTTGTTGTTCATTTAATCTCTTTTTTTAAGCAGCAGAACTGTTTGGGAGGCCAAGAAGTGCTGAAATCTTACCTGCAAGAATAACCGTGTTTGGGTTCTCAGATTTGAGTAGTCCTACTAATCTGGTCACGCCTTCTGCTGATAAAGAAACTTGATCCCTGTCTACGATAACACGGGCCAAAACCACAATCTGCAAGCATAAATTCAAGTCAGTTACAATATAAATACTCAAAAAATTTCAAGTACATCATTCATTACAGGTTCAAATGTATTATTTTGTAATTTAACTTTTCTTTTACTGGCACTTCCTCCACACTATTTCTTCAAAGAAATATGATAAGGGGTAGGGTAGGAATTTAGTTTATAAATAAGGAGTTTAAGAATTAAGGCTTGCCTTGGGTATATTGGTGATCCAGGGTTGAAGTTAAAAATTTGGTCAGTGTTAGAAATTGACCACAGAGCACTTGTCATTAGAGGAGGCGCGATAGCTCAGTCGGTAGAGCAGTGGTCTCGTAATCCGGTGACCCGGGTTCGAAACCAAGTCGATGTGCTAAGTGCCCTTTGGTAAGGCATTAATCCTCATTACCAGGTCCCTCAGAGAGGAACTAAAGCCGTCGGCCGTCTGGTTGCTTACTTACAAGCATTTATGCTTTTTTAGCAGTCAGGTAAAATGACCACCACCAAACAAGTATAAAATGGTAGATTTCTGTTGTCTGGGATAAAACGTACAGTATTAACATACAGTCTTTCACATCAAGAAATGTCACTTCAAGCACTTAGAACATATTTCACTGACCTCCCTTTGCCCTTTGACCCTACTGACCTGGAAGGCAGCATAAGCTTGATGAGTCTCGTCTTCTGACTCTAAGAATCGTTGGAAGTTGGACATCCTGATCCCCCCTGCTTCCCGTATGTTGTACTGCTGGCTGGTGTTGTTGAAGGCGAAGGTAGACAACGCCGTCCCTGCTTTCAGACGGACGCTCTGGATTTAAAGAGAGAAAAGTGAGAACAGAATCTGCATTAAAGCCCATGTATCACTCAAGGGAGACAAGATAATCTCAATTGGCAGGTGGTTTCTTAAGTACATCCGTTCGTACACATTACAATGAGAAAACTATTAAATATCACAGAAAGGTATACCATTTCTAGCATCATTGATAATTAAAGTACACCGAGACTTACGTCATCTTTTTCATTCATGAGCTGAAGCAGTAGATGGATGCTGAACATCGGTTCTTCTTCCAGCAGCTTCTGGTTGCCACGGTTACCCAGGATGATGGCTCCGAGGGCAATGGCTATCTCCACCTTGATGTGGTGGTTAGAGGAGGAGCGCAGGAGACCCACCAGGGTCCCGATCGCCCCCTCCTCAGCAATCTTGTTCTGGGTGACGGGGTTGTTACGGTTGGCCACACCTGATAGAGGAGGGAGGAAACCACCACAAAAATGAAGGGGAAAGTCATTAAGAATGCTCCCCGGGGAGTGGAGAATGTGCATACATTGTGTGTGGGTAAGCCTGAATCCGATGACTGGGGTAATAATATATCTGTAAAGCGCTTAGACACATTGATGTATTGATGTATTGGGCGCTATATAGAAGCGGAATATTATTATCATTATTATTTTAAAACTTTAGCACTTTCTTGTTTCTTCTTTTCACTCAAGCTCTCTTTTTACCTGATGGCTTTTAGGATGAAGGAGTGCAATTGAGTGATAATAGTATATACAGTAGTAATATATATGAAGAGCTCAAGATACTTGAGCAGAAATAACACACAAACACACACACACACACACACACACACACATATCAGTACTATGTGTTTCTATTCACAAATTTGTTGTTGTTGAAATAAATTAAGGTCCTTAAATCGAGTTTTAAAAAAAAATCAGTGATAAGAATTGTCAAATTGGTATCGTGTAGACAAATGTAAACGAGAAATTGATGGCTATCAACTTGCCAAATACAATCATGTCAATATTTCTTTGTACCTTTTCAATTAAGAAACAGGTTTTAAGTTTCAAGTTTATTTTGTTTCACATTTCACAAAAAAAAAGAATTCACATAATTGACAAAATTAGAACATAATATGAAATATGCTAAAAATGTCACATTATATAATCAATTCTTTGAAAAGACGTCGAAATTAATTGTATTGAATAGTAGGTTATACAGGGTGAAATGTGAGGAACCTATTGAAAAGCTCAGCTTGTAGGTTATAGGTTCCCATAAATAAAACTCATATTTAAGTTAAGGAAGAACGTACCAGAAAATAAAATAAAAATATAATGTGTTGCCAATTTGAAAAGGAAACGTTGATACAGAATGATGGAGATGGTGCACATCTTACCTATACAGAGTGTCCCGAGTGCCCTGATGACTGTCATGAGAACCCGCTCTATCGTCTTGGAGGAGCGCAGGATACGAACGAGAGGTAGAATACCATTCTCCTTCTTGATCTCGTTCTGATTGTCAAAGCTTTCTCTCGTAAGGGCAATCATTGCCTTGCATGCTGTTATGGGAATATAAAGCAGGGATGCCAGTTAGAATTGATCAGAGGGCCTGAAAATCACAGAGAATGAGCCATACACAAAAAAGCCTAAACTAGGGTCTGAAAATAACTCGCCAGGGCCTGAATTCAGGCTATTGCCTGAAAACTGGTATCCCTGATTAAGCAAACCAAAGTGAATTAATATTTAGGGTGCTGCACTTTAGTGATCATAACTGGTGAAAATCAAATAAATTTTAATTATTCTTTACTAATTACTATCATGAACATTTTTTGACCATGCAATTGACAAAACTGATATAAACTCATTACATTTTTTCAGTGAAAATTATTTATTACTAATACATGAATAACTGAAATTGCTATACATTACACAAAATGTTTGCAAACAAAATTGAACCAAAACTATAAACTTGATGAGAATCACATACATTGAAAACCATGGTTTAGGTTATGGTTTGAATCAAAGCCCTTTTGAGAATTTAGGCCAATATATCCTCAGACTACGGGGCAGCTTGTATCTCGTGGAAAAGGTGCGATATACATATAAATCCAATACTAACCATGATCATTATGTGGTAAACAATTCATTAGTAAATTGTGTTGGATGCTGAGAGAAATTTAGAGTCTATTTAACTTACCAACATATTGCAATCTCTCTGACTTGACGATGAGATCGATGATGCCGCTGATCCCGATGTATTGAGCGATCTCCTTCTGCTGTCTCCTGGTGTCTCCTGCTAAGGCCCACAGGGAGCAGGCCGCTTGCTCCTTCACATCTAATGCCCAGAACTACATCAAGACAAATACATACCAGTAATGAAATGGAATAGATGTGTGTGTGGGTGTGTTTGTGTGAGTCTCCTGCCAACGCCCACAGGGAGCAGGCCGCTTGCTCCTTTACATCTAATGCCCAGAACTACATCAAGACAAATACATACCAGTAATGAAATGGAATAGCTGTGTGTGTGGATGTGTTTGTGTGTGTCTCAATGTACTTAGTGATCTCCTTCTGGTGTCTCCTTCTGTTGTCTCCTGGTGTCTCCTGCTAAGGCCCACAGGGAGCAGGCCGCTTGCTCCTTCACATCTAATGCCCAGAACTTCATGAAGACAAGTACATACCGGTAATAGATTACAATAGATTACAATGTATATGTAATAACACCATTGACTCACCATTAGGAGCTTGATGAGAGCTCCTGGAGCATGGAGATCCAGGATGGCCCTCTGAGACTCCGGGTTGCTCTCTCCCAGAGACTCCAGGGCAGCGGCGGCCTTGACCTGGACCTTGATGTTGTGACACTTGATGAGCTTGACCAGCGGCTTAACCGCTCCCTGAGCGATGACCGCATTCTGGTTGTCAAGGTGACCGTAGGTAAGAGCAGCCAGGGCGGCCGCTGAGGCCTCTTTCAGCTCATCTGGAAAGGCAGAAGATAAGAAAAGGTTATATGTTTTTTGTCTATCTGGCTGGTGGATTTTAACATGTATATAATCAGTTCTGGGGAGTGTTTCACAAAGACTAAGATCGACTTTAAGTTGGACTTAACTATGGCAGGCTGTTCATGCCACTGTTTGCTCTCACACTTATGATCTTTAGATAATATTTTTTCCTTCCATAATGAACTTTAACAAAAATGTAAATTCTGTAGATTTGTGACCATGATTTGTACGTCCCTTGAGAGACCAATGACAGTAAGTGGTGAGAGCAAACAGTGGCATGAATGGCCTGCCATAGTTAAGTCCAACTCAAAGTTGATCTTGGTCTTTGAGCCCCCTCTTGCAAAGAGTTGCAATTGATCCAAATCGATCACAAGTCTCTTATCTCCTATGTACACAGTTGTCATTGATATCAATCACAAATAAATAGCGATTAATTGCAAATGTTTATAAAACAGGGCCCTGAGAGATATTACTAGGGAGAGGAAGAAGGTAAATGAGAACATGGAGTGGTTGCAAAAATCAGGTTTTAAGACATGAATGACTGAAAATGAGGAAATAGACTTGCTTTACTTGCTACTTGTTTTCTTACTATGTTTATTATATCTAATTTGATAGGGAGCTGTCCAGACAAAACCTTTTCTTGGTTTTTTTACAGCTGTGCCTTATTCTGTTTTGTATTAATTCATTTCACATTTTATTTATCCCAATTTATGTATTATATTGTACATGAAATTGTATGTTTTTACTTTGTAAAAATGTTTTTAAAGATGGAATTCAATAAACTGAACTGAACTGAACTAGACAGAAACTAGAAGATGACATATGAATGATTGTGGAATGAAATGATAGAAGAATGATGAGAAGTTAATAGAATAACAGAAATCGAGAACAAGACAAGAATTGCAAACAGGAACCAAACAACTGTTACAAGAAAAAGTGATGAGAAGAAATTGAAATGGTAAGAAAAACAGAAGAAATGAGGAAAAAAAACCTAAAGAATACATATTATTGAGAATACAATGTACATGAGACAAGCAGAGGTGCCGATGAGAAAAGACCGAGAAGGATAGAGAAGGTAGACTATTGATCTTGAGAAGAGTGTTAATCAGAGGACATTCTCACCTGAATTGACCGTTAGAAACTCCACCAGCGGTCCAATTCCTCCATGCTTGGCAACCAACGTCTGATTCTCTTCATGGTCCAGACACAGCACCCTGACCGCGTTGACCGCCTGCTTAAGAACATCCTCCAGCTCCGAATCCAGGAGATGGATGAGAGGAGGGATACCCCCCTCGCGGCTGAACTCCGTCTGGTGGTCGTCATAAGCGCCCATGTCGGCTACGACGATGGCCGTCCGTGACTGGATGTCGTCTCGGGATGCAGAGAGAAGCTTGATTAGAGTGGGGATTCCCCCTGCTTTGGCGATGGCGTGGCAGATGGGCTCGTTGCAGGACATATTGCACAAGACGGCGGCTCCCAGGGATTGCATCTCAGAGGACTTCATCTGGAGGATCTTCACCAAGGCTGGGATACCATCTGATCAAACAAAGAAATGTTGGATCGGAGTGTAAGAAATTACAGTAAAACAAGTAACATGTTTGCCTTTGCGTTTTTTTAATAACAAATTCAGGGCTATGTAAACAATGCTTTAGCAATACTGTATTACAGATAAGAAAGTGTGAAAAGAGCTTCAATTTGTAAAATAATAATGAAGCTGACTTTTGCAGAAAAGAAATAAACATTGGATTTTTTTTTTTTAAATGCATCATATTCAAACCACATGAAAGGAATTTTAATGTTAAGCCTCTCTTCTGTGTAACAGGTTACACATCTTGCACAAGAATATCAAATCATGTATAAGAAGACTTATGCAGAATAAATGTGACATGTCTTAATGATAAGGCCACAAAGATCCTAAGTTGGACTTAACAATTATGGTAAGCTGTTAGAATCTTTCAAAATATTTTGTAAAAGTTATTTTAAAAGGCATATACTGTTGATTCAAATAATTCATATCTTCTATTATCAAGGAAAATTCATGTTCTAGCTAGATGTGGAATCTAAGAAAAGTCTAAAATACTTGAATTTCTGCTTTTGAATATGTTTCATTTTAAGGCTACAAATGGTTCTCCATAACTTTTAAGTCCAACTTAGAGTTAAGTTCTACTTAGGATCTTTGTGAAACACTCCCCTTGTATTCAATAACAGCTTAGACTTACTGGCTTCCAGGATAGCTTTCCAATGGGGTTTACCAGACGTTGTAAGTACCTCCAGAGAGCGGACGGCACTGTCTTTCTTACGGAAGTCTGTTGAATTCAACATCTCTGTTTGGAGGACATGGAAATACAATATATACTGGTTAGCACACTGGCCTTGACAAGATACAAGATATTTTATTTTGTCTTTGCAAACAAATTCCATACAAATTTGATTTTCACTGGCGTTACAATAATATTTTTTAAAATATATAATTACAAGAAATAAACAAATCACGTTTATAGAAATAGATGAAATAAGGAACGAATACATGCAAAAGATAAATGAAGCGACAAAAATGGTCATTGGTACTTTAAATCACGAGTTTCACAATTAAGCATTGGTCATTGGTATTTCAAATCATAATAGTTTCAGTATTAATTTCTTATGCAGAAGTTCAATTACGTTTAACCTGTGAGTTGAATTTATGAACAGAGTCTGGAACAAATGAATATCTGAATCGTGAACGGCGGGTAGGGGTGGGGCGAAGTCGGACACCGGAACGATTAAATGAGTAAAATGAAACATGATTCTAGAGTTGTCAATACATGTATTACATCTGTTTACAGTACTGTTGTGTGGCAATTAGTAGGGTTCAATATCTCTGTCTGGGAGACAAGGGAAATTAATTCAATGGATGTGAACAGATAAAAGAATGAATTAAGTGACTGGAAACATCACTCTAGAGTTGTCAGTACCTATTAGTTATGTACTACTTGCATAAAGCAAACACAAGGCACCCTTGAACTGATACATGTGTGCAAACTGATGATTAATATCAAGAAGATCGATACCAATGAATAGATAGAAGTAGAAAGAAAACCCATTGTCTAATGAATTGTCTCCTTCCTATAGGCTTCACAAAGCAAGGGAGCAATGGCCTGGTTCCCATAAGAATTTGGTGAGGAATTAAGGACTTTAAAAAAAAATTAAAAATATAAAATAAAAAAATTAAAAAAGATTATTATTTACATGTACTACGTACTGTCCAGGCGGCAACTATATAAAAACCATTGTGCAATTTTTGGGCCAATAAGGTACAGTCACATCTATTCTGCTAGAAATTACTTTATTACCATCCTACATATACTTGAATGATCTCTGAGAAGTGACTAAATTTTGTTTTCAAGTGACCCAAACATTGTGTAGCGGTGTGTGTGCAGCAATATGTAACCGAAAAGGCGCTACATGTATATCAAATATCTTTTGGATTGGATTGGATAAGAGATGATGATCTTACCAACAAGAGTCTTCCAAACTGGTGCATCCTTGTGGTTCCACTCGATGAAGAATTCCAGGACATAGGTATGGAACCTGAGAGCAGCCAGGTGAACCATGTTATTCCTCTCTGTGTCCGTCTTCAGGATCTTTGCACCCAGTTCAATCAGGATCTTGACAGACTCCAGCGCTCCACTGCTGGCGGCTAGGAGCAGTGGGGTCTGCCGCAACCTGGCAAGATAAAGAATACACGGGTTGAACTTTTAAATCAAAATTTATCTATTTGTATGTAACGAGAATGAACTCTTTACAAGATGAGACATATATTTCAATTTTAATTAACTCTTTTCACAATTCAATAAAAATGACAATACGAACATACCAAACAACCTATACACATAACAATGCATTAAAGGTATAAAGAATTCAACAACAATAAAGAGTATAGCACAAAATTACAATAGAAAGAAAAAACAGAAATACATATCAAAGTATGGGGGGGGGGGCGAACAAAGGCCAAAGGCCTATTAAGGCTTGTCCCTGGAAATATTTCACTTACTTATCCCAGGTTTCCAGTTCCATCTGATCTTCAAACTTCCTAATGAACATCCTGATTATGGGTGCGTGGTTGTAGAAGGAGGCGTGGTGTATCGCTGCCCAGCCAGCGTTATCTGCACTCACCATATCGCCATGGTTACTTACCATCAGGAGGGCAGAATCCAAGCTGCCGCTCTTGGCTGCTAGATGAAGGGGAGTGGTGCCTATGATGACAGTCACAGGAAGTAATATATTAATATTGAACAGAAAGGGTGGTATTCTGAAAATTAGGTTATATTATATCCATATAGTAAAACAGTGTTATGTTGTTAACAAACTTGTCAACATTTAGGAAAAATCTTTGGTAAATACCTGCAAAAGAGACACTCACCCAAGCACCAATATTGTTCTTATTCACAATTTTTTTTTTTTAAATGACAATCAATATAATTTTTCTGAAAAAATGTAGGTTTAAGTATGTTTCAGAAGGTCAAAGTGATATCATATCTTAACGGTTCTTTTGACTCTTAATTTACCTGTGCTTAGAAAAAGGTAGCTGAATCAATACTCTTTCATTCCTGATAATTATGAATTATTTGATTGATTGCGTTTTTCATTTAAGAAGTAGTATCTTATATAAGACTATCCTAAACCAATATTAATAATATCAACAAAAAGTGTTATAAAGATCAGAGAAAGATCACTGTGCAACAAAATGATCCCTATAAAGAATAATTAATAAACCAAACACTTTCAAATTCCTGAAAACAAATCAATAAATCACCAATTGGAGTGACCATGAATTATCCCATTAACCAAAATTGTGAATTTCTTTTTTCTACTGTGCAGGGAAAGAAGAAGAGTGTCAGGATGTGAAAGGAATATTGACAACCTTTGATTGTCAGAATGGAATTGATTATTAAAACAAGGTAGAGAAGAGAAGTCAGTGATAGACATACCCAAACCTTAATTGAACCATAAGACAATCCACGCATGATTTTTTTTTGTTTTAAATCTAGAGAATACAGATCTTTACATTGTGATCACTACCGTCTCTAAGACTTCTGAACAAATATGTCTTCATTGTTTCGACAGCTACTAACAAAAAATTGAGTGTAAATGATTTAAAATAAAACAAAGAAACCCCAAAACAAAGAAATTTAATACAGGAAAGAAGAAACTTTAAAACTTCTCAAGGGGAGGAATGAAAATACCTAAGGAATTCCATTGTTCTCATGTGCAATATGTTTATACATTATACTGTACTCATATCACACTTGTGATTAGCACACTGCCAAGACTCCGATTGTAATACTATTTAATACTTTTTAATACTTTTTAATACTCAATACTCAATACTCAATACTTAATTACAATTTTTCCAATGTTACAGTTAATTGAATTCAAGTATCTGTATACATTTTATTTGTTTATATGTCAACATTTATTCATTTTTGCTAGCAATATTTCATATCTTGTATTTTTTTTAAAAATCTTTTTTTGTTGTTTTGTTTTTTTGTTACTACTTTAATGTTTTTAACTTAAAAATGTATTCATTGTTATATATTTGTCCTCATTTACTATGTTATCTTTATGTTTTTGAATGTTTTTTATATTGATGTAAACTTGCATTTTTAGTCTTCGGACTTGTTGACAAGTAATGAATAAAACCTTATTTGAACTTGAACTTGAACTTGTAACAAACTACAATACATGTTCATTCTGAGACAGATAATGAGAGTTTGACAGAGATAGAGCTATGAAAAAGACAAGGAAAAGCAAGAGAAGATAAATCAAATCAGAATGAAATAGACCCTCCAACTTTGCACCAAAAACTTCAAGTGCAATACAAATAAGAATTTACCCCCAAGAAGAGTTCTTCTCGCTGTTCAATCATGAACATTTTAATGGAAATAAAAACAGGTTATGAATGTTTTTTAAAGTTAGGAGTGACAATTAACTATTGTACAAATACATGATTTTGTTAGAAAAGTCTGATGCATAAAAAATACAAAGTTAACATACATGGAACTATGAGATTTGCATGACACAATATCACCAGATACAAGTACATATTTGGGGGGAATGGTTAGCTGTACATATACACTTTTCTTTTCTTTTTAATGAACCCCAGCTATGCACTTCATAGTACAAAGTATAAGTTCAGCTGAGAGGAAGCAGTTTCATTGACTGAAACATGACACATGGGGAACAAGACATGCATAGTAACTAGGGAGCAAACTAGCACATCAATTCACAAATTTTATGCGTAGTACCTAGCCATAATTGTTGATTGTATTTGCTTTTTGTTTGTTGTGAAGAGCAGAGTTTCATACAATGATCATATAAGCCTCTTTGAAAGTGCAATTTGAAATGTACTTTAAATACCTGTTACAGCTCTTTCAAACATGACACAGGAAACTTTGGTATTTTTTAAAAACATTGAGGGGGATCAAAGTAAGAAGGACTTACCTTCACTTAGTTAAATGGGAAGTCAAGGATGTATTAAAAGGCTGGTCTTCATCAGCTTGAGATTGCCAAACATCCCACTATTTGAATTATCCTGATCGCAAATTATCTAGTTAGTTTGCGTCTTCATCAGCCCGAATCTCAAGCTGATGAAAACAGGCCTAAAGTCACTTATAGTAAAACAAATCAAATCTATCAAACAGAAAGTTAAGCTTCACGGACATTCAGCTCATTAATAATGTAAGAACCAATGGTCACTTTGAAGGAATACCTGAATTTGTTTTAGTAATAGAGAAGAGGAATTGGGGATCTGGTTATTATACAGCTGAAGCTATAAAAGTAGAGAGTCTCAATGAAATCTATAGAACTTGGAAAAGAGGCTGTTACAAAGCTATGTGATATCAATGACTTGAAGAAATAAGAGGGGGGGGGGCAAGAAAAACTATTTTAATTTAAAAAACAAATGAAAATGCAGCAAATCACTTCAGGAAAATCAAGATTAACAAACTAACAAGGAACTGAACAGAAGTCACTTTAGTAAAAATCAGAAGAGGGAGGGGGGGGGGTATAAAAAAAACAGCTTAAATGCAGCAAATTCACTCCTTTTTTTTTTACAAGATATTTAGTTGATAAAAGCAGAGGTCATTTCGGAGAGGGACACAAGATCGGGTTGAGGGGACTACAAGGCTAGCTAGCTAACAGCGGATCATCTATGTGATTGACTTACCTCCACAAATACTTGCTAGAAAACAGATGAGAAGTGAATGAACAGATACATGATACAACAAGATGATGATGAAAGAAAAATGATAGTGACAATGTATGAAAGGAGAAATCCTGACAGGCACTCAGAACAACATTTGGAAAAAAGCTAAACGTCAACTTGAAAAATATCTCAATTTAATAATGCTTCTGGAACCACATTTGGTGGGTGGAGGCCTATAAGTCCCCACAACCTCATTCAAATATATAAACATTCATTTTCATAATTTTGTTTTTACCATGAATTATAGTATGCCTTGATTTCCTAAGTTTGGTTTTAATTTGAGGATAGCACAGGAATACTTTGGCCATGGAGACATACAGGGGCCTACAAATACTGGGGCATGAGGTGAGAGGAATGCCATTGCCCCACCCTGATGGACAAAAGATTGGTCCTGTTTGTGTACATGATTTGCAAACATGTTTGAATACATCCAGGGTCTCGGTGATCTCCTTGAAAGACATCAGGGGGGTGCTTCACAAAGATCCTAAGTTGGACTTAACAATTATGGAAAGCCGTTAGCATCTTAGAAAACAATTTGTAAAAGTTTATTTTAAAGGCATAACATGTTGATTAAAAACATTCATATTTTCTATTATCAAGGAGATTTCATGTTCTTGATGTGGGATTTATGAAAAGTCTAAAATAATTTTTGCTTTTGAATATATTTTATTTTAAGGCTACAAATGGCTCTCCATAATTTTGAAGTCCAACTTATATAGAGTTAAGTTCGACTTAGGATCTTTGTGAAACACCCCCCCCCCCCCCCCCCCGATCATTTGGATAAAATACTGTATAAGATTGCATTTTTTGCTCTCTCTCTCTCTCTCTCTCTCTCTCTCTCTACACTGTTACCAAAACCCTTTCCAACAGGAGAGAGGCAAAGAAATATGATTGTTAATTGATGGTAACTATCATAAATCTACTTTGTAAGTTTAAATGAATCTCTCCTTCATAAAGAGGCATTTGAAATTAGAAGCAGAGATGAAACTGAATTTGAATTCTGGAAAAGAAATGGAAAGAACTTTAATTAACCAGATGAGTATGAATGATTTCTGATTATCGGTAGATGTGTATTTGAAAAACAAAATCAAATCTGTTCAAAGATGTGTACAAAGGAACTTATTCTATTCTATTAATGAATCAAACACACAATGAATGATGTTTTATGGAGATTGAAGGATTGATTAGGCAATCGATATGAATCAATCCCAGCTGTTTATAAGAAAGGACCTAAATGAATGCTGTATGTTACATGAATACTGCATATTCTAACAAATATGTGAAGAAGAACGAAAACAAATTATTGTTGATGACCATTGCTGAATTCAGAGAAGCTTAAAATAGGTCTTCATAGACATCAACTGATTATAGCATTATACTAAATTCCTTCTGCTTCTAAATACAGTCAAACCTGTCTACAGCGACCGCCCAAGGGAGACAAGAAAAGTGGTCTTTAAGTACAGGTTCCTTTAGTACATGTTTCAATGATAATTATTTTCAAGGGTACCAAAAAATGTGGTCATTGTAGACAGGTGGTCATCAAAGCAGGTTTGACTGTACTAAATTCCTTCTGCTTCTAACTAAGTACAGTATTCTCTTACCAACTTGCGTAGTGAGATGATGCCTTCTGACGCTGATGTCTTGACCTTGGATCATGAGCAGTTGGAGGATCTGAGGTCGGTTGTGAAGCGCCGCATAGTGGACCAGCGAGTACCCATCCTCGTCTTGGTTCCCAAGCCGCGACGCCGGACATTTGCGGGCAAGGGTCTGGAACACGGAGACTAGGCCTCTGATAGCTGCTTGCCTAAGACCATTTTGTAGGGACTGGGATTGTAGGAATAAACAATGTGAATGAAGAAATGTGTAATCGTTTATCACAGATGCAAGCCAAGGGTCTGGAACACGGAGACTAGGCCTCTAATAGCTGCTTGCCTAAGACCATTTTGTAGGGACTGGGATTGTAGGAATAAACAACATGAATGAGGAAATGTGTAATCGTTTATCACAGATGCAAGGCAAGGGTCTGGAACATGGAGACTAGGCCTCTGATAGCTGCTTGCCTAAGACCATTTTGTAGGGACTGGGATTGTAGGAATAAACAACGTGAATGAGGAAATGTGTAATCATTTATCACAGATGCAAGGCAGGTCTGGAATGCAGAGACTAGGCATCTGGGCAGCGTTTCATGAAACCGTCATACTGTAAGTACAAGTTCACCGACATCCCATTGAAACGCATGTTGAACTTGTACTTATGACGGTTTCGAGAGACTCTGCCCAGGTTTCTGACTGATAGCTCCATGCCCTAACATAAATTAAATAATAACTTGAAAACTTCATCAAATTTCACCACCATCATCATCACCTGCATAAAACAAAATCACCATTATCATCCTCCTCCTCATCATCAGCATGACAGCATCACTATCGAATCAACCCTTTCTCTCTCAATATTTTCAACTACATGCAACAGTTATCCCAATTCGTCTCTTAATTGAACTGACATTATTTTATACATTTCAAGGTATTGAGTCCCCAAACTGGAGCACTTTCAATCTCTTCTGCTCTCGGGGCAGTAATGTCACACACAAAAATTGTATACTACTACAATATTAGCATAAAAAGTTAATGCATGAGACAACATATTTGCATACAGACTTTTATGCAGATATAACAGTGAGACATACATTTTTCTAAGTTAAACAAAAAAGCAATAACCACTACAGACTACTGACAATAGATTTTATCACACACATAACCATCTCACTTTCATGTGTTAAGCTACCATTCACAAAACTGTATGTGAAACTAAACCCCTCAGAAATAACAGCTCAAACAGTATTAAAGCCCTTACAAAAAAAATCTATGATATTCCTATGGTACGGCTCTATGGTGAATGGTATTTCTATGATATATTATATGGTAGAATATATTTCTATGGTATACCACACAATTGCTGAATGGTGGAGTTCTATGGTCAATGGTATATCATTGATGCCGTCCTATGGTGTATGGTATTTCTATGATATATTATATGGTAGACTATATTTCTATGGTATTTCTGTTGAATGGTATCCCTATGGTGGAGGATATTTCAGTGGTAGCTCTATGGTGGATGATGACTTTATGGTATATCTATGGTGGTTATGTGACTCTATGGTGGCTCTAAAGTGAATGGTAGATCTATGGTAGCTCTATGGTGGCTGTATGGTGTATGGTATTTCTACGGTATGTTATATGGTAGAATATATTTCTATGGTATTTCTGTTGAATGGTATCCCTATGGTGGAGGATATTTCAGTGGTAGCTCTATGGTGGATGATGACTTTATGGTACATTAATGGTGGTTAGTGACTCTATGGTGGCTCTAAAGTGAATGGTAGATCTATGGTAGCTCTATGGTGGCTGTATGGTGTATGGTATTTCTACGGTATGTTATATGGTAGAATATATTTCTATGGTATTTCTGTTGAATGGTATCCCTATGGTGGAGGATATTTCAGTGGTAGCTCTATGGTGGATGATGACTTTATGGTATATCTATGGTGGTTATGTGACTCTATGGTGGCTCTAAAGTGAATGGTAGATCTATGGTAGCTCTATGGTGGCTGTATGGTGTATGGTATTTCTACGGTATGTTATATGGTAGAATATATTTCTATGGTATTTCTGTTGAATGGTATCCCTATGGTGGAGGATATTTCAGTGGTAGCTCTATGGTGGATGATGACTTTATGGTACATTAATGGTGGTTAGTGACTCTATGGTGGCTCTAAAGTGAATGGTAGATCTATGGTAGCTCTATGGTGGCTGTATGGTGTATGGTATTTCTACGGTATGTTATATGGTAGAATATATTTCTATGGTATTTCTGTTGAATGGTATCCCTATGGTGGAGGATATTTCAGTGGTAGCTCTATGGTGGATGATGACTTTATGGTATATCTATGGTGGTTATGTGACTCTATGGTGGCTCTAAAGTGAATGGTAGATCTATGGTAGCTCTATGGTGGCTGTATGGTGTATGGTATTTCTACGGTATGTTATATGGTAGAATATATTTCTATGGTATTTCTGTTGAATGGTATCCCTATGGTGGAGGATATTTCAGTGGTAGCTCTATGGTGGATGATGACTTTATGGTACATTAATGGTGGTTAGTGACTCTATGGTGGCTCTAAAGTGAATGGTAGATCTATGGTAGCTCTATGGTGGCTGTATGGTGCGGGGTATGGTGTATGGTATTTCTATGGTATGATATATGGTAGAGTATATTATATGGTATTTCCGTTGAATGGTATATCCCTGTGGTGTAAGATATTTTAGCAGTAGCTCTATGGTGGATGATGACTTTATGATATATTTCTAGTGGTTAGTGACCCCATGGTGGCTCTAACGTGGCACTTTTTACATAAAAAGGGCCCCTTTACTTTAAAAAGTGCCCCTATTATTTTTTTTAAAGTGCCCCTTTTCCTTCGATAAGTTCCGGTTTTCCTTTGCAATAAGTGTCCATTTTCCATTCTCATAAGTGCCCTTTTTCCATCTCTAATAAGTGCCCCTTTTCAGATACGAGAAGTGCCCCTTTTCACTTTTGATAAGTGCCCCATTCACCTCTGATAATTTCCCTATTCAAATCTGAGAGGGGCCTTTCCCCCTTTTAATAACTACCCCTTGTTTAACTCGGATAAGCGCACCTTATATTTTCACATGTGCCCCCTTTCCTTTCTAACAAGTGCCCCCATTTAAAAGAGAGCCCCTTCCCTTTATCATAAATGCCCCCTTTCCATCTATGAAAACAATTACTTTTCATTCTTAAGTCCCTCTTCATTCTCATAGTCCCGTTCCATCTCTAGTAAATGACCCTATTAAATTCTGAGAGGTACTCGTTTTATTTTTGACAAGTGTCCCTTTTCCTCCTGATAAGTGCTCTTTTCATCTTCAATAACTGCCCCTTTTATTTTGCCCCATTTAAAAGAGAGCCCCTTCCCTTTATCATAAATGCCCCCTTCCCTTCCTAATAAATGCTCTTTTTCCTTCTTTTATAAGTGCCCCATCCCCTACCCATAATTACCCCCTTTTCATCTCTCATAAGTGCCCCGTTTATCTTGACATGTGCCTCTTTTCTTTTTAATAATAGCCTGCACTTCCCCCTTCTCATAAATCCCCCCCTTCCCCTCGTATTAAATGCCCCTATTAAAAACTGATCGGTGCCCCTTTTCGTACAACAAATCAACATTTCCCCTTATTATTAGTGCCCTTTTTTCATTCTCATAAGTGCCCCTTTTCTTTTCACCTCGGATAATTACCCTTTAACAATGATACGTACGTGCCCCATTTTCACCTTCTGATAATTACCCGTTGTAATTTGACATGTGCTCCTTTTTTTTTCTAATAAGTGTCACCCTTTTCGATAAGTGTCCCCTTTTCCTCTCATCACGTGCCCCTAATTTCCAGCTACTAAGAGCAATATCACCCAAAGCACACCCGCATTTCTAGATGTTATAATTATGGTACTTATCAAAGGTCTTTTCAGTCTTCTGTTATGATAATGTAATAAACCCATCAGGATTGGGTTTTTCTTCTTTATAATTGATGTAATTTTTCGCACTGCGACCTCACAAATCTTATTTATAAAGATAAAAAAAATATTGAAATCATCCCTGATAATCTAATCACAATATAGGGGGTAAATACAAATGTTTGTTTTTTTAAATATATATTTTCGCTGTGAGATTTCCCTTTGTAGGTGCCCTATTTATTTTCTCCAGAAAGTGCCCTTTTTGTTGGTGCCCCCCCCCCCGGCACCCCCCCCCCCCCCCCACTTAGGAAGTCGCTCCACTGCCTCTGTTTGCACTCAATTAGTCTCAATCAATTAAAGAAATCATTAAATAAAAAATTCTAAACCAAATTGTAACAAGTAATGTATATCAGCAGAAAGTAGATAACAAGGGCTGTTTGCTGCCACCTTGTGCCCAAGATTTGAATAACTCTTCTAGCCGTTGGTCTCCAATTTCTACTCACTGAAAATGCTTCGCAAAACTCCAAAATATGTGAGGAAGAGGAAGGTGTTCAAAGGAGATCATTACCAGATATTACAGAAGAGTAACATGAATGCTGGAGAGGTGCCAGAAGAACTAACAGCTAATTCAGAGATCGAGGAAGCTTTCCCTGAATAAGTGTTTGGACAGCACTATTTTTGGCCCTGGTCCCACATGTGAAGATCCGCGTCATTAGTGGCCCACAACTTGCAGCTGCTTTGCAAAAGGCTCACGTGTGTCTGGGAGGTATGTACTTACTATCAAACAATATTTTTAGTTTGCAAACTGTTACTTTGAGATTGTATTGCATGCTCAAGGGGTGAATGGCTCAAAAAGCCAAATCAAATGATTAAGAATAGAGTAAAGGAGGGGGTAATCGACCATCACCAGTTTTCGGCCGATCCGTTGGATGCATGGTAAAATCCCTGTAAAATCCATCGCATAACAGCATATCATATATCCCACACATACCATACCATGCCAGAGTCACTGAAGAACCACATTTGCAATGGAAAATATATCCTAAAATATCACATTTTAGCGATGTAATCGGCGGTCCCGCTCCCCGAATCTGAAAAATTAAGTATCTTAAGCGTGTAAGGAATAGGCCTATGGGTACCATAAAATGAGCTTTATTTCAAGTATTTTTCAGATTTAGAGTCCGATTTTGTGTGAGTCGCAAGCTCAAAAGTATCTCATCGCATGTATTTAATCAATGCAGCCGGATACCGCAGCGCACACACGATATCTCTGTCTAATTCAGATTCCAATTTCTGATCACCGCAGAGATAGTTTTCAGCACGGGAAGCTCCGGCTTGGGATACCTGCTCCGGCCGCTAGTGCTATAGATCAGTGGGGAAACGCATGGCGCGCTTGCTTGCTTCCTATTAACTTTGTACATGCGGCCGAAAACTGCCTCGCTAGGCCGAAAACTACCTCCGAAACAGTGAAAATTGAAATGAATGTTGTCATGGCAATTCATGATTTTTTTTCTGGGATTCTTTCTTTGTTTAAATAATAATAGTATTTGCTTCATGATTTGA